ATTACCCAACATATTTCCCCAAACCAGAAATGTCTTGACCAATGATTTATTATTCTTAACTTAACATATCGAAATCTAAATATTTCCCACACTAGTTAATACCTACATATACAACCCAGATCCATTAAGATTCCTAGTCGTTGTTACATCCATCTAAAATAAAACCATATACTCCCTTACCTCCGAGTACCGCGCATAAAAGACAAACGTCAGCCAATAGTAGCTCTGTGAAGGCAGCAGACATATAAGCGCCGAAGCCAAGTACATATCCCCAACTGTTTATAAATATATGTGTTCTTAGAACAATATTTCGGTATCTGTATGAACTTACGTAATATAAGGCATAATGTAACCTAAGTCATGCTGACTTCCCCGCCAAGAGCATCTCACTTTGACCCAAATGGCCTGCCAATGATAAATGAGGGAAGTATAAACAACATAATCCCTGAAAAGAAGGAAAAGGTGAAAATAGATTTTGGGGTAAATTGTAGTTGATCAGATTAAGAAGCTAAGGCCAAGTTAAATACTTTTCAAAAGAAATTCTTGTTTTATTTATGTACTTAACAGACTACTTCTCCAAGGGACTCCGATCTTAAAATTAAGATACCAGAAAAGCGGAAAACGGATGATAATGATCAGATAAAGGAACTAAAAAAAGTAAGTGAAAGTCATTTGCAAAACATTATATTTTATAAGTTTTTAAAAAGTTACTAATGATCATGAGGCAAGGTAATTTAATCGTAGATATAATCCAAAGTAATGTTTTTCTTTCTCAAGGCAAAACTTGAGACAAAAGCATTGAAGGCAAAGAGACCCGGATTTACAGACGAAAGGTATCAAGAAACCTCCTACTATATGGAAAACGGTGAGCTATTGAGGTTACTCGAGTTGAAATTTTGTAAATAATAATTTTATAAATAGGTCTTCGCAAGGTATACCCATACTACTTCACATTCACAACCTTCACGAAAGGCCGCTGGGTGGGCGAAAAGATTTTGGATATATTCTCCCGTGAGTTCCGAGCTCATCCTGCCGAGGAATACGAGCGATGCATTCAAACAGGCACGTTGACAGTGAACTTCGAGAAAGTACCCATTGACTATCGGCTGAAACACAATGATCTGCTCGCTAATATAGTTCACAGGTAATTCAAATCAAAATGCTTCATTCCTTTGTAAAAAGTACACACATTGACCGAAACCAATTTCGAGTGGTTGCAATTGTGTTCCGTGTAATTTCTTCATATTCAGCTTATTATACATATATGTGTTTTCCACCCAATAAAGCCAACTAACGCTCGCAGCATGCCAGTGCATAGCAAAGTAAATGGTGGCCTTACTGCCATTGGGATTTGACCTTGTATTGTCCCAGCATCATCAATAACAAATGACAATCCATAGATTATAATTGCGCACATGACTCCACAAAATCATCTTCTTAACAACTTGCGCAAGTTAATTTTCAGTTGTTTTGATTGATCTTGTAATAATAAAGTTAAAAGGGGTTCACTAAACTCACAAATCATAAATAACCCAAATGATGTAAGACGAGTGTAAAACTTCCTCTTCTTTATTATTGACTTTAAAATAAAATATTCTTTGCATAAAATCAAGGAAAATCATCAAAATCTAGCTTGAATTGGCCATGAAAGGTGTGTAGGTCTGATAAAAGTAGGTTATCCGTGTGGAATACCTTAGTAACCTTACCGATCTCTAGTGAAACAACCGATGGAGATGAAATATCAAACTAACCCGAGTTTCATGGCTATCTTTACAGACACGAAGTTCCTGTGACTTGTCAACCAATTAAAATTGTGCATATGGATGAGGACATTGTAGTTGTAAATAAGCCAGCATCGATACCTGTAAGTGGCTTAAACGACCGCCATGTTACACATTTTACACAGAAATAGTTGAATACTTCTACTTGAGTCTGTATTTTAATGTTATCACTGTCAAAAACCTACTTCCGCAACATCTGTATACGTCATATTCAATGCATATTGTAGTTCGAGTTCCCTAAGTATTTCTTGCAATGCCATTTTTACAGGTACACCCATGTGGACGTTATAGGCACAACACTGTAGTCTTCATCCTTGCAAAGGAGTTTAACCTCAAGAACCTACGCACAATTCACCGACTCGATCGGTTGACATCGGGTCTTTTGCTATTTGGACGTAGTCCAAAGAAGGCGCGACAAATGGAGCAGCAGATTCGCAACAGGCAGGTTGAAAAGGAATATATCTGTCGGGTTGAGGGTGTTTTTCCAGAGTAAGTTAAATTTCAAACCGTGTTAATCTAGTTAGCAACAATTATTATCTTCCAGAGGCATCGTGGAGTGTAAGGAGCCCATTGAAGTAGTCAGCTACAAGATTGGCGTGTGCAAAGTATCTCCTAAGGGCAAAGATTGTACGACGACTTTCCAAAAGCTCTCCCAAAACGGCACAACTAGTGTGGTACTCTGCAAGCCACTTACTGGTCGAATGCATCAGATAAGAGTACACTTGCAATACTTAGGTAAGAGGTACTTGAAGTCTCTGTCCCCTAAACCTGATACTAAATAGAAGAGATACTCCCCAAAGGTTATCCCATTCTGAACGATCCACTCTACAATCACGAAGTCTTCGGTCCTCTGAAGGGACGATCTGGGGATATTGGTGGAAAGTCAGACGATGAGCTTATACGAGATCTCATAAATATACACAATGCTGAGAACTGGCTGGGCATAGATTGTGATTCCGATATTTCAATGTTTAAGACCACCAAGGACGAAGCAGATCGAGAAAGTCTCAGCAGTGAGCACACTTCCGGTGGGTAGACCTATTTCTTTCTATTTTCACTTACTAATATTGTATCTTATGACATTTTCAGTCGTTCATCACAGCGATGATGATGGGGGTGTGAATTCACGGGAAACAACACCTCCATGTCCTGAAGCCCAGCAGCCGGAATTAGGTGGTAAAATTGTGGAACGCACCAATGTAGTCAAAGAGTATCCAGTTACTGCACAGAAGTCTTCCCCGGAAATTTCCTCTGCTCTTTTGGATTCAATAGAGAGTCCTTTGAGTGGAGGTGGATGCAATGTGAACAAGGTGACAGTAGATGAGCATTGCTATGAGTGCAAAGTGCACTATCGTGATCCCAAATCAAAGGACCTTATAATGTATCTGCACGCATGGAAGTACAAGGTTTGTATTTGATTTTTGAGTGGGAAATAATGATTTTATTAACTGGATTTTCTTTTTTAGGGCCCTGGATGGGAGTATGAAACGGAGTTACCGACTTGGGCCCGCACCGATTGGGACCACTTAGACTCTGTATAAGTATACAATACTATAATAGAAACCAAACAGACCAAAATCAACAAAATTATATATATCATAAAACAAAATGTGCCTTTAAGATTGGATAGCATGCGTACGCTTCTGTTAATGCGTTATACAATAATATTATATATATGTACACAAATGCGTAGTAGATGCGTTTAGATCGATTGTAAAATTATGTACGCATTCTAGAATCCTATAAAGTTCACAATCAACCACAAATAGGCTAATACAAGAGCTGAAAAGACGTGCAAATAAATTCGAAGCTTTTATTACAAAATAATAGGTATATTTATATATATACAAGACATGCACTTATCTGAATTAATGTAATGTGAAAGGCAATATATTATATTATAATCGGAATAGACAACTTTATAGAAATTAGTTTGTATGAATGTAAAGCGAGATCGTATACGCAAAAATGAAAATAAATAAAATTTTACAAATGTTTCTTAGAAAATAATCGAATGGAGGTTTTCAGTTATTTTAATGGGGAACACTAAATATTTCAGCATTTTTTTTCGGCATAGACCTACTTTTGATGGCCTTAATATAATATTTAACTAATACTATACTAGAAATAGTTAAGCTTGGTTGTTTTATAGTAAATCCTGGAAATTTAAATTATAGGCATGCAAATATGTCAAGGGTCTTAAAGCGCCACGAATGAGAAAACAAGTATTTTATAAAGCTTGAAATAGAACAAATGAAACCAAACGACTTGCCCCTTTGCTTTGCAAGTTGCCAACTTTTTTCATTAAAATACGCTTTCTCATTCTACTACTTCTTCCTACTTCAAAACTAATAGTTGAATTTTTTATATTAAAGAGGGTAAACATACAAGCATCCACACCCTTATACATATATAGAACTGGACTTTTGGTACCTATTACTTACGGCCTAAACGGGAGAATATTTATCATGCAAGTCCGCAAAACAGTAGAAAACAAAGTGTAAGGAAATACTGGGTATCTCATATTCGAGTCAAACTATTAAATATTTTTCTGGTTAGTTTTTCGACAATGACTGCAGTCCTTGCACCGCCAATGAATATATAATATGCAAGGAATGTCCCCCTCTTTTCTATATTTAACAAGTTCTACAATTTAATTTGGACCAAGCATAATTAAATATGTGTGCATGAAAATTTACACAACAAGGGCACCCGGAATATTAAATATTATCCGCATTAAATTACCACAAAGGACCTTCTATGTGTGACTGTGAACCTCACTATATTCAGTTGGTCTGATATACTCATTGTAATATAACGTAAAATGTTGGCATATATGCATATACATTCCTGCCGTTACTCTCATTTGAAGCAAGGGAAATATACATTTTAGTATGGGTGATCATCTCAAGAAAATCTTTACTGACCTCAATTTCAACCTAAAGACTTTGGACAACTCAAATAAATAAATCAAGTGCGTACAGGCCATCGCATTCCCAAAGAACAAAAGACTTTTTGTTGGCCATTCTAATGTAAAATCACGAAGGCTGAATGTTTTGTTGCGCTTACATGGATTTAGTAAAGATTTTAAGGAAGCTTTTACAAAGGCACAAAAATAACTTACATTGTTGTAGCCCACACTCATGGGAAAATACTTGGCAATTTTAAACTATAATACAATAACACACCCACAGATACATACTATGCAAGTCAAGCAGGTTAACATTTATATATTATTTAATTTTATTAAACACATTGTTTGTTGCTTTTCATAAATAAGAACTTTAGGCTGTTTTTAAGTAAACAATGAAAGTTCGGATCTCCATTGGGCTCAGTTCAATAATGTAATCCTGACTATCGCTGTCTGCCTTGAAGGAATTATATGCACCATCCGATGACTTTGATGATCGTCCCTCGTCCTTATTAATTTGTTCTGAGTTGGTTTCGCGCTTAATCCGGTTACTCTGGGCACCCAACTGTCCTGCTGGCAAAGCTTCCTCTGCATATTTAACACCCAGCATGGGTTTCTCCGGACTTAATAGGTGTACAGACTTCGCGGGTTCCTCAAATGTTCCGTATGTGTTAAATGCCGCTTCTTCGGGATCAGGAGCGAATTGGAATCTTCGAGTTTCGTCTAACCAGGCATTTCCATCCAGAGTTGTTTCCCGGATGCCTTCAATGTCGAAAGCACTCAGTACGTTTTTAACATTGAACTGCACGGGTTTGGAGTAAGATGCATCCTCTCCGTTCTCCATTATATGCTCGAATCGCACCAGAAGTTGATTCTCATGCCAGGGTTCCAAGGTAAGGAGGTTTACGGGCTTGGGCAGAACCAAAGAAATCCCTGTGAACTGTGAATAAAGGCAGATTAGACTCAATTAAAGAGTATATGGTCAGTTTAGACACTTACAGTGTTTGTAAAGGATGTCTGCCATTCGTCGGCACTATAGGCCTCCATGTTGCTAAAGAATTTCCATGTGGGCATCAGTTTCTCCAGCTGGGTTAGTCGCTCAAGCGCTTTAAGGGAGACACCTTCGCGATCAGTGGACCGTCCAAAGAAGAGGTGGTGCTTTCCGCGAGCAATCAGACCATCGCCGAATTCGGTTTCATTCAGAGCCTCGCCCACGCCAAAAGCATCATCACGCAACAAGCGACGATGGACCATCAACTCCAAGGATCCATCCTTCAAGGAGCTGCCTCCCTGGGCTCTGTCTGTCAGGATCGCCATGCGTGCTGTATCGTCCTCCAGATCTATTTTGGTCGTAATGGGGTAGTAATTTCCAGCCACTTCTTCGTTGATCCTCACGCTCCACGTATCACGGTGGTTGAGTTTTCGCTTTATCATTTCACGACCTGTTAAAAAAGGATAAGTTCAAGAACTAAATAAGATAGTTTAAAGTCATCAAACATTACCATTTGAATCGGTGCGGAAAATGCCGTCTGACTCGATGTCAGAGTTAAAGCGAGTAATGACCTCCTTGCCGATGCCATCATCAATGGGAATCGGTCCAACCAACCACTCGAATTCTGCAAAAGAGTCCTTATTGTAGACTCGCACCACCTGGCTAATCCAATCGTTGAACTTCTGATGGACTTCCTGGACCAAATCGCCCTTGTAGACTTCAATTTCAACTTGGTCGGCGGAAAAGTGAATCTTGTTCTCGTTTGGCCGGAAGATGTAAGCTCCGGATGATCGATTGAGAAACTCGGCATTATTTCCAACAGCACCTTCGTAGAACAAAAACTCCTGGCTAACCAATCTGGTTAGGCCATCAGCGGTTACCTCAGAAAGGAATCCATTGGTGTCAAAACCAAGTTTAATATGCTGGAGATTACAAAACATATGCATTATTATATAATATCAGATTAGCAGTGAACTGATCTTACACTATTTCCAATTACTGTCACACTTGTAGTGCTCTTCGGCGAAGCCCTTGTCTTTCCGGTGGCTTCAGTATTATCCAGTTTTTCAATATAATACGTACGATATCCCAAAGGTGGAATGTTGGTGGCCAAGAACACCAGTTCATATTTGGCAGTCGAGTTTCGGTGCTTTATATTGATTACTGGTGTGGGAATTGGCACAGCTTGGGTTTCTAAAGTCACACCTGAAATATATAATAATCTATTTTATACCGGATCTCTATTTTACTTGTCCTATGATCATACCCTTATTATCGATGATTTTGTAATTAGGATCTGATACGGGAATCCTCACATATTCACTGATCGTATGAGCCAGAGGATTGTAAAGCGTTAGAGCAAATCTGTCATTTACTTCGGAAACGGGACAGGAAGTGATGTTTAGCAAGGCACAGGTTTTGAATTCAAAGACATATTTGGCTGCTTTATCTTTGACATTTTCTTTGGATTGCACTGTGAGTTGATTCAAAACATTTCGAGTGGTGGCACCACAGGCTCTGAAGGCAACGCTCATCCTCTTGGCATAGTCCAGAGCAACCGCTTCCTTTTCCGTTCCAGTTATGGCATCATGGTGCTGCATTATTCCCAGGGTTTCGCGCATGAAGGTCAAGTGGGGAGCGAATTCCTCGGGTTTATTGGGGGCCAGAGCACTCAGTTGCTTGCAAACTTGCAGGAAGTGGTTACCATCCCGTTCAAATCGCTTCAGAGTTGGGCGCGATGTGAAATATCCGGTCCAGTAAGCATGGGGATCGGAGGCATAGGGGAAGAAGTCATCGCTCTTTGTGGGCCAAGTTATGCCGGCATCGTGCAGCGATTTCAGATAACACGATGGTGTCGAGTAAAGCAGGTTTATATTTGAACCATTCGCCTGACGCTCATTGGCATATCTGTGAGTTTGGTAAAGACGGTAACCATGTAGTAACCTTTCCTTTTTGTTCCGCTAAACTCTGTTGAGGAAAGCCCCTACTTACTTAATCAACTTATCCAGGTTCTTATACCACATATCGGCATTTTGGTAGTGGAAGTCCTCACCCATGGTAAGTATCACGTTGGGAGTGCGAAATTGTGTGGCCATTTTAGTAACATATTCCAAGAAGGCATCAACCTGTTTGTCACACGCATTTATGGCTTTTCAATTAGGTTATCTTTCAGGTGAGTGACGGCACATTTTTAGGACATGTTGGACAGTACAATTTTGAATTTAGGGGCTTTCTTAAACAGTTAGCTTCGCAAGGACAAAACAATATGCAATTACCGTATCAATTTGTCGAGGTTCTTATAATAGACTTGGGCAGCCTGGTATGTGAAATCACCACCCATTGTGATAATGATATTGTTGGTGCGGTAGTATTGGGATTGGGTCTTGGCGAAATCCAAAAACGTATCGATCTGATGGGGTGGGGGACATTAACAAAAGACAAAACAAACGCTTAACCAATGCCAGAAGCATAACACTTAAAACACTACATATGGTATCAATTCTTACGCGCTCTTTAACATTGTTATCGGGGCTGTGCTTGCCATCAATTATAGGGGCATCGCTGCATAAAACATCGAAACAGAATCCATCTGGTGCCTGGTAATTGTTGTATAGAGCACCGCTAAACAGATCCGCTTCCTCACCTAAAAATACAAACGAGGTTATAGAAATTTTCCTTTAACGAGTAAATTCTAACTACCTAGATTTGCTGATCCGTGCCATATCATTTCAGCATTTTTGGTCATTAGACGTTCGTCCTTGTCTTGGTAGTCCAATCGTCCGAAAAACATTCCATCGAAACCCATCTGGGCGAACATGGAAGCCATTTCCCTGGAGTGACCGAAGGGATCTATTTGCCATCCAACCCGCGGACGTCCACACTCTCCAAAGGTATCATTCAAAAGTCTGCAATTATATTTCTCAATTAAAAGGGATTGTCATATTAAGAAACACTTATTTAACTTAGCTGATTTTAACATGTTAATATATACGATTCATATATTACTGATATTCGACCTCGTATACACTCGTTATCTTACATACCTTAAGCCCCAAGAAAATTGATCAATCACACTCTGGTAGTGCGTTGTCGCCTCATCATTCATACTCCAAGCGCCGCCAATGAACTCGAGTCTGCCTTGTTCCACCAACATCTTTACAGCATCCTGGACCTTGGTGGTCTGCTCCTTCCACCATTTGAAGAAAAAGGCGGACTCGACATATATGAATCGTTTCTCGGGATCTCTCAGCAGAGCCTCCACAACCGAATCGATAATATATTGCACTCCAGCTTTCTGAATCCTCGTCTCGCTGCCATAGTAATATTGGTCCACAGTCTTCAGCCATCCGACGTCATCATGTGTATGTGCTACAAGATGCACGTTCAGCATATTCGGCTTTGTGGGATGACAGCTCTGAAATGAAATTGGCATTTAGAAATTAACATTTTTTTAAATAGTTTTTCTTGGCACTACAATTTATATGAATTAACTCGACTCACGGCCCTTAAAATGTGTAACTTCCAAGCAAAACTAAAACGCTGCAACGTTATTTCTTTACAGAAAGAAAAATTAAGATTGCTTATAATATTTATATATACTATATATATTCATATAAATGTATATAGCAAAATTTACATATTATAATCGCTTATCAGTTACATTCTCTCACTTGAAAATCAGCCTGAAAGAAATTTGTGTGTTTGCTAGGTCGAATAACTATCAACATGTTGCATTTGCAACATTATTGTTCCCATTTCTAGGAAGGGGAACATTGACTTACCTGATAGCCGCACTGAGAGGCCTTTTGCTGAATACTCCGCAGATCGGCATCGTGAATTAGACAGCAAAGGGCGCAAAAGAATGCAAGCCACACAGAAGTCTTCGCAGACATTGCAGTTTTCTTTATTTACGTTTAGGGAATTTGCATCCAATTACTTTGTTTTCACAACGAACACTTTGCCAGTATGGTACACCATATACATACACAGAGACTGGAAAGAACGGACTGCAAAAGGTAACGAAGTCTCAACCGATCGCACCGGCTTCTCAATGCGGACTGCTCAAGCAGGGACCGAAAACTCAGCTCGAAACCTACTTGAGAATGATTCTTTATTGCTGTGTACATACGAACATCGAGAAATTGAGCAAGTATTCTTACATATATTTCTACTCTAGAGAGTGGGTATGTGTGAAAACACCGGGCAGTGCGCATGAAACATTCTGATAGGGCCTTATAAAGTCGTACATGCGCGTTTTAAAGTATTCCTTCAAAGATTGTTGAAGTGACTTTAGCTTGATCCATCTAATCGTTTCCACAATACAAATTAGTGGAGTGTTTAATTGGTTTCTGAAAACCATTCAGCACACTAAAGCATTTAAGATAGCATTGAAGTTAATCTTGTTACTATCGGAGGCTCTAAAAGGGTCTGAGTGGTACTCTTCAGAAACCGGAGGTAATAACATTACCTTCGAATTACAGTCACCCAGTAATCGCCTATGGAATCATGACGACTTATAGTCTATAAGGTGGATTAAATTGGGTTATTCTGTAAAAGATTTCATCTATTTCAACTAAAGTTACAAGATCAGGAGATCAAAGAAAATCTATCCACTGTAAAATAAATAGATGATAAATAAATATTTTATTTCAATCTTAGAAATCGGGAACTAGGTCTTTCGATGAGCTCGAAATATATGTAGGTTAGGAAACTAAAGGTAACATGACTCTTAACTCATAATATTCTCTAATTTAAATAATATTTACCAAAAAGTTTATAGTATTATATAAGACAGAGCTGAAAAGAAAATTGTTGGAAAGTGTGAATGGAGTATTACTTTTGAAGATAAGAATTAAGTGTTCTGATTAGTAAGACATACATATATATCATGCCGAGACCTGGCAACTCGAGAAAGCTTATACGAAAGCTATAACCTGTTATTTCCTTTCACAGTATTGAACTTAAAAAATAATAAAATAAAAAAAAAAAAAAAAAGTAACTCAAATTTTAAAAGAGTATTTTAAAATTCTTGGAAGCAGATTAATTACACTGTGTTAACTACTTTATGTTACTATTTAATGTTAAGTTTTTTACGCGTGATAATTGCGATATCACGCATTGAAAATATAAGAACTTTTACCGCCTTGAATTTAAATATTCTAAGGAGTGGGTCGTCTTTTATCTACCCTTTTGAGATACCAAACACCATTCTCCTTAATTTTTTTTTTTTCATTTTATATATTTTTTTTTTTATTTTTACATTTTACACTTTTCAGTAACAATTTCACATGTAGTAGGCTTTAAAAGAATACAAGTTAAATTTTAAGAGGGGAAATATTCAATAGGCATAAATAACCGCAAAAATGAGTTTAAACCTGCAGGTTTCAATAAGTTTAATTTCGTTGTCCTGTGTTTATCTAAAATTGAAATGAGGAGCAACATTTTATTTTCAAACAAATTTACCTAAATTTACAAATATCTACAACATTCAATAACAACAAATAGCCTCACAAACAGCCCAAGCTATTTGAATAAAGCCCATTTGAATGTGACCTCCACGCACAAGAAAAGTAAAAATGCTTGAAAATAAAAACATGTATCTTAACACATTCTTGTAAACATTGTGCCTGCAAATAGATATAAACCTTAATTTAGTTTAAGAAGAATTGTTAATTTCTTAATTTTCTTAAAAGTTGTGAGTGAGTAATGATTATAAAATCATTCGTAGAGGAAACCGCATTTGCATCACTTCTATAAGTATAGCGATGATAAGTCTTCGGGCTGAATAACACACATGAGGTCTTTAAGAGCTGGTTATAAAAATAATTAAAAGTTTCTTGTTTACAAGACGAGCTCTTTATATACCACTTATTTAAGTACAAATTCATAAAGCCATTCGATTTCCTTTCGTAATCTGAATAATTAATTACTTGAAATGATTGCAAAAAAGATAAGAACTTTAATGCAAAATACAGAAGTCGTTGACTAGTAGCCAAACATAAACAAATACGAATATGTATGCTTATTTTGAAAACTGATAAGCCCAAACCCTAAGTTCATTCCAATACATGATTACGCGAAAGCAAGTATAGGCATTTTTTAGCGAAATCAGATGAATGTTTATTTGTATATGAGTATAAACAACCGATGAACGCAATGCAATACTGTGTATTTTCCTTCTATCTAGGGTGTACAGCGCTGTAAATTGTTATCGCTTGAGCTCCTAAATGGATTTTAATTTGATAGTCCCACTCAAGCCAATGCGATCGCGGTACAAGGTTTATCGCTTCAAGTGGCACATTGCTGGGGTCTAAGGAGTTGCCTCGTTTCGCGTTTCATTTCATTCGACTCAACAGCCCCGATAAGAACCCTCCGTGGAGCGAAGCGTTCACCGAAATGGCATATTTCAGTAGTGTACCGGTTTTTATCACTCTGTTTTTACTGAATAATGCGGTATCCGGGGCTACCTGTGGGATTAAGGTAACAAGTTCTAAAGAAGTCAGCTCAAAAATACAAAATACAAACAATTATGTTCAGTCTGTGAAGTGCAGTGCCATGCTTTCATCTTTAACTTTATTGATTTAGAAGACAGATTTTTTCAAATTTAAAGTATAAAGTGCGTCCGGTGTATATTTATATATTCTAGAATATGTGCTTTGATTGTAGGCATGCCCCGTCACGAAATTAAACATGATCAATGTTCATTTGGTCCCCCACTCGCACGACGATGTCGGTTGGCTGAAAACGGTCGATCAGTATTACTATGGAAGTCAGAACAAAATTCAGCACGCTGGAGTGCAATATATTTTGGATACGGTGGTGGAGGAGCTCCTGAAGGACTCCAAGCGGCGTTTCATCCAGGTGGAGACGTTCTTCTTTTCGAAATGGTACGCCGAACAAAACGCAACTGTTCAACGAGCTGTACAAAAATTAGTAGCAGAAGGACGACTGGAATTTGCGGGAGGAGCTTGGAGTATGAACGATGAAGCCACAGTTCACTACCAAAGTGTAATAGATCAATTCAATTTGGGATTGAAGTGAGTCCTGTTATAAATGTTTAATAAATCTTAGCTCCTAATCAATTATGTTTCAGATACTTAAACGACATCTTTGGTGATTGTGGACGACCGACAATAGGTTGGCAGATCGATCCATTTGGTCACTCCCGGGAAATGGCCTCTATTTTCGCTCAAATGGGATATAATGGCGAATTTTTCGCTCGCATGGATTACGTGGACAAAAAGAAACGTCTGGAAGACCAAGGAATGGAGATGATTTGGCAATCAAGCGAATCCCTAAAGGACTCTCACATATTTACTGGCATGCTCTACAATCACTATTCAGCTCCTCCAGGCTTCTGTTTTGATATTAATTGCCACGATGCTCCAATAATCGATGGCGAGAGCTATGACAATAACGTCGACCAAAGAGTCAATGACTTCATCGACTATGTTAAGACAATGTCAAAGTCCTTCCGATCTACTCATATAATGGTCCCAATGGGAGACGATTTTCAGTACGAAGAAGCCGCAGTTAACTACAAGAACATGGACAAACTTATTAAGTAAGTAATCTTGATTATTTTTCTTATCTGGGATGTTTATCATTTTTATCAGGTACGTCAACGATCGCCAATCGAAGGGATCTCAGGTCAACGTTTTCTACTCAACGCCCTCCTGCTATCTCCACGAATTGCATCAGTTGCAGCAAACGTGGCCGAACAAAACCGAGGACTTCTTTCCCTACTCCAGTGATTCGCACTCCTACTGGACTGGTTATTTCACCTCGAGGCCCACGCAGAAACGCTTTCATCGCGATGGAAATCACTTCTTTCAAACGGTCAAGCAACTGAGTGTTCTGGCCAATTTGACCAGCACTCGGCACTCCGAAGATCTGGAGAGTCTTAGTCAGGCGATGGGAATAATGCAGCACCATGATGCAGTTACGGGCACTGAAAAACAGGCGGTTGCCCGCGATTACGACCGTATGTTATTCAAGGCAATTGTAGACGCCGAGAATAATGCTCGCGATGCCCTCCGATCTCTGACCAATCTCACTTCTGGGGAGTTCGAAAGTTGCCTAGAACTGAACATAAGTGTTTGTTCTTTCACCCAGAACAGTGCCAACAATGTGGTTGTCACACTGGTAAATCTATTGGCTCACACTTCAACACAATATGTGCGTATTCCAGTGAAAAGCGATAACTACATAGTCACCGATGAAAAAGGTATTCCAATCTTATAAACATTAATTAACAGGTTTTTAAAAATTTTTAATTTCATTTAGGTCGTGAAATACCTTCGGAAGTTGTCCCCGTTCCTTGGCAAGTTTTGGCTATGGAACACCGATCGAATGACACGCAACACGAGTTGGTTTTTGAAGCCACAGTTGAAAAGATTGCAAACTTCTTAATCCGTGTACTACCTTCACCAAAAAGTAATGTACAAAATCTTATTCATTTCCCCACAGAGAAAGCCCTGGATGAGTCCGATGAATTGACGGTGGAGAATTCGGTAAGCATATGGCAAGGTTTTCCGATTTATTTCCATTCTCTATAGTTGACTTTTACGTTTTAGCTCGTTAAACTCACTTTTAATACAACTACGGGTGGCTTGAAAACCATTGAAATGAACGGCCTAACCGAAACTATTGATCAAAGCTTTGGCGTATACAAGGGATTTCGAGGCAATAATGGTGAAGCCAAAAACCGATCGTCAGGGGCTTACGTTTTCCGTCCGGACGGAGGCTTTGAAAAACTAAATAACAAAGTGGGGATTTCGTTCTATAATGGCACCCGAGTTAAGGAGGTCCATCAGCATGTGAACGAGTGGATATCGCAGGTAATCCGCGTTTACCAGGGCGACAATCGCGTGGAATTCGAATGGTTGGTGGGACCGATACCAACGGAAGATGAAGTTGGAAAAGAGATAGTCATTCGCTTCTCGAGCAATATATCCTCGAAGGGTATATTTTATACAGACTCGAATGGTCGGGAAATGCTGGAACGCGAGAGAAACCAGCGTGACACCTTCAATCCCGACATGTCAGAGGCAATAAGCGGAAACTATTATCCAGTAACCGGGCAAATTTCACTGCAAGACGACGAGGTGCGAATCACGCTGCTAAACGATCGAGCACAGGGAGGAACTAGCTTGAAGGACGGGGAATTGGAGCTTATGCTGCATCGGCGTTTACTGAATGACGATGCTTTTGGTGTTGGCGAAGCCCTTAATGAGACTCAGTATGGAACTGGGTTGATCGCAAGGGGAAAGGTTTCCCTAATTATCGACGAGGCCTCAAAGAAGCCTAATCACGCAGAGAGACTGGTTCAGCATGAGATAGACCAACCCTTTTGGAAGTTTTTCAGCAAATCAAATAGAGTACCATCCGTAAATAAGAACATGATTCCCGATTTTACCGACTTCCCCCCGTTGGTCGAACTTCTTTCCTTTGAACAACATTCTGAGGATCACATTTTGATACGAGTGGAGAACTTTAATACAAACGGAAATGTAGTTAGCTTCAACATTTATCCCCTCTTTTCTTCCTTGAGTGGGTATAAGATTTGGGAAACAACTTTGGACGGAAATATGAAGTTGGGCGATATGAAGAGATACAAATTTAATCAAGATGGCATTGGCAGTATTCCTTCCTCCGTTGAATATTTCTACGCCCCACATAACCCGATGTCCTCCGATTATACAATGGATGCTTCTGAATTCGTTGTGACACTGGTCCCAATGCAAATTCGTACATTCATCATCCAACAGAAAAATATTGTATACTGAATGTATCAAAATATTGAAAATATAACAAGAGATATTGGTTAAAAAGCTCTCGATTTTTTAGTATAAGACATATAGGAAGTTTAAGTATAGAAAGTCTATGATTCTTCGGGTTTAGTGCATTACGGCATTTGAAATCTATTATGTTATATAACCCCCAAAACAAGTACTACAGTTTTTTTTTATTTCTGCACTTCAATAACTTTTTTAATTATGATACAAATTAAGCTACTTTACGTTAATTGCTAACAATATTGAAATTAATTAGATTAGTTCCCTTATGTCCAAACATATTTTTGAAATAATAACATCATATATTTTGTTAAGTACGTATAAATCAAACTCTTTTATTAGCAAAGCACGCAAGGTGCTATATCGAATAATCTTGCATTGGTAATGAAGTGTAATTCAGGTTAATCGCAAAAACCACTTCAAACAGAGATTAGTCACGCTAACACATTTATTATTCTCGAAGAATTTGATATTTATATTTTAAATTTCGAAAGCCTTTATTCAGTTGCCTACCGAGCGTCCTACTTCCCTCTTCTAATTATTCAATTTTAAGATTAAATAATCGCAATATTGTAATTATTTCGGATAAATTATTAGACCATCTCTTCCCAATTTAGAACAGCATGGCGTTTAAAGATCGGCGATGGCCAAGAAGTATTATACATTTCATTGCTTTATACTTCAACAATTGTTGCATTCATGGGTTCCGATATCTTGTCAAAGCAATGCTTGTTGTCTTTGAAAAGTAAGTTTTAAAATATACTATATATATACAAATGAAATATTGATTTGTAGGTCCTATTTTAAAAACATCAAAAACTATATTGTAAAATTGTGATTACTATGAATATCTACGATTGCTTTTCTAGATTCCTGTGGCTTGTCTTGTTGTTTGTCTCAATATATTTCTGTATTGTTGTCTGCTTATCATCTATTGATCGTTACTATACGAAAAGCACACATATCGGATTGGAGGTACTGAGAAATCCTTAAAACTAGTATCCTTAATGTATCATTTGTAACATTTAGCGGAACTATTACTTTTGGAATACCACGTTACCAAGTGTAACAATATGTCCAATGCATCGCCTAGATAGCGCCTTGTTTGCTGATTATTGTCGGTACTGACTATTATCCATACTTATTTCTCTAGACCCTTTTACAATTTAAAAATTAATTTAAGGAAAAATGGCATTAAGGGAACACAAAAAACTGTTTTCTGGGACTTCCTAGAGAACTTGGCCAATTCTACTTACATTAATTTTCAAAACATTCCCGAGAGCGATCAGATCGATCAAATAATTAAGGACATAGGCCTAAAGCCGGAACACTACATGGATGTTATCTACAATCTTACCTTTGACTCAACCTACGATCCATTTGAACAAAACCGCACCCGCTGTGTTGATGGTCAGACTTACATTCATGTCCGACAGGTTCTCACTGAGTACGGATTATGCTACCTGGGAAATACTAGGCTAGGCTTAATGTATAGTTCCCGGTATTTAATATTCGGAAAGTATCCCGAGTTTAACAAATACGAGCACCAACGTAAGTTACTCCCCCATGTGGAGGGATCCTTTTTTGTACCGGACGTTGAATATACGGTAGTGGGCTTTACTAGCCCTGCCATAGATGTGAGTTTTTAAAGTTACTAATTAAGTTATTTATTTAAATATTATACCCTTCTAAGAGTTACATTCATTCTGCATATGAAGTAATGAAGGTGGACGCCAATTTTGGTTATACAAGTGATGGAATGGTATTCGATCCTTACCTTGAAGAGATTACTGCTGAGGATAACCTAGAAAGGCATGTTTCAGGTATCTTAAATATGCCAATAAAATATTCAATATTTAAATTTTCTGCAGTGAGACCACAGTGTCAATGAGAAAATGTCGCTTTCACCACGAATCAAATTTGACCCATTTTCCATTCTATACTAGAAATGTTTGCATGCAAGAGTGCCGTCTCAATTTGGCATATAAATTGTGCAAATGTATTCCCCATTTCTATCCTAATCGCAGTAAGTTCCGAACATTACATAAGCATTTAAAAACTAAAAACTTTCTTTTAGTCACAAACCCTAAAAAGGTGTGCGATTACAAAACTTTAAGATCGTGCTTTCCTCGTTATACCAGTAAGGACTAAATCTATTATAAGCAAAAAATTTTAACTGCATTTTATATAATACATAATAATATAGGTAATTTTCTTCAACTCTACGAGAAAAACGGAAGTGATAAGAAGACCCGTGTTTGTTATTGTGAACAGAACTGCATTGATTCAGTAGTTACAATGAGGACCGCCCTTGTAAGTCATTTCCGACTACTTATTCTTAGAGCAATCGGTAATTTTTTATAAAATTCTGAAAAATGCGAAGATTTGTAAAATTTGTAAACGAAGTTCCATTTGTTTCTTAATCCTTTTTGATTTGATATTTAAGCACAAAGCTTATTAACATAAAATGTAAAATTTGTATAAATTGGAATCGGCGGAATAAGTGTGTTAACTTATACTATTTACTAATAACTGCCAAAAAAAACTTCGGTATACCGAAGTTCTTATCTATTGTCTGGGGTTATAAAGTCTTGAAAATCTTGTCTTCTGCTAATTTTTTTAGCCACTGTTAGACTCAAAAGAATTACTTCAAAGTATTGGATGCAAAGTATCCGTCAAAAGATGGCCACAGAATCGACTAAAGCGACAAGTTATATTTTCACTGACCGATCTATTAGGTAACTACATTTTATTGATGCTATATACAATTATTTTATACAAAAAATTTACCATTTCAACGTATTCTTTCTTTGTTTTAGTTTCAATCGGGGGAACGGCAGGACTATTTCTTGGATTCAGTGTTTTGGGATTGGTTGAAGTTTTATACTTCTTTACAATTAGGTTAATCTGGCAATCATTGGGTTACACCCTCTAAAAGTTAGCACCCAGTTACTTTTATTAACTTAAAACATAACTTGATAACTTAACTTATATTAACCTATTTTAACCGATTTGAATATACCATAAAACCGTAATAAATTATAAAACTGTAATTGGTTTACAAAATGATAAATAAAAAGGACACCCTTTGGTCTTAAAATAAAAGTAATCACCCAATTTATTAACTTAAATATAACTTAATAACTTAACTTATATTAACTTATTTTCAACGATTTGAATATACCATAAAACTGTAATAAATTATAAAACTGTAATTGGTTTATAATATGATAAATAAAATGGACAGCCTTTGAGCTTAAAATAAACAAGCTCATTTGAATGTGTAGTAAAAATATTTATTTATTCTTAAACCAGTAAAGTGAAAGCTTTCTGTATTATAGATTTTCACTGATTGGTTGGTTTTAAAACAACATCACTTTTTGTTTCTTAATGTTACTTTAAATACAATGGGAAAATGTACTATTTTTAATGTTAAAGTCTTCAGCTAGTCTGTTTTAGTAGATGTTATTTAATTTCGTTAATACATTTTTCTTGACCGAAGATTTAATTTCATGCAATTCCCTGCAAGCTTTATTTTGAGCTTTAGAGTCAGAAATGCTACATGTAGTAGCAGTTAATAAAATGTCATATTCGGGACTTCGAGGCAATAATGGTGAGCCAAAAACCGATGGTCAGGGGCTTACGTTTTCCGTCCGGACGGAGGCTTTGAAAACAAAGTGGGGATTTCGTTCTATAATGGCACCCGAGTTAAGGAGGTCCATCAGCACTTGAACGAGTGGATTTCGCAGGTAATCCGCGTTTACCAGGGCGACAATCACGTACTGAATGTAAAATAAAAAAATGTAAAATATATTGAAAATATAACAAGAGATATTGGTTAAAAAGATCTCGATTTTTTACTTAAACAAAAACAGAACAGAAAGTAAGAAATATTGTAGATATAGGAAGTATAGGAAGCTTAAGTATAGAAAGTCTATGACTCTTCGGTTATAGTGCATTATGGCATTTGAAATCTATTATGTTATATACCCTCCAAAACAAGTATTTCAGCTTTTTTTATTTCTGCACTTCAATAATTTTTTTTAATATGATACAAATTTAGCTACTTTACGTTAATTGCTAACAATATTGAAATTAATTAGATTAGTTCCCTTATGTCCAAACATATTTTTGAAATAATAACTTTTATATATTGTTAAGTACGTATAAATCAAACTCTTTTATTACCAAAGCACGCAAGGTGCTATATCGAATAATCTTGCATTGGTAATGAAGTGTAATTCAGTTTAATCACAAAAACCACTTCAAGCAGAGATTAGTCACGCTAACAAATTTATTATTTTCGAAGGGTTGAATTTGATATTTATATTTTACATTTTGAAAGCCTTTATTCAGTTGCCTTCCGAGCGTCCTACTTCCCTCTTCTAATTATTCAATTTTAAGATTAAATAATCCCAATATTGTAATTAGATCGGATAAATTATTAGACCATCTCTTCCCAATTTAGAACAGCATGGCGTTTAAAGATCGGCGATGGCCAAGAAGTATTATACATTTCATTGCTTTATACTTCAACAATTGTTGCATTCATGGGTTCCGATATCTTGTCAAAGCAATGCTTGTTGTCTTTGAAAAGTAAGTTTTAAAATAAACTATATATATACAAATGAAATATTGATTTGTATGTGCCATTTTAAAAACATCAAAAACTATTTTTGTAAAATTGTGATTACTATGAATAACTATGATTGCTTTTCCAGATTCCTGTGGCTTGTCTTGTTGTTTGTCTCAATATATTTCTGTATTGTTGTCTGCTTATCATCTATTGATCGTTACTATACGAAAAGCACACATATCGGATTGGAGGTACTGCGAAATCCTTAAAACTAGTATCCTTAATGTATCATTTGTAACATTTAGCGGAACTATTACTTTTGGAATACCACGTTTCCGAGTGTAACAATATGTCCAATGCATCGCCTAGACAGCGCCTTGTTTGGTGATTATTGTCGGTACTGACTATTATCCATATTTATTTCTCTAGACCTTTTTACAATTTAAAAATTAATTTAAGGAAAAATGGCATTAAGGGAACACAAAAAACTGTTTTCTGGGACTTCCTAGAGAACTTGGCCAATTCTACTTACATTAATTTTCAAAACATTCCCGAGAGCGATCAGATCGATCAAATAATAAAGGACATAGGCCTAAAGCCGGAACACTACATGGAGGTTATCTACAATCTTACCTTTGACTCAACCTACGAACCAATTGAACTCAAACGCACCCGCTGTGTTGATGGTCAGGATTTCATTCATGTCCGACAGGTTCTCACTGAGTACGGATTATGCTACCTGGGAAATACTAAGTTAGGTTTAATGTATAGTTCCCGGTATTCAATATTCGGAAAGTATCCCGAGTTTAACAACTACGATACCATCGCCCATTTGGATGGATCTTTTTTTGTACCGGACGTCCAATATACGATAGTGGGCTTTACTAGCCCGGCCTTATATGTGAGTTTTTAAAGTTACTAATTATGTTATTAATTTAAATATTAAACCCTTTTAAGACTTACCTACATTCTGCACACGAAGTAATGAAGGTGGACGCCAATTTTGGTTATACAATTGATGGAATGGTATTGGAGGCCTACCTCGAAGAGATTATTGCTGAGAATAACCTAGAAAGGCATGTTTCAGGTATCTTAAATATGCCAATATAATATTCAATATTTAAACTTCTGCAGTGAGACCACAGTGACAATGAGAAAATGTCGCTTTCACCACGAATCAAATTTGACCCATTTTCCATTCTATACTAAAAATGTTTGCATGCAAGAGTGCAGAATCAATCTGGCATACAAAATGTGCAAATGTATTCCTCACTTCTATCCTAATCGCAGTAAGTTAAGAATATTACATAAGCATTTAAAAATTAACAACTTTCTTTTAGTCACAAACCCTAAAAAGGTGTGCGATTACAAAACTTTAAGATCCTGCTTTCCTCGTTATACCAGTAAGCATTAAATCTATTATAAGAAAGAAATTTAAACTACATTTCATTAAATACATTTTAGGTTATTTTCTTCGTCTTTACGACGAAAATGGAAGTGATAAGGAGCCTCGTGCTTGCTATTGTGAACAGAACTGCCTTGATTCAGTAGTTTCAGTAAGGTCCGCCTTCGTAAGTTTTATGGTTTATGTTTTATTTCAGAGGGTATTATAATTATAATTGTACTCGATAATTTGCAATGTACAAAATGAGACATTTCTGAATACAAAAAGAATACGTATTATTTATCTGGATTATCATCCCAGTCGATCAAGATCTGTTTGTTTCTACCAAAACAAGTAAAGCTGTTAAAGCTGCTTTGATGACCAAACATCTTCCTTTTAATGTTGGTATTAAATATGATGGAACAATGAAGATCGGACGATTATATGAAAAATAGCATGGAACAAAATTTCACTGCCATATAAATCAAAAAACTTCATCATATTTTATGAAAACCTGAAAAGTGCGTAATTTGTTTCAATTTAGAAACTTTAGCACAAATATAAATTGGAACTGGTGGAATAAGTCTGATGGCTAATACTTTTTTCTTAAAACATCAAAAAACCTTCGGAGTACTAAAGCTATTGTCTGGGGTAAATAAATCTTGAAAATCTTGTCATCTGCCATTTTTTTTAGCAAAACTTTGGATCAAAACCATTACTTCAAAGTATTGGATGCAGCGTATCCATCAAAACTTGGCCACAGAATCGACTAAAGCGACAAGTTATATTTTCAGTGACCGATCTATTAGGTAACTACATTTTATTGATGTTATATACATACAATTATTTTATACAATATTTACCATTTCAACGTATTCTTTCTTTGTTTTAGTTTCAATCGGGGGAACGGCAGGACTATTTCTTGGATTCAGTGTTTTGGGATTGGTTGAAGTTTTATACTTCTTTACAATTAGGTTAATCTGGCAATCATTGGGTTACACCCTCTAAAAGTTAGCACCCAGTTACTTTTATTAGCTTAAAACATAACTTGATAACTTAACTTATATTAACCTATTTTAACCGATTTGAATATACCATAAAACTGTAATAAATTATAAAACTGTAATTGGTTTACAAAATGATAAATAACAAGAAAGAAAAGCTAACTTCGGGCGGAGCCGAAGTTGATATACCCTTGCAGAATATTCTGTAAATTATATTCTCCAAAACTATTCATATGATGCATTCTTAATACTCATAAAAAATCCCTTTCTAACTTTAAAAACACCAAAGTTATGGCATTTTCAATCGTTCAGTTATATGGCAGCTATAGGATATAGACGGCCGATCCTTATGAAATTTGATAGGTGGGATTGATTGGCCAAATATAACCCCTTCCTAACTTAACAAACAGCAGAGTTATGGCATTTCCGATCAATCAGTTATATGGCAGCTATAGGATATAGTCGGCCGATCCCGGCCGTTCTGACATATATACTGCGTGCAAAGGAAAGAAGGGTGTGTGCAAAGTTTGAACTCGATAGCTTTAAAACTGAGAGACTAGTTTGCGTAGAAACAGACAGACGGACAGACGGACAGACGGACAGACGGACATGGCTATATCAACTCAGGAGGTGATCCTGATCAAGAATATATATACTTTATAGGGTCGGAGATGTCTCCTTCACTGCGTTGCACACTTTTGACCAAAATTATAATACCCTCTGCAAGGGTATAAAAAGGACACCCTTTGGTCTTAAAATAAAAGTAAGCACCCAATTTATTAACTTAAAACATAACTTGATAACTTAACTTATATTAACTTATTTTCAACGACTTGAATATACCATAAAACTGTAAAAAATTATAAAGCTGTAATTAGTTTATAAAATGATAAATAAAATGGACAGCCTTTGGGCTTAAAATAAACGAGCTCATTTGAATGTGTAGTAAAAATATTTATTTATTCTTAAACCAGTAAAGTGTCAGCTTTCTGATTTATAAATTTTCACTGATTGGTTGGTTTTAAAAGAACATCACTTTTTACAATGCGAAAATGCACTATTTTTAATGTTAAAGTCTTCAGTTAGTCTGTTTCAGTAGATGTTATTTAATTTCGTTAATACATTTTTCTTGACCGAAGATTTAATTTCATGCAATTCCCCCTGCAAGCCTTATTTTGAGCTTTAGTGTCAGAAATGCTACATGTAGTAACAGTTAATAAAATGTCATATTTGGGGTAATGCTTAAAGTATATTGCTATTTTGCTCGGCGGTTAAAGAGTCGTTTATAAATTAAGTATGATTCTTAAGAACTACTGATCGATGCCACTTTTAATATACTTCAAAATCGCTCTAAATACCACCAGTACAGGAGGCACAACAATTGTCGCGATAGTAGTCATAGCTACATAGCTTTGCTTGCGAAGCCAATTGGCAGTTGGGGAACTTATCAGTACAAATCGGAACAGCTGGAGTTATCGGCACTTCTGTAAATAAATAAAGATAAGTACAAAATAAAGTCTGCGTTGGCAAAGCCACCATTAAAAAAACCCACCTTCGCAGTTTTGTGCATTGCAGCCACGATAGATTGGCTCTCTGGTCGTGTACCGACATTGCGATGATTCCCGGAGGACGTTCAACTTCATGTCGTACTCCAAACACTTCACACTGCGCCGCTGATTTCCACCTCCACATGATTTGGAACACTGTTGAAAATGATAGGCATTGTAAGATATCAAAGATTATCGTTTCCATACTAAACTTATAGTTAGAAGTTACTAGCAGCAACAGTTGTGCGGAACTTTAAACTGAGGTATTAAAATTTGGTTCCATTATTTTTAGGACGGATTTTAGACGGGAGCTCCAAGTTTGCAACTACAACAAACATAAAGATTTACTATAAGTTTTAAATGGTGATTCCACTACAGTGGAATTTGGTATACCAAAATTATACATTAATGTATAACAATAAATTTCGGTATGACAAATTCGAATCTGACCAAAAGCTAAATAATTTCACTTGGCCATGTTGTCAATGAATTTCGAATAATAATTTAAGTCGTTATTTTTTCATCAATGAGGTCTATTTTCTGAACCCTGTGATGTGAAGTAACATTTTCGTGACTAGATTCGGAATCTGCTTTTGAAAAGGAATACATTTGATTGTGTACAAAAATAAATGACAGATTTTGTAACAAGGTGCTCTTAAGAGCAATAATAAAATAAAATTTTGTACTAGCTGTTAGAGATTCTTGTAACCCAAATATTTGAATCTCAGTTGGAATTTGGTTGGACATAGTTACCTCCGACCATTCCGAGTAGTGCCAACGGGCAGCGCAGTACTCCACCTCCTCGTGGGAGCACTTCTCCTCTGATTGGGGCTTCAGCTCTGCCTTGCACTCCGTAGCCTCGGTGATCAGCTGGTTAAGGATGCAGAGCACCTCTCGGCTGCGGGTCAGGTCGAAGCAGTCGCCGTTGCACGAGGACCAGGGTCCTGTGAACCAGTCGCCCACCTTGCAACTGGACTTCTCACAAGGACGACGGCTTTCGGGGGTGATGCTGGGATCACAGCGCTGCTCGCCGGCCTTCGAGCGATCGCAGAACACAGTACGATACTCAACCCCCGACCCACAAGCGGCCGAACAGTACTGATTCCACTCGGAAGTCAGCCAGATGGCATTGACTTCGCTGCCGTCGATCTTGCTGCGCTTGACTTGAGTGCTGTTCGAGTAGTCCAAGGTGCCTGGCAGACGGTATCGCGACAAGTTGCGTCGCCGGTTCCTGGGACACTCGCACTGCTTCTGGGTGGGTGGCTGGTCCTCCATGCAGGCGGCCTTGTCCACGTGTATGACCAGGCCGGAGGCTAGCTCCTGTACACAGCTCACCTCCCGCCGCCGGAAGGCTCCACTGCTCAGGCAGCGGCACTCGCCCCACTCGTCCAGTCGCCAATATGCTGGACAGGGTTGCGTGTTGCAGTGCAATAGGTTCTCATTCAGCACCGGCTTCACGGAGTGCATGCAACGGCGCTGCGAGTAGTACCGCAGTGGGTTCTTCCGAATGCAACGTATGATGGGTGTCTGCGTGCCGCCTCCACAGGACTTCGTGCAACTACTGAACCCAATTACTTTCCAATTAAAGATACGCTTACGTCCCGCCCTCGAGCTACTGGATGAACTGGTGTCCTCGATTCCGGATCTCAACAGCCCGTCGTTACTTTCCAAAGACATCTCGTTTTCCTCAGACTCAGATATCACTGGCAGCATGTACTCGTACTTTATACCAGTATTATTCGGTGAATTAGTGAAAACCTGAAGGACCATGAATGAAAAATGAGTTATTAGGAAATAATTGATGTTTTCTGCAAAGTACTTTTTAGCACAAAAAATCGATCTTCATTTTCTCGTCCGCACTTAAAACTTAAAAACTGCAAAAAACATAAGCGTTAACATATAAAAACTGCACAAAAAATACCCCATACTACTTTAAAAAATCAAAGAACATGTTTGCTGAAAACAAATGTCAAAACTTATACCGTGGATCTTTTTTTTTTTTTATAAAAGCAAAGGGAATACCATATTGCGATGAACTGATACACCCGCAAAATTGAAAGGAAGGATTCATACAAAATATGACTTTTAACAAAGCTAACATGAACACGAGAAACCCCGAGAATGGACGAGAAAACATGACCAATTGTAGAATGTAGAAATACAATACCATAAGTTGCAATGAGTCCCTGATGGGTCCAATACTTGTGATCCACTCCGTCACCCCAGTACTGTCTTGTGCTCCGTCGATTCGGTGATAGTCGAATGTGGCTCCAACCGCTTCATAAGATCCACTTTCCGATACAGTACTCTCGCCATTAAAAACGGATACCTCATTGGACGTCCTCAACACTGGAATCCAGAATGAATGAGCTTAGAATATTAGAATATTGCAATAGAATTTACCTAGCAAGTTGATGCTATTTTTAAGTTCTGTTATTGAAATATTCGATGCACCCGCTGGTAAGGTAGTAACGTGTATAAGTTCGTGTTCGGGAAGGGGATCCCGAGTGAAGATCCCAGTGACGGGCCGACACAGTAATCCTCCGCAAGTGACGGACCCACTGTGCGCATACAGTCCATCAATGTCGCCACTGGCGTGAACCGCCTATAAAATAGTTTAAATAAACGTAACAAAAATTTATAATACTTCTTATATAATATTTTATTCCAGTAATTTTTCAATAAATCGTGTTATTTACTCACCAGTAAAAGTAATGCAATCAATGTTTTCATTTCATGTAAATTTTACGGTTACACTGACTTTTAAGCCGTTAGGAACTTACACTATATTTTTGATATATAAGTAATAAAATGATCTCAACTTTTTCGACCTACTCTTCGAAAACTATGTTCAGCTTCTGCACAAGAATATTAAAAATACTTTTTATATATAGTAAGTTCAGGGTAATACGAGTGGAATTCTTGGGCTATGCAAAAACATTATTTATTGGCCACTTATTAAGAGATCAAGATAAACAAAAAATAAATGTGTACGAAATACATTCCGCCTTATTAAGGGGCATATGTTCTACAAGTAATTGCTTTTTGGATGGCCTTTCTGTACGCACAACTGCGGCAATGTGTTTACTAAAATAATTCATTGAAATTAAGCTCTTTGGACCCGTTCTAGTTTTTGCTTTTACGGAATTCTTTTTACTTTGATTTGTTGACCTATTCCATTTTTTCAGGTATCAATTTAAAACTTAAGATGCAGAACGGTAAAAACAAATGGTTTCAAGTTTTTGGAAAAATTAAACTATTACGTGGAAAATCTACAAACTTTAAAACATGGTTAAAAGTTTAAAAATCATTATTATATTATATAGTAAAATATCTTTAGTTTTTATATTTCAAAAGCAAGAATTACATTAAATTAAATCGACAGTTTTCTTTGTAAACGAAAGTGGGTTTTTGGCGCACAAGACTCCCTGTTCGCAAAAATGAAACATACATTTTTTTTGGTACAATTTATTAAAATGTAATTTAAGGTTTCTTTTTGATTATTTTATTTTTATTTATTTTATTTTGTTTTTTATGAGTCTTTTTTTTACCAGGATGACCGATCCTATACAAGTTATAGAAATAATTTCGTTAATATACCTTAATGTACCTTAAAGCATAAAAACCAAAAATAATTATATCGCTTTAACTTGAAAATGTAACCAATAACTCAAAAATGCACCAGAAATACATTTTACTTGAATCTTTTAACCTTGTGTTAATCAAAGGTTCACAATAAAGGGAAAACCCTCTATCCTTAGTGTACTTCACACGCACGAATTTAAACTGGCTGCTTTAATATGAATTGCAGAACAAATTAATAAAAATACGTAGAACAAACACCAAATAATTGGATAAGCAACGCGAAGAATATAGAAAACGAAACCAATTTAAATCTCTAAATTTATAAACCTTAAATTACAGATCACTATGAATTTTGTGTGCTTTCTGATTCAATGTACAACCAGTACTAAGCATTCGATGTGATTTTGTACTTGAAAAAGCTTTAGTATTAAAAGAAGAACGCATAATTAGTGCTTTTTAATGTGCCATCATTACTTTGTTGCTGGAGATGGAACTGTATAATTAAATTTATTATTGAAATAAATCCATTTTCAATATAAAAATACAAATTATAAAAGCAACCATAAAAAGTGAAATAAAATTACAAGTTATAGATGTGTATTTTTGTTCATATACAATAAAGAAAGTTAATAACTCATGCCAAATCCTTAAATAATTCTTGCATTTCTTAATTCATTAAAATAACCTGATGGGATCAACACTCATAAAAAGGGTAACAAAAATGTGGAAACCTTAATTAAAGCACCTGTAGTCATTTCTTCTAGGTTTAACTCACCTTACAAGCACCATCAACGCAAACAGCGCGATCCCAAAGTTGCGATCGATAGTATTCAGCGGGATGTTGACAAGGTGTACCATCAATTACAGATTCATTCAGTGTGGCAAATGATTTCATTCCAAATGGCATGCAGTTGAGTTCACATTCAGCATCGTCTATAAAAAGTTTACGGCTTGTTACATTATATAGAAAACAGTTTGATTAAAATAAAAATATATAACGGTGTCACCAAGCCCTAAAATATGTTTAAAAGCATAAACACCAATTGTCAATTTTTGGTGGTGTTTAAAAAATATAAGGAAAATAATTTATGTCTTTTTAGATTATGGATCATTGTAAATGCATACCCTTTACATAAGGTTCCCACCTATATCGATGACCATGAAACTCTATTTCGTTGTAAGTTGTACATTGAGTAGCTCGAAAATCCGGGGATTGCGCGTCGCAAGGCACATCATTGCATAGCTGATAACGTTTAAAGTAGCCCACACATGCATTACTCGTAAGCTGATTATTCGTCACTGGGTTTCTAAAATAAAAAAAAATATGTGCTTTGAGAAATGATTGTAATTCAGCCTTAACTTATAGGAAGATTAGGTTCGTCGGAAAGGATAGCTTTTAATTTTATAACATGTGGATACAGTCAGCCATAGTGTTTCAAAACTAAAAACCTTTTATCAGAATAACAAGTGAATGATTTACATTTAACTATTTAAAAAAGTAGTTTATCGTAAACGGGTGAAGAATATTGAACACAAATGAGAGTCAATAAAAATGAATTAAAGATTAAAGGAATTTCCAGGTCTAGAGAAATTAAATCTGATTTAAATTTGGTCAAAAACTATATCTGACTATAGCTGTGCTAAACAAAGCATGAAAATAATTGATGGACCTTATAGTATATAACTTACTTGCTGATGCATTTTCGAATTTGATACTTAACGCCCCCGCCGCAACTTCGAGAACACGCGCTCCAGTTGCTCCACTTGTCCCATCGTGGATATGGATTAACATTCTTCTTCAGCTTTTTTGTTGTTATTACTTTCGGTGGATTTGGAGAAGAGAAAACCTCCACAATACTTGGGGTTTGACTTGTAGTCGCAACGTTACCATTTTCAATTGGATCCTTAGTAAGCAATGTTGCTATTGTAGTTGCTTCCAGATCAGATTTAGGAGTCGATGTATTTTGTTTGGTGTCATTTATAAATATATTCGTTGGCTTTAATACTATTTCATTCGATTTGTTAGATATTTTACTAGTCGTCTCATTTTCTAAATATTCTTCTTTGTTAGTTGGTTTTTGCTTAAGAGATAAATTTTTTCTCGTGTGCCATAAGTTTGCCAGCTCATAATATGAGTTGTTCGTATGTATTTTTTTCGCCTTAGGTTTGCTGTGCTCTTTCAGCCAATCTTGATGTTTCTAATCATAAAGAAATGTAAAAAATAATAAAATGTAAATGATTTATAATACCCATTTCAGTCTCTTTATGGCAGTTGTCCAATTTTTTGCCAATTAATTTTGAAACAAACAAAAAGTGTCTGTGGTAGACTATTCAGTTAAGTTAATAGAATTTCGAAAAACGGATGAATGGCGCTTGACAAAAAAAAAACGCAGAGCTATAATTTAGTTTCTTTCAATTTCAGAAAACATCCACTTACAAAATTTGTTTGTAATTATGAAGGTATTAAAAAAGAATTTACGACTTTAAAGCAAGATTAGCGTGCTATTAACAAAAAGCGCATTGACGTCGCGAGACATATTTTCAAAAAGCATGGTATAGCTTTAAAGCGCCCCTCTGACCTAAGTCTTTTTTACACGAAATGTTTCTTTAGAGCGATAATTTATAATCCACTTTATAAGGGGTTGCCCTAAAAAAATTAATGTGTAACAGCATTCCGATTCAGACACAGAAGATTGTCAAATGACGGTCAAAATAAATTTAAATTCGATATTCAAGATTCCTGATTGTCACATATAACACCAAAATTTTACAATATATACAATATATTGCACTTTAATTAGAAATAAATTATAATAAAATAATTCTTAAAATCAATTAAACGTCAAAGCAGTATTGAACACCTACCTTTATTCGATCTTTAGTGGATAATTCCGCCTTTACGAAACTGTTATCGAGTATAGATGCAAGAGCGATAAAAATACTGGAAATCAGATAAGTTTATAAATATAAAATAATAACCATTAATGTTACTTAGTTTTCGTTTATAATGTTTAAAGCATTTTAAATGTAGTCGAAAATAATTCAATAGTAATAAAATGCTGCAAATAATTAGAATTAATTAATTTAAATATATTCCTTAAGATTCGACTTAAAATATGAAAAGACACCATAGTTTTCCCTAATGTTTCATCTATCCATATTCTCTAGGATTCATTGACAATTATTTTGCATAGACTCGTAAATTTAAAAATGTATAAAATAATTTCTTGGTATATACCTCGATTAATTAAAAAAAAGCAATTGTTAGATGAAACCTATAAAAAAATTGTCAAAAATAAGTTCACACAAAAATCAGCAGTTTAAGAAATAAGTTTTATTTTTGGAAAAAAAAGGTCAAATTGCCAAAATTCAGTAGTTTTAAGATTTATTTGTTTAGGAATAGATAATTAAAGGAACATTTGTTCAAATACATCATAAATCTAATGCACTTCCGATTTGTAAAATGAATGTCTACTGATGAATCAAGGCAATTTCATAGGCAAACAAAATACGTTCAAGATCTGTTTGATAGCTGCTCTTTTTACAAACTTTTCAGTGAAAACGAGCCACTGTTTGGCGGCGAGGGTAAACAAAAATCTTGATTAAATGCAGCTGATGGAGATATGTTCAACCCGCCCTCTTTTTGGCTATCAAATTTGTATCTATTGGGAAATCCATTTAGTTGGGCTTTAGAAACTATAAAAGCTTGTGAGTTATGAAATGTTATATTTTACCTGAATATTAATAACAGCTTTGCCATTTTTAAGCCTGAAATCACAAAACAAGAATAAAACAATTAAAACTTAAAATATTTAAAAGGATTGGTTCTTTAAAAATTGTTCATAATTAAAACTGAAATTCAAAAATTAAATACAAATTTTTCTTAAAACATTAGTAAAGTCTAACTTTAAAATTAGACTGATGCCATTGTTTTTGACTTACAAGCTACAAGTTCGATTATTTTTGTATGTTTTGTAGATAAATTCACTATCGTTTTAAGCAATCTTCAATATGTGCCCGTACGCATGTTCAGGCTTTGTATTAGCAGCTCACACAGAGGAACTCAAGTTCCATTATTTCCATTGATTACGAATAAACCGACCGTGACTATTCGACTGGAATGGATGTACTTTCGGCAGCATACACTACAAACATCCGTGAACAAAAATGGGAAGGGCGTATTTCATTAGAAGCCTCCACACCCACTCAACATTTTGGAGCTATGTATGAGCACACAACTATTGCGTATACTACAAATACGCATATAAAATATTTTATATAATTATATAAATCAGTTCATTTAAAGCTGCGGCTTAAGAATACCGTTCTATTTAAGCATAATTCAAGTCTGGGGTTTTGTATCTTTAAAATTCTCTTGAAAAGGACATTTTTGTCACAATTTTTTAAAATAATGGTAGGATGCTAAGCAAAAACAATATCTCCGATCAAAAGAGATTGATATTAAGATGTTTCCATGAAATATCATACGATAAAAACGTTATTCAGTTATATGTAGCTGAAATTTGTAGTACTAATTTGGTGTTCAACTATTCCTAAGTGGAATAAAGTCTTTCTAACGATATAAAAGTGCTTTTTCCGCCACTGACACACATTTGGTAAGAGCAATATACCCTAGAACAGTACGAGTACCGGGTATATATAAATTCCTAATGTCACAATGTACTTTTCATACTTATCTGTGTCAATAGGCCCATATTGGGCCTATCTATGCAGTGAAACTGCATTTGCCCATGTATGCACATCCACGAACTCAGTGTTGCAATGGCATTAGCACTTCACCATGCCACTGAACTCAGAAACACTCAATCCAAAGAGTGCGGATATTATGAAGAACTTGCATTAAAGTGAAGTGTTTAGAAAATCTTCAATCGTCCGCCCATGGAAACCAAAGTACGTCTGTCCAAAATATTTTGATACACATGTCATATTCTCGCATTCTTGTATTTCGTCATTCACACTCGCTTACATTATGTGAAACTTCCGCAATTAGCAAAACGGGAAAATATTTTGAAACATACATATGTGTGCGCCCAGATGGGTTTGTTTAAATATCCGAATTGCCGAAAAAGATAACCGAAAAACATTATGTGGAAAATGTTAGTCTCTGTCACGGATCGAATTGGATACATTTGATTTCGCTTTCAGATTTGGACAACTACTTTTGTGGCAGACTTTGTTATTATCCGTTCAATCCTAAAACTTAATGACTGTAATAACGTTGTTACATTTAAGGCATGCAAAATAATGTAGTGTTATGGGGATTGAAACTTCCATCGACAGAGGGCTTTCTTTCACTATGCATACAGTACTTGAGTGATTACTGTCATCGAGAAGATAGCGGTTCAATTCGATTGAGGTAAATTGGTTTGTCCCAAAACGCGTTTCAAGAAACCCCAAATCAATTACACACTTTTCCCAAAAGCAATTAAGCCCGTATTCAAAATGTCTTCGGGCCTTTGAAGAGGCCAAGAGTTAACAAGTCAAACAATTGTAATGAGATTTAACACAAAAAAGCAAATGGAAAAACAAAAGGATACGGATCGTCGTTCAAGTCGATCATCTATCAGAATACCTTTTTATTTCACTTTTCGTTACAATCACTAATTAATTCGTTATATTTGTTTTAAGACGGGTATTGATTGATACACAAGTAGTGGAATTCAACTTTAGCTGTAGGATACGCGTATATTAATTATCAAAACTTTAAGGATCAGAGCTTAAATTTACTTCACGAAATCACGGAATCAGTTTTTAAAAAGCAAAACCAATTAATTTTTTTTTCATAATTTTAACTTTTAACTATTTGAAAAAGTATACAAAACCCCGTATCACTGCACTCTTAATTCTGGATTAATTGAAGCCGCCGTCTTCATCGCGTGGTACTCAAATCCGAACTGAAATCCGAACTGAATTTTCGGGAAAGCGGCTTTGGGAACAGAAGTGTTGGATTGGAGGCAGAGCGCACCGCGAGCATCAGCGCAGCTCTGGCGATCGAGTGCCAACAACAGCACCCGGAGCTCCCCGATTCCCCGGAGGAGTGGGGCCCCACTATGCCATTCACATAGGCATAGAGTCATTTGCCAGCGCCACCCAAAAGTCTGGAGCCAAACGTGCGTACATACAGATATGAGCATACCCACAGCTCGCGCCGAAATAGTAGCACAAAAGAACCCACCGACAAAATCAAAATGATCAAAGATAAGCAAATATAATTTTAAAATGAAACTATATTAAATATTAAAAAATAAATATAATACTCATTTCTAAGAACTATATTGAGCAGCAAAAAAAAATATTAATGTTAGAAATATATACACATTATAATAAAAACCAAGTTCCAATTATGATTAAATCGCTTTTAAAACCAAAATTAATATTTAAAATTTAATTCAAATTATATATATTTTGTACTCATTTTCAAACCCGGTTTTATACACAAAATAAAATGTATTAAATATATTTAGTTTAGTTAATTGCACCAAATACTAAGATTTCTTATACAAACTATATAAAAACCTTTTTTAGATATTAAGTTTATGGGGCAGCTATCTAAATTCTATCTATTCTAATCGTTATGACTTATCTAAAGGATAATCTGTAAAGAATCTTAGTTAAAGAATTTGTAATCTATGAAACTAGATAATGCGAAAAGCACATTTAACCTTGGACTCTCGATGCTATTACACTGCCCTCAATTGTACGTGTGACCATGGGTGAGTTACAATAATGTGGGTGATGTCTCTGCATATGTATGCATTTAACTTTATGTAGCTTTCAGCGGAATATCAATGCGAGAACAAATGTACATTCGAACCTTACGCAAACGCTTAATGCGAAAGTAATCCAAAGAAATTTATGGAGCTGAAATTGGTTATAATTCAGCTGAACTCATGTCGGAACTAAGCTACCCACACAATTGATAAAAAAAAGCTAGGGTCCTGAAAATGTTCAAAAAGAAGTTCCTTGAGTACATGGTTACTTTGACAAATATTATTAGGGAAGTCCTTACAAGTTATTTATGCATTCGTAATTATAATTTGATTCTAAACAAAGAAGATTTGCTTCTTTGGTTATTCCAACAAAACTTTTTGTTTAATTATTAGACAACGTTCTGCTATCAAATGCAAATTTTGGAATTAAAATATTTTATTTCGCTATGATCGCAACGTTTTATGTTATGTTAATTTATAGAAAATCTTTTATTTTTATCTGGAGATAAATCTTTCTTTTATCAAAACTAGAGAACGGAAATGGTATATGATTTTTAAACTTTTAGAAGTAACTCTTAAAAATTCAAGAACTTTTACTCAATTGCAATTTCTTTAACTACTTTGTTTGGATCTTAACCGAAACTAATTCAGGATTTACTATAATTCCAGGCACTTAATAATAATCCACAAGTACACCAGAATTTACGTTCCCCTAACACACCATTAGCAATAAATACATAGGTTAATACATTGGCTAAGTTATTTTTAGTATTATGCACTGGATTAAAAAGAAAATGTTGGCTTTGAACCAGTTTTGGCTTTGAAATAAATTTATAAATATTAGTAGTAGGATTTTACTATTAAACTGTTTCCATCGACAGAACTAACTATTGACCTACAATTTTGTTTTTCGAACAGTTTTGTACACCCATACAAGGCTCTAATTCATAGATTTTCTGACTCAAACCCCATCTTAGCAAACTTATAAACTGCGCTTGTGCATCATTAATTTTGTATTTTGAAGATTGGGCGTCTATTAATTAGGTCGTTTGTTGCTATGCTGATATGAAGTAATAAATCTTCATTTTGGTTTGATATATAATTAAATATTAGCTCAGTTTCATACACTTTACAGACTAGACTTTTCGAAGACATAAGGTAGAGAAAACCAAATCTCCGACCATAGTGTTTCTAGTAATTTATTGTACTATATATCAAGTTTGTATAGAAGCGCTGCACTATTATCAAGCCTTTATTTCACGCCAAGCCTTTAAAACTCCATCGACCACACAAATGCAATTAACCCTAAGCTTCTCTGCGTAATAAATTTTAATTAATCTTAATTTCTTTGTAGAATTAAGTTAACGGAATTCAATTAATAGCACTGTGGAGCCAGCCAAAAGTACACTTATTTCAAGCTTGGGAGTGATTTTTTAATGAATGAAGCATTCCATTCGTTTCCTAATGGGGAAAGTAATGTTTTATTGCTATATTTTTTGTTACCCATGGAGTGCAGGTACGAAGATTTATTATAATTGTGCAAATACATTAAAAAATAGTAATCCACATTTTAAAATTGATTTTGTTTTAAATAAATGAATAAATTGTTTTTAACTAATATTACTACTAACTATCTAGTATAACTTTCTTTATGGGAAACTTTTGTTTTCATAAGCAAATCTTTTAAAAAAAATTTAATTAGTTTGTTTTTTTGAATTATAATAGTGAGATTCTAATCCAGAGTAAAATAGTTGCTGAATCGTTTAAATAAAATAAATAGATTTGATAATTTAATGATTAAACTCTTTCCCTTGAATGCAACCTGTCAATACTATGCATATGTACAGGCACTCAAAACATGGTTCGATTTTTACTTTCTTCTAAATGGTTTATTATTAGAAGAGCCTTAAATGTTTTACAAGCTTGCAAATATTGAAATTATTATTTATTATGCTTTGTTTTATTCTTCCAATTTGCAAAAGCATACAGCTTAAACATTTAATATGCAAACAAGATCCAAATCTTATCTGTAGTTTTCCAACTCTAACTATTCATTCACACCAAAACTGATTATTAAACCCCTTACTAGTATAAGAATTTGGAAGACTTCTGACAAATTTCATAAAGCATTTAAAACGTTTTGTTTTTGTATTTATTGTTTTTTTATTATAAACTATATATCGGAATTAAGTGTTAAATCTAACTTTCGTCAGCTTGAAGTCTTTTCAACATTGGCTCTCTAAGGTTGTAGTACTTTGCCATTTTCTGTAAAGCACATTTTTAGGACCAAAGCATTTAAATATAACCTGCATACATACCTCACAAAATGTAACATCGATAGAACATATAGCCTGTGCAGACTCATTACCCTCCACTCTTTTTGAATTTACAACGTGAACCAACGGCAAACCATCCTCGCCGTTTTCAACGGAAATATAGTTCTCCTTGACAAGAAACGAAATTTGCAATGCATTCTGAACGGTGTCCATAAAGTTGTTTGGATTGCAAATTAATTTAAAATACGGAATCGGCTGATTATCGCCCTCTCGATATATTTGTCTGATCTGTTTCAGTATATGGCTGACGGAGGCTGCGCCTTCGTCCTTGCGTTCCAATTTATCACTCTTCTTCGGACGCTTTTCCTCAACCTACAAAATAAATAGCACGATTAAGCAAAATAATCAATAGATTAAATATTTACACAAAGGAAAGTTTCTTATTGGTCAGTTATAAAAAGTTTTGACTGCAGCAGGCGCAATATGGAACTACTTCCAGAGATATTATTAACTTTTTGGATTTCCAGGTATAATTACAATAATAAATTTATCAAACCTAAAAAGTCGTAAATACCATTAAATATGTATGGGAGATTTTTGCGATTTTCTGTCGTTGAGTAGGCCTTCATCGCAGAATCTTTTCCCCGACATTTAAATAGGCACAGATGGCAGATGTTGTAGACCGACTCGCCTGATGATCCTAAATAAAATTTAACCTTATAATTTACGAGTAGACTTACCAGGGATTTTTGTTTGCGTTGGGCACGCTGTTTGGGTATGACCTCCTTTGGAGCAACATCAATGAATGGTAGCATGCTATCATTTGTGAAGAGCGGTCTCCCAAACTGAATGGCCAGTGCGCATACGGCGTCCCAATCCTCTTCATGTTCTTTAAAGACCATTTCATTCTGTCGGGAGTTTAAACATTATAGTTATTTATCGATAAACTAAAGTACATACTTACGATTGCCGTGATCAGCATTCTGTCCGTAAAGTTAGTGTTGTGCTGTATGGCTTTGCCCACAACTTCATGATTTCGTCTCAATAACTCCGTGTCCAATACAAGTTCCGTCGAATTTGTTCGGCGGTCCTCATGTCCCTTGTTAATATCGTTCGCTGTACGAAGGATTTCTTCGATTGCCGCGATGGATTGGTCAAACGTCTTGTTTTCAATTTGTTGCTCTGCATTATATCAATCATATTATACTTTTAGTATTGTACTGCACTATTGTTACCTACCTATCTCAATATTCTTCTCAATCAGGTTTTGCAAGCACAAGATTCGAACACCTTGAGCCGAGCCTTCCGCAGCCATCATAGACTGACTTTGGGAAGAATCCATCGTATTACCAAATAATTATTAAACAAAATTATGTCAAAGTCTATTAGGATTTGACAAAATCAAAAACCTTTAAATATGATAGCTGTAAATGTTTGTAAACACAAGGTTTATCGATGTATTGTCAAGATAGTGCCGAAGCAATCATTTAAAACGATGAGAAACGGAACATGGTTAGGGAACAAACAATTGTTTTGGCTTTTTTTACAGATATGAAAGTTGGAGTCCCACTGACCACCCCTCAATTCCTACTAAGCCACCGGTAATTTTGGCCTACAAGAGCTTAGGGTTACACGGAAAACATATAATATTATAAATCAGCTGTTCCTGTAACATTAAAATAATCCTTTCCAAATAAAATTGTTGAGCTCCAAACTTTATTATTTATTGTGCTTCAGACCAAATTACTTCGCCTGGTATTTTTGAAGATTTGTTTATTTCTTGCATGATACGCCTCAATGTTTTCGTAAAGGACATCAAGTCATTTTAGGTATTTCCTGAACTTCTGAATTTTGACAAACTGTTTGGCAACTGGTCTATACAAATCCAATCCAACTTTCAGAAATTGAGCAATCTTTTGGTTGTTGAATCGGCAAGAACACAGAGTTTGCCAACATTGTGCATTAACAAGTGAATACAAGTATCACAGCAGGCTTTGTTTAATTTTGAATTAAATTATTTATTTATTTATTTAGGGTTTTCAATTCACAACGGAAAGGATTAAACGATAGACTTACCTTACATTGTAACAGTTAAATAAATTGTTTTAAATAATTTTGAATTGTTCCCATGGCATATTTTAAAAATAACTTTCAGGACGTTCTTTTCATTTTACCTGTTAATAATATAACTTAAAACACTTACAGATCCACATTTATTATCCCTATTCTGGTTTTTAGACAATGGGAACTGGGTTCTAACATCTAATCAATTACAATGATAATGTCATAAAACATAACTCAATAATCTAAAGACCATTCGTTCTCTGCAATAAAAGAGTCAACCACTTCCTTCATTGAAAAATTTGGTATTAATTGATCCTGAGTGAGCTTCACGCGTGTAACTGGGTCAAAATGACCAACCCGCTGTAAATGCTCTTCAATATCTTTACGTTCATAGGTAATTCCAGATGGAGTTATCACAGGGTCCGTTAATATCTCAAAACTAATTTTGCCACATAGAAAATCGGGAACGTCGCGTTTCTGTAAGTTTAAAAATTAATGAAAAACAATCGACAGGTAACTAGCAAAACTATAAGGACAAATAATAACTTGTTTACTACTTTAAAAATTATTTTCAATTGAATTGATTTGCTACTTACCCTTCGGCGTTCATCAACTTTAGAAAATATATTGTTTAGTTCTTTTATATGGTCATCCTAAAACAAAAAAAAATAAGGTAAATCAATTTTTAGAAGTAACAAAATAATTCAAGCTGGAGTTTGATTTAAACTTACACATTCTTGTTCAATTTCCTGCTGCTTGTCCTTTAGCTGATCATCGTGCGCATTTTCATTCAGTTTTAAATGAGCCAAACGGTTTTCCATATCTCCCTTTATTAACCTGTATTAAATATACAAAATTAGTTTTTCGAAGATTAAGTTATTTCTAGAATCCTCTGGTGAACTATGCAATCTAAACTTTGTATGCTTATATCAGTAACAGTTACATTGTTTCGTGATAGAACTTTGAAAAAATGGCAAAAATATTAATTTTTCTACAAAGTACCTGCTTTCTGCAGGATAGGAAAACGATGGACTTAAAAAAATGTTTCGATTATTCCATTATTTCGAATTTGTTCGTTATTAATGTAATCTGTTAAAATATGTAATTCATCTAAATTTTGTGAGGAGAATATAGTTTTACACAACCAAATTGTGAAATAGGGGATTCTTTCGCACCACAAAAGTTTCCGTTATATTATATTTTAGAATGGTTTTTTAGAATGGTTTTTTTCTTTTTTTTAAGAACTCATAACTTATGTATTCCCTGGATAATCAGAATGATAGAAAGCCTTTGTTTCTAGTAGACAACATATATATATATATAGGCAATTTTGGTACAATAAAAGGAATCAAAAACAGGAGTCGGTACCTTGTATATGTATGCCCTTGTCTTCCATAAATCGCCTAACAGGTAAGTATATTGAAGGGAATACAAATAGTTTCTATTACCGATTTAAATAGCTTTGCAATTCGATTTCCTGGTGTATTCGCTTCTCCTCCAAGACATTCCATCGTTTTTTGCGAGCTAGTCTCAACTGGAGTGTAATATCATCCCCAAAGTTTTGTTTTTGTTCCTTGGACAGATCATATGCTGAAATGTAAATGTTATTAGAATAAAGCCACTCATATTCGCAGACTTCCAACCCCGTTGAAGGTGCTTTATGGCCTCGTCAAAGCTGTCGATTTCCATTAGTCCTTGGCCCAGGAAGAAGTGTCCTTTCAGAAGGTTGGCGTCGATGTCTAATGCTCGCCGACAATCCTGGCAGCACAGCTCCCAACGCTTTAGTTTCAGGTTGCAGAGGGCTCGATTTGTGAAGTAGGTAGCGTTTGTGGGGTTTTTTATCTGGTAGGGTATGTACATGTATGATATTTAGAGCATAGTACATGCCAATGTAAACAACAAACACATTACAATACGGTGATACTTACGATGGCCTTTGAGTAACAGTTTATTGCGTCGTCATATTTTCGAGCAGCAAATAAACAGTTGCCCTGCTCCTTAAGCTGCAGGTCTGATAAATTAGTCGTGGAATAAATGTGTTTCGTCGTCATGCTGATAAATGTTGCGGCTGGTCCAGAATTTTATTTTCTTCGAAGCTGCTTTTGACGAAAATTGAGTGTCCACCACAAACCACTAACAAAATTGTTTCCTTTGCAAGGAGTAGGTAATCGGTACAAGACTTCAACAGTAACAAAGGTCCTGGCTGGAAATCGGTGTCGACTATTTAACGCTCATAACACTAAATAGTTCTCGTTTTATCCGCCTGTCTTTAATTAAACATAAAACAATTTTCAGCTACGTTAATCGATGTGTATTCCAGGGTTGTCAAAGCTCTGGAACTTTAGCCTGCAGAACCATCGATTGCACTATCGGAATTCGACAAACTTTTTTTGTTGGAACACTACCGTCGGCATATTTTAAACCACCCATCTTTATTATAAAAAAAACTAATTTTATTGTTATTTTGTTTAAAATCTACATACAAATGTATATATTTTATTTCATAGGTATAATGCAAAATGACTAAAATTTATACAAGTATTTAAACACAAAAACAAACTATACTCACTAGAATTCCAGTTTTAAACAATACAACTGAATTAAGCAATTTTCGATTTTCTTTTTAACAATTACAACAGATTTAATAATGAAAATAAGTGTTGTAATGCATTTTATTCGAACTTGTAACAAATCTATTGGGCAGGAAAAAAAGCCATTGAAAAATGTTAATTACAATATTTTTACCTAAGGCTTACAAGTATAAATCGAAATCTATGCGGTTGCTGGTATAGAAATTGGTGTTTTCGCCACACTTTCGGACGTAGACTCCATTTTTGAAGTAGTTTTCCTGGGACCATTTCAACATTTTCTCAGTGGTAAAGGGACCTTGTATTTCAGTCTCATTTTGTGACCATTTGAACTCCCAGGTCACTTCCGAAGTAGTCATCGTGGGATTTGCCGTAGCATTCGAGGTTTTGGACCGCTGCAACTCTTTCGTTTCAAAATCATCTGCATACATGTCAATATCATCGGCTACTTTGGATTTGCTTGTACCTGGCAAATCTGCGAGCTTTGATTTTATGCTTTCAAAGGTCTCTTGATATATGTCCATATTGCCGGTTTTCGAAAGGATCTCATTGGCCAGCTCTGTGAGTTGGGAGATTTCCTGCGTCTTTGTGTCAACAATGCCGGCCTTCTTCTGTTTAATTCTTTGCAGAGTTGTTAGGACCGGACGCTGACTTCCCAGTCGTTGCAGGGTCATCTTAACAGTCTCTCCTTGTTTCATAAACTCCAGCATTTTCATCAGGTTCATGGACAAATTGAAGGCCTTTCCCGCAGGTTCGATCTGATCGTCCGAAGAGTTGGAGTTTTGGTCATCTTTGGCAGGGTCAAAGGAGTTTTTCTGCTTGCCAATCTATAATAAAAATTGAATAAAGTGTTAGTATTACATGTATTTTAATTACATGTATTCTAATTCTTACCTTAACCCAGTCAATGTTGTCTAGCCAATTGTCCTTTGCTTCTGCCTCCTTGTTCCAATGGTAGTGGCCATCTTTGTCAAAGTGTCCTTCCTCCAATTCTTCCTTCATATTAAACGGTGTTACCTTCACATCGTCTTCTACTTTTGCTACGCCTTCCTCTCCTCCTTCAATGTCGCTATCATTGAGATATTCCCTGCAAAGCAAAATTTAAATCAAAACAAACCACGGCGTGACAGACGTTCAATATTACCTCTCGTAGTCGTCGGAATCCTCTTCATCTGAGTCAAGCGTGTGTTTTTTTAAGGATTCTTCTTGGGCTTTACCGGCACCAGGATGTTTTCTTTTGCTTGCCATTATATTAACAACTCAAAATAAACTCAATAAAAACACAATGTAAATATGTTTTATTTATTGATTCTATTTACCGTAGGGATGGTAAAAATATAAATACCGATAGTTGGCCAACAAAAAATTTTCTGTTTCAATTCTACAATTCCAGAAAAACAATTTGATTTAATAACCCATTTTTTACATTAAATGGATCTATCGCTTTATATTGAATTTTTAAATTCGCAACTTTAATAAATATATCTATTTTTTTAAATACATGAATTAATATAAACCCTTGAGCTATTTTTAAATTGACTGTTTAATTTAAACTGTTCACTATTCTTGACCACATTTTTATAATATTTAACTAATTTAACATGGGCCTTCACATCTAAAAGGGAAAAAACAATTTTAATCAATAGAAACTACATATAAACCTAAAATATCGAAACTCTTTTTGAAACCAGGAAATATAAACTGCGCCTGCGCTAAGTTTTACTCGAATTCTTTTCCTCCAATGTCATCCTGCTTGCGAGAGGCTCCTCAAACAAAGTTAATAGTTTTCAATAATTTAATCCGTTACTGTTTAAAGAAATTGCCAACTGAATGCGTCACGAGTAGAATCGAAAAATTATGGTAACCACCGACCATAACCAATCCAAAATTAACCAAACCAAAAGATAACCAGAGCAAAAGTCCCCAACCCACCCCGTTCAGAAACACTTTGATTAATCCGTAAAGAAATCTTAAATCGCGTTAACCTTACCCGCTCAACAATATTACGCTTAAACATGCCGATAGGAAGCATTATTAAGAAGGCATCTAGCTTTATACTGGGTGACGAAAGGTTGGACAAAAAAATCGATATTTCTTACGAAGACAACGAAATTCTCTTCTGCAAGAATAACGTTTGCATTCATCCACCTACAATCGCGCGAGATGAATCAGATATATTGCACAACCCAGGATATCTAACATGCACGACAAAGACCTTTGTGGATCAGTACAATAGCGCCAAAAGGCCCACGTTACTGCTCACTTGGATTCCGAACTCATCGCTATGTAAATACACCAATCTAAGCACCGAGGATTGCCGGGGTCAGTGCAATCCGAGGACCAAGTCCCCGGACTCCCGAAACGGCTACTGTCACGTGACTATACCTCAGACGATCCAGGAACTGGACATCCGGGAGGAAGAGGACAACGCGGCGGAGATGCAAGAGCTGAAGAACGAACTACAACCTTTGCTGGGTGGTCAAACTGCATCCATCGACGACCTAACGGCTCTGCTAAAAAATAACCCCATTACATCGGTGAACATAACGATTTCAAATCCCCAAATCGAAAACAGCAATATATCGCAATCTTTCAACTGCATTACCATCCGACCCGATGGAAATAACTGCGGCGAATGCGCCAGTGGAAACGGCGTATCGGAAGGTCCAGCATCCGACAACCCCAAGTGGACGACTCCGGAACTCTTGGCCTTTAAGCACAATCTGGAGTTTCCGGATAGCGGTAACTCTACACCCGCCGATCGCCAGAAGTCAGTGATGAAGTGCCGCCACTTTTCCGTGGATTTGAGCCAGATGCGCTCGCTTCGCCTCTTCTTCAACGACGACAACTGTACTTCCGGTCAGCTGGTAATCGCTTCCCGGGAATCGCAGTACAAGATACTTCATTTTCACTACGGCGGTCTGGACCACTTGGCCCAGGTGCTGCATCAGTGGCACTGCTTTCTGCATAACATCACATCGGAATCGGGTCAGGATAAGTTTGACCTGCCCTACAGGCACTTTATGGTCTGTCGTCCAGAGGTCAAAAAGTCGGAAATGCATCCGGATGAGGGCGATGTCAAAAAGATAACAACCAACTTCTTCTACGGTACTCTGCTTAATGAAAAGGGGCAGATCGAGGACGATTTGCTCCTTCGCAAGTGCGTATTTTTTGGCGGAATTGAGAAGAGCTTGCGCAAGACAGTGTGGCCTTTTCTCCTGAAGTGCTATTCATTCTCATCGACATTCGAGGATCGCGCCGTTTTGATGGATATCAAAAGGCAAGAGTACGAGGAAATAACACGAAAGCGTCTGTACTCGATGTCCCCGGAAATGCAAATACATTTCTGGAAGACCGTGCAGGTGGTTGAAAAGGACGTGGTACGCACGGATCGCACTAATCCTTTCTTCTGCGGCGACGATAACCCAAACACCGAAGTTATGAAAAACATTCTGCTCAACTTCGCTATATACAACACTGGGATGTCCTATTCTCAGGTTAGTTCTTATACTATTTATCTGTGAAGTGCGGTGTTCTGTAAGATCTTATTATCAGAAAAGTTATAAATTTATTAAAAAGGTTTAAAGCCGGACCATGATATGTTTAAATGTTTAAATGTTATCACTTACATTTTGATTTATATTTTTTAGGGCATGAGTGATCTCTTAGCACCTGTCCTCTGCGAAGTGCAAAACGAGTCGGAGACCTTCTGGTGCTTCGTGGGTCTGATGCAGCGGGCGTTCTTCGTGTGCACACCCACCGACAGGGACGTGGACCACAACCTAAACTACCTGAGGGAACTGATCCGTGTGATGTTGCCGCGCTTCTACGAACATCTGGAACAGCACAACGACAGTATGGAGCTGCTTTTCTGTCACAGATGGCTGCTCCTGTGCTTCAAGCGAGAGTTTACGGAGGCGGTGGTCATCCGGATGTGGGAGGCCTGCTGGTCGAACTACTTGACCGATTACTTTCATTTGTTCCTCTGCCTGGCCATCATCGCCGTCTATGCGGACGATGTGGTCGCCCAGAATCTGCGGCCGGACGAGATGCTGCTGCACTTCAGTTCGCTGGCCATGTACATGGACGGGCAGCTGATCGTACGCAAGGCACGCGGCCTGCTCCACCAATATCGTCAGCTGCCGAAGATCCCGTGTACGTTGAGTGGCCTGTGCAAGCGGTGTGGCCCAGGGATGTGGGACTCGGAACATCGTCCCGCGCTGGAGTGCGTTGGCCACAGCGACGACGAAAAGTGCTCGCTTTCTATTGACTAGTTATCCAAATGTACACTGTTTAAACTCAGCAATAACTATTGTTGGCGACTGATAATTCGTCATTTACTATTAGCACACGTATATTGCTTTATACTACGTTTAAACGCCCTTTTTATTTGCAATTGAAAATGTTGAAAGTTACAGGTTTCCCTTCCGTCTTATTTGCGAATATTTTAACCATTCATATTACTACAAAATATTTAAAGCTTATGTATAAACAGACAGTATATTAAGTGTTAAATACCTAATTTCGCAAAAAACTAACCATTAAACGTAGTATGCAATTATTTTTTCTGATTAGTTGCTTATTTATAATCGCCTATACACAAGATACATATAAGCCAGCTATAAAATTTAAAAATAAAACAAAGCGAGTTATTATGAAACAATGGAATAAATTTTAAAAACTATGGGTTTAACTCAGCTACTTTAAACAATGAATGAATTCTGTTCTGATTGGTCCAACAGTTCTGTTTGAATATTAGTTATGCTAACTTTATTTAATAAAATCGTAAATTTTGTGATTAAATTAAGATTTTTCCTTCTTTTAACGTTATCGTTAGTATTGAGCATCGGATCTACGAAAAGATTCACATTTGCGGTAATTGATCAATAGGAGTGGTAAACTTAAAGTCTTCAGGGAAGAGCTTAGCTGCGTGCGGATACATAAGTTTGTAGGACTGTCGGATGGTGACATCGGCTACGCCGGCTATATCACCGATTTCCTTCTGACTTCTCTTATGCTCGGATGCTTGTGAAGCCATATAAATAGCGGCTGCGGCCACGGATATTGGCGAACGGCCCGGGACAATATCCATCTCCACAGCTTTCTTTGCAATGTGTGTGGCAGCGCGTTGAACCATATTCGGCAGGTCTGATGATTCAAAATGTGTTCACATTTTTTTTCAACTGATTCTTTAATAGTAACTTACCCAAGTTGGCGCAAAAGCGACACATAAAGTCCGCCGTGGTTATTAAATCTACACTTGTTTCAAGTGCCTTCAATGTTAACTTAAAGCATCTGCCAATCTCTTTTTTGCTGATCTTGCTAACAGCGCATATTTCCTTAAATGTGCGGGGCACTCCCTCTTGGCGACAGGCAATATACAGACAAGCAGATGCCTTGGCGTCATTGGATCGACCCTTGAGGTTCTTTCCGTCATGGACCTAAAAAATATATACATCATATCCATCCTCTTTTTTTGTAATTCCAATAGTCACCTGCTTGAACAAGTTGTTGGCGCGATCGACAATGGTTTTTGGCAAATTAATGCGATCGGCCATTGATGAAATTTCCTTAAATGCTGATATAAGGGAGCGGTCGGAGCTGCTCATGGTACGTCTGTTTTGATACTTGGGGGCGCCAAAAGCATCAAAGGAGGCAGACCCCGTACCCGGACCAATTATGGTGGACAAGTCGCCGCCGCTGAGCAGAGGATTCTCTGGGCCACCCACACGACTGGGATCCACCCCGCTTTTCTCGTTGCTAAAGGTTCGCCACTCGGAACCCACATCAATTACGCGGTCGCCAACCACTAGACCACACTCGGAGCAAATCATGTCGCCAGCCCTGTAGTCCTCGATCAGCGGAGATTCGGGGTGTGCGTAACAGCACACCTTGTTATTGTCCAGTCTGCAATCACAAAGCCATTACGTAAAAATCCGGAAATCATTCTAGAACCAAGTATTTACCTCGATGTCGATGCCATTTGTAATTCTGTAAGCTGTATATTTTTTTTAATACTCACATCAACTAGTGATGTGACTTGGGTAACAACTGGGATATATCGATAGCTCAACAATTGGTTGCGATGTTCCCTTTGAAACTACAAGATCGAAACGGTGGAATGGGCTCCGCTGTTTAAAAATAAAAGCTATGAACTTTAAATTGTAACATAGCGGCAGTTGTGGAACATAGGAATTTTTAATTTGCTTGCTCTTTATGCAGGTAATGTAAGCAATCTAATTGCACATTTTGTAAGAAAAGAAAACGTTTGCGAATATTTGCTGCCGCTCGTATTTTACATTTTTATTAAACAAGTCGTCTTTCCACCCCTAGGAAAATTCTTATAGCTGATAAACACCCTTAAAGGAAGTTTCTTAGCATATATATGGAAATGTTATTAGTAATATAATTTTGAAACCATTTAATTGTAGTAATCAATAATAAATAAATCACTTTTTGAGAACTTACTTTGTTAATATAGTTGTTGGATACACCACACAAGGATTGACCTTAATTTTGTGTATTGGCAAATAATTTGTAATGATCCATTCTTGGTCACTTACAATATGGTTCAATTTTAAAAGCATTTGAACTGTCCTTTTCAGAACGTATTTTCCCACTGTTCCACAAATAAAAATGTTGGATCACTTTAACAAAGATGTTTTATCTGGTATCTCTTTTCGCAATTCCAAACTACGCATAAACGTACAAGCACTTTGAAATATTTGAATATTTACCAACACTATTGCTGTATTGTTATGGCAACAACAGGATGCCATGCTAAACAAATTTATTGACATGAAAAAATAGTATAGTTTCGTATTGATGTTCGTAGTTTGTACGAGTTCCGGCTGTATAAAAATTATTGGCCAACCTTTACTGGCCTTATATAAATTTTCAAGAGACTACTATTCTGTGGGTGAACCGGTCACTGCACTGCAGTCGCGACATGTTCAAAAACACTTTCCAATCAGGATTCCTATCGATTCTGTACAGTATTGGGTCGAAGCCTCTGCAGCTGTGGGATAAAAAAGTGCGCAATGGACACATAAAGCGCATTACCGACAACGACATCCAGAGCCTAGTTCTTGAAATAGTCGGCACCAACGTCAGCACAACGTTTATAACATGTCCGGCGGACCCGAAGAAGACTCTGGGCATCAAGCTGCCCTTTCTGGTGATGATTATCAAGAACATGAAGAAGTACTTCACATTTGAAGTGCAGGTAAGCAACCTATCTACATATCTTTTAGAATCCTGTAATTCGTAGGTTTCCTCCCTTAAATAGGTTCTCGATGACAAAAACGTGCGGCGAAGGTTCAGGGCCAGTAACTATCAGTCGACAACTCGTGTCAAGCCTTTTATTTGCACCATGCCCATGCGGTTGGACGAGGGATGGAACCAAATTCAATTCAACTTGTCCGACTTCACCCGACGCGCTTACGGCACAAACTATGTAGAGACCCTTCGTGTACAGATCCATGCAAATTGCCGCATTCGACGCGTCTACTTCTCCGATCGCCTTTACTCGGAAGACGAGCTGCCGCCAGAGTTTAAGCTCTTCTTACCCATTCAGAAGCCGGTGCAAAAGTCCAACGCCATTTGTAGCTAAATGGCGAATGCTTCTTTCAACAAATAGAGCACCTAACCCTTCGGAGTCGACGATTACAACGGCACAAACTGCACAAGACTGCCATCTGAACACACATTAACACTTTATGGGGATCACGAATAAAAATTCATCATGTACATAAAACGATCATTATCAATCTCTTGTGAGAATCTCCGTACCCGTCTCGGTAATCAGAATAGTGTGCTCAAACTGGGCGCTACGAGCACCATCCAAACTAATCGCCGTCCAGCCATCCTTCAGAACGGCTATTTCTGATCCACCAAGGGACAGAATGGGTTCAATGGTAAACGTCATGCCAGGCTGCATCTTTCCAGGAAACTCATTATCTGCGATTTATTGGTTAACAAAGGGAATTCAGAGTTCTGGTCACGGCTACTTACAGTAGTGAAATATCTCAGGGGGACCATGGAAATAGCTTCCTATTCCGTGTCCTATGAAAACAGCAATTGACTCAAGGCCTCGTTCGTCGCAATATTTCTCTATAAACTTTCCAATCTCCTTGAATTCCACATCTGGGCCACACAGTGAGATACACTGGTCTAAACAGGAGCTTGTGGCCTCCACCAGGAAGCTTCCCCGCTCGTCCACATCGCCCACCAAAAATGTTTTTGAGCAGTCGCCATGGTAGCCGTTTAAAAAGACTGTGACATCGATATTTATAATATCGCCATTGGCCAACTGACGGTCATCCGGTATTCCGTGGCAGGCGATGTTGTTAATGGAAGTGCAGATGGACTTTGGGAAACCTGCGTATCTCAGGGGTGAGGGATAGGCATTAGCTTCAATAATCCGTCCATGTGCAAAGGCGTCAATCTCATCGGTGGTTGTGCCAACTGTTGCTAACTTGCCGCATTCACGTAATACCCGAGCCGCCAGTTTTCCGCTCAGACGCATTGCCTCTATCTGACTGGGAGTTTTGATCTCTGGTGATCCCAGGGTGTTGCCTGGCGGCATGTTTTTAAAGTAGTAGCACGGCTTTTCGATCTCTTCGGGAACACTCCGTTCCGGGGAAACCAGGCCGGTAGATACGATAGTTTCATATTTGCCGGTATCTCTGCAAGTACACCGATTTGAACTAATTTCATAATCCAAAAACCTGCCCATACTCATACCCCTTGGCTTTGCCGAACTGGAAAAAGTTCCTGGCAGAGTTCTTTTGCTTCATTAACCGATTTAAAAAACCGATTCTTCTCATTTTGTTTTGGTTACATGAATAATTTCCAGTGTGACCAGGAGTTGTAAACTTTTGTATGTTTAAAAGTAACAACTTAATAATGGTATTCCCTATATTAATTTATTTTAAATATTATTGATATTTTTTACTTTGAAGCCCTTTATTTAATTATCTAAAATAAATTTAAGGATTTAGAAACAATTTAAATAAATTTCTAAAATTTATTTAATAGTTTCATTTTCTTATAAATTAGCTTTTCTATCATCAAACAATTAAAAGAAAATGTATTTATTTATTTTACTTTCTTTATAGTTTATAATAGCTGTAAAAGGTTTTAAAATATTGTTTATGCCACGTTAGGTTTGTTTTGCTTTTGTAAATCATAATCCTTTTAAATTAATTTGGGTTTGGTTGGTTTTACTATGAAGCGTGCAAGGCGAAAGTGATGTGGCGAAAATTTAATACATCTGTTGGGAATTCAATAAAATTGTGCAGGTCTTGCGGGCGATTATTCAGAATATATATATTATATGTTGACAATGCTCATTATTTACTTTACTATTAGCCACACAATGAGACTTAAAATTACACGGATTTTTAGAATACAGTCGGCTTAAAATCTATTTAATGGATATCTTTTAATTCTAAATTAAACAAAGAAATCTATGACCTCCTTTTTGATATTGTTGTGAATGCAAAACCCTCTGATTTAAAGAGAAAACATGTTTATAATTGTTAATTATAACGATATTTCGTACTGGAGTACTGTTTTAATATTTTTGGATTTAAAATTTTTTAGAGCCGAGAGTGTTCAGATCGGAAAACGGAGATTAATAATTTGTTACATTTTCAATGTACGATGTCGGTATTGCAAGATAGTTTGACTTCCGATTATCGGTTTATTTCTCATAAAATAATTACAACTTAAGCTCTCTCGATTTATCTTCTGTATAATAAGAACTAAATACGCTTTGTCAAACGGCCCGTGGATTTTTCGCTTGTTTATCAATGCTTTTGTTTACGACTTCGATTGATGATGTGTAACATTTATAAACAAATGCCACTCATTATGCACTTATGCCGGCAACTGTAGCTTCTTGCCCTTAAGAACTTTGGTAATGTATAAATAGAAGAAGTCGCAGTACAAGACGGTCTGGACGACTCCGGCGAAGATCGCGATAAGGTCGTAGTGCGACTCGACCATGTACCGGTACACCCAGTTGAGCAAGTAGAGCGCGCGGTAGGATCCGAGGGCGAATAGGTAGTGGCTCGTGATGGACTCGGCCTCTCCGGTTCTGCTGACGAGGAAGAGCTGGGGCAGGATGGCCACCGACTCCAGGTAAATGGAGAAAGTCCAGAGCACCTCCATGACGGTGAATTCGTGGTTGATTACCAGCGATAGCAGGGCACACGGCACCAGGAGGAACTCAATGCGGAAGGAATCGTGGTTGTGGTCGTAGGTGGCCTTAAACTTGACGTACATCAGATAGACCGTAGCCCCGGACGTTGCCAAGAAGAGCACCTTCATCACCGAGTTGTACAGGCTGACGTAGGTGGTGAAGAGATCCAGGTAGCGCGTCAAATAGACCACTGCGAACAGGATCTGCGACTTGCCGGATATTCCGGCGCAAGAGCGGGTCTTCCATATCTTCAGCAGCAGTATTATGATGGCAAACACATGCGATAAGTCTCCAGCGAACCGAAAAATATTCATCCTGATCTGATCCGTTGACTTGTCTGTTGTTTGGTGGTTTTCCTTTGCTTTTGCTGGGTTTTAGAACGCACCCCTAAAGCGCGGAAAGCAAAAAATTAAAGATAACAATGGGAGTTGTCCAACGTTTCGCCAGCTGCATACGTTACCAAAATGTTTTTCGCTTAATTTGCCAACGAGTAAAAAACTGAGGGCTTTGCCGCTTCCTCAAAAAACTTCTCAGAATGTCAGCATAAATGAGAGAACCAAAGAGAGTTCAAATGACGTGGCCGCATGTGAACAGAGGGTCGTGGTTCCGACTTTACGCATTTATGCAGGGATGGCACACGTTCTGTGCTCGATAAATATTCGATAACACGTAAGAACATTGGGAATAATGGTATGAAGTAAAATTATGGGTATTGTTTTTGTTTTGTATTGTCAATTTTCAAAGCAAATATATATATATAGAAAGGTATCCTTAAATTTTATCTTTTTTGCATTGAAATTTTTTGTTTTTTTAGCTAAACAGCTGCATTTTATGATTTATTAGAAAAATTCACAAAATTCGTGCTGTAATACTTTAAAAATATATGTGTATGTCTTGACTTGTAATTAAATAATTATTAGAACCTTATTTTAAAACATTTAAAAATTCAAAATAATTTCAAACTTATTTTTTAGGTAACAAAAGTTCAACGAAATATATACTATTATTTTTTTTAACACATAAACTGCATAGAATTTAAATTAAAATTTATAGGAAAAAAAGTTTAACGAAATATATGACTTTCTTTTTTATTCTCTCCATATATATTTGCATTGTTATTAATAACATGTTCCACAAATTATCTATTTAATTTTTACTTTTGATTTTCTAAATAGACTTTACGAAAAGCGACAGAAATACAAGAAAAAACAATAGAACCGATTAAATATTCTTTGTTTGACTCGATGTACAATCGATAGGAATTAACGTACTAGAAAACAATGAATACCGCATTGGATATTCGATTTATTCTTGATGCTTATCGAAAAACGCCGTGTTGCGGTTCGAGCATCTATATTTTATTTACCAGCCGTTGAATTATTATAGAAATCAAACAAAATGGTAAGTTCAATTAATGGAACAAATTTCGTTTATTATGTTTCCTTAAGTTCAATTAGGATTTTAGAGATTCCCGTACATTATTTTCGCGGTTATGAATTCCATATTTACACTGATATGTACATATGTCAGTACATACAAGCATGCATGCGAATAAATAAAAGAAATTGTTTTCTATTTATTAAGTTGGACATTAAAGAATAATACATACATTTGTGAGCAAGCTTTGAAGTCAGTGTTTTCGTTAAAGATTAAAAATAGTAACCGGAATTTGGAAATGCGATCTCAATGAATGGCCTACAAAAAAACCGCGAAATATATTCATCCTATTGCATTTCACAACTCGAAACCTATTTGTTTATTTCAGACTATCGGTAAAAACAACAAAATGATTCAGCACCTGAATTATCGGGTGCGAATCGTCCTCCAGGACTCGCGGACCTTCATCGGTACCTTCAAAGCCTTCGACAAACATATGAATTTGATCCTGGGTGACTGCGAGGAGTTCCGCAAGATTCGCTCGAAGAATTCCAAGGTCCCCGAACGGGAGGAAAAGCGAGTTCTGGGTTTCGTATTGCTGCGCGGCGAGAATATAGTTTCTCTTACGGTTGAGGGTCCTCCACCGCCGGAGGAGGGTCTGCCCCGCGTTCCCATTCCGGGAGCAGCTCCTGGACCGGGAATCGGTCGAGTGGCCGGCCGGGGAGTGCCCATCAATATGTCTGCCGTGCCAGCCGGTCTCCAAGGACCGGTCAGAGGCGTTGGCGGGCCCGCCCAACAGCACATGGCTCCGATGGGAAGAGGCGTACCCCGGGCTCCGATGATGGGGGCCCCGCCCCCGGCATGATTCCCGGAGGGATGCCCTCGATGCCAGGCAACATGGGACGCGGCGCTCCTCCACCAATGCGCGGTCCGCCACCAAGCATGTTACGTGGAGCACCACCACCGGGCAGGGGTGGCTACTAAGTATACACTACAAACCAATAAAACTCACCAAGAAAACAATAGAAAATCGCTTTCTTTTCTCGATGGATTTTTGTATTTATGTGTTTAATGTAAGCATACGTACATACAATGATTATTGCTTCACATCGAATATATGAGAACATAGCTGGGTCTGGATTTAGTCATTGCCAGCCACATCGTTCTTTTATTGGGTATTCCAGTTAATACCAAAACGCATCGCGAATGATTATACCTTTGGTACGTCGACTTGGATTTATGTGTGTGCGTACAGGAAGTCTTATGCCCAGATGTTGGAGAGATCCCAGATCTTGATGAGTCGGTCCTGGCCAACCGTCAGCAGACGCTTCCTGTCCTCATCGAGGTCCATGTAGATAATGGAGTGCTTGGCGTCATTAAATGAGGCCAGCGAGGGGCGCTCAACGGTCTGAAGTTGTTTGTAGCAGGGATCACAGGTACGAACATCAAACTCGAAGCCCATTATAGGTATGTTAATACGATTGGTTGAACAGTTGTCACACACAGCTTTGCCACAGTGACGACAATGATGTTGACGGATTCCTGGCGAGGAGAAAGCCCTGTTTAGATATACATTACCTCACTGTCTAGCAATTCCACTTACCCAGTTGCTTTTGATCCATCATGGAGCGGAAGTTCCAGAAAAAGGGCCTGGAGCAAAGCTGGCAATTGTTGGACTCCACCCAGCCAGGAACTTCTTTCCTCATCGCATTCATTTCCCAGAAAACAACAACAGAGTCTTCGCCACAGCTTATCAGTTGTTGGGTTTGGTTTGCGTACGACAGGGCAGAAACTTTGTTGCTGCATGAACGGAAGTACGGGTAAGTAATTAATTGTTAAATATTAACCTGCAATTCAGCTACCTATGTCCCTGCAGCTCGTAAATAGTGCCACGTTTGCCACCGACATCCCAAACTATTACGGACTGATCGCAGGCTCCGCTAAATAAAAGCTGGGGCCCTTCAACCCACCTCAAGCATCGTATTTCCGCTAAAATGTTTCAAAATTGTAAACATTATTATTATAACTTTTCGATTGTATTTTACCTGTATGTCCTTTAAACGTGGTAATCAGTTGAACTCCCTGAACATCACACCGCAGCATTGTTATTTGCCCAGCGTGATCGCCAACGAAGGCATACTTGGCTAATGCATCAAACCTAAACATAGATTACAATTAGAATAGCCGCAGTAAAGATGTTATCTTGAAATCTATGAAATTACCTTCGAAAATTATGATATGCGTGCTAGATCTGTTTGAAAGGAATTAGCCCTACCAAAAAAAAAATAACTGAACTCATTGAAAAAGCTCAGCTCATCCTTAAAATATTAAATTATTCTTTTACTCATAAAATAAATTAATACTGTCATCCTAGACAAACGAAAGACTTTAGTTGCTAGTGGTATTAGTAAGTAGTTAGCTTCTAGTGTTAAGCCTTAAGCTAGCTTTATATTTATAAATACATAAATTAATCAAATACGATTAAGTGAAAAATTATGAATTTAAGACTTGTTTGTATCTTGATTGTATGTCCATTTCAAAGTTAATTGAACTTTCAGAACTATAGTTTTTTGAATATCCAAATTTAAAATTTACGTTATTCTTTAAATTTCGTAGCAGAAAGGGCATTAAAAAGTTTACATATGCATATTTGGGAAGTTTAAGAAATTCAAATTTTGTACTGAATGAAGGCATGTAGTTTTGTATATGACCCCAACGGATCTCAGTTTAGACCCGTGTTATGGAGGGCAGCTTAATTAAATTAAATGTCCCGCTTATCTTATATCCAATGTTACAGCCCCCTATTTATCATACTTACTGGAGTGCAGTGCATGGAGTCTCAAAGTTGTATCCGCCCACTCTTTTGCCGCTCTCCGTGCAATGATAGGCGAACTGCTTATCTTTGCCTGCGGAAAGGACCCATTTGTGGGTTTTAGAGAAAACAACGGCCACAACTCTGGCTTGATGTGATAAGTAATCCCGCAAGAATGACAGGCGGTTGCAGTCTTCGGAGAGAGCATACTGGGTGACCGTTCCGTTCTCCTGGCCAACGTACAAGTGTCGGGATTCCGGGACGTACTCGATCGCCGTGCAGCCGGAAGGCATGTACTGGCAAATACTGGGCCAATACTGACCGGAGTCGCGTTTCAACCAAACACGAACGGTTCTGAGGAAAAACAGGCAAATGTAAACACATTGGGGTATACATACATAAATGTGGCACAATTACGCACTTGTCATCTGAAACGCTAATTACGCCGTTCTCTCCAGGAATTAGGATGGCCGCGTTCACATCATCGCTACTGCCCTCTAGCTTACTCAGCAATTCCGGCTTCTTGGACGTGTTAAAGCGATCATTGTTGGTCCGCTGCGCTGGCTTTATTTCGGCAGCCATATTATTCAAGGAGGAACCAGCCTGCTACGCCCAATTTAAAGAACTTGAGCTACTGTTGACACAAACAAGATCTGTTGCGCTTACAGATATGAATTAGGATACGTGATTCACAATCAATTAACGAAACAGTGATATTTTGTTTAATATAAAATATACTATACTTCTATTTGTTTTTGTAAAGCTCGTCTAGATAGCGCCGCCAATTTAGTGCTTTCTAAGGAACGATGGAAAAGAAAAAATGGGGAAAAAATTGGTTTATGGCTAGATGTCTACTTTCTTTGTTAAAGCCATAAGAATTCTGACATTGTAAAAACCGGAAAAAATGTTATGCCGCCCTTACGCCAAGCTCGCGAATACAGTATTCTCGATGGACAGGGGTTTCTTAAAAATTTACTGCTTGCTTTTTGAAAAACAAAATCCGAATCACACCAGATTGCATTCATTATTCTAGCAGTGTTGGATTTGCATAATTTCGAAAACCTTTTCTCATGGGGCACTATCCACCATTCATTTGCGGGGTGGTATATTAAATTTTGCCGGTCTAACAATCTTTCTTTTTGTCCTAGATGGTGGATTTACGTTGCTCACGCCACTGTTGACTGTTTTTTTATGGTGACTCTGTGGGACCAGGAGTTTTACGAGAATTGAGTGTACTTAAATCTAAAAACGCTGGATGCGTCAATTTATGGTGAAAAAGTAGTTTAAAGTGGAGTTTCAGACGATTTTGCCGCATTTTGTAGGAAATAATCGAAAAACGTAGGAAATTTTTGGCCTATTGGTCGGCTAAATTCTAATTCAATAACAACAGCTGTTATAACCGAAATTCAAAATGGTGGGCAAAATATGCGTAACGGACAATAACAACTATTTACCCAGCAAAATCAAGACAAAGAACAGCTGTTCACAAGTAGAGTTATGGAGTTAGCACAATGTGGACGGGATAATCGAGTTAAGCAACCGATAGCTGCCTCGATAGGAAACTAGAGTCAGTGTGGAGAGCACATAAGCAAGCTAGGACTGCCTTTTCTAATTACAGAAAATATGAATGGCAATATCCTGGTCACTCTGATCTCTTTAAGATCACCGCTTAGAAAGCTGTCACTAAAATGGAGGAACAAAATAAACTTAAGTGCGACATTTGCGACTTTTCCAGTGGCCACACGGAGGAGGAAACGTTGCTCTATGGAGACTGGATGGTCCGCAAGGATCTGCGGGTGCATTACTTTTGCCTGGTAGGTGTCTGCATTCAAATTGAGATCGCCTAGTAATGTACATATATTTCTCGATCGGCCAGCTTCTTTCCTCGAATTTACCGCAATCCGGCGGCGATGCAAGCGGCATCCTAGGATTCCTTTTGCGGGATATTCGCCAAACGGTGGCTATCGCAAAAAAGACGAAGTGCTCCTTCTGCAATCAGGTGGGGGCCACTATCCGGTGCCACGGTTGCCAGGTTATTTTTCACATGAAGTGCGGCATAATAAATCGCTGCACTTTTCAGTTTTGTGGCGCGTTTCATAGCTACTGTTCCGAATGCATGCCGATGGATGACTACCAGCGGCAAATTGCGGCAAATCGCCCAAAGCTAAGCCCCTGTGACATCTGCCTGGCCCCCATCCTCAACTTCTCCCCGCACAACATTGTCTATGGAGACTGCTGCCACAAGGGATTCGCCCATAAGACCTGCATGCGAAAATACGACCTAAGCGCGGGATATTACTTGCGCTGCCAGTCACCGACTATCTCTCTTCGAGTGCGGACGTCTGTGCCTATCCAATTGTCAGTGCCTTGCTTATCGCGAAATCTCATCGCCCTTCTTTTCGCCAATACCGTGTTATTCTTAACGCGCACGTGTGAATAAAATACCCAATTCCTGTAACAAATTTACTCTCTAACCATGGCCTCCGGGCCACCTAATTTAGGGGATAACCGCTTTGCCAGTCTTAGCGCTAGCCCCAAAAGACAATTTCAAAAACTTCCAATCGAATTTCCCGAACTCCCTGAACCGCAGCTTAAAAACCTAAGGTTCATAGTTGTATCATCCAAAAACTCAGAAAAAAACATATCAGCTCTTAAAAACATCAGCAAATACATCACATCGATCTCAACTCTCCGTGATGGAAATCTTCTAATGCTGGTCAATTCCACAGAAGTTGGTAATAAATTCACCAAAACTACCTCCTTACCAGGGCTATCCGATTTCGAGTGCAAACTCCACAACTCTCTTAACTTTGTTAAAGGCACCATTTACGCACCCTGCTTAATTAACATCCCAGAAAACGAAATTGTTGAAGAGCTAAAGTCTCAGAATGATTACAGCGTTTATAAATTCACAAAAATGATCGACGGCACTCCCAAACCATTTGGCAAAATTCTTGTGACTTTTGACTTTTAGACATCTCCTGGCACACTGTTAGAGTTACAGAATATATTCCAAACCCTATGAGGTGTAAGTCATGTCAGCTATTAGGACACACATTAAAGAAATGCGGTAACCCAGCCGCCTGTGTATCATGCAATCTCGCTCCCCACCTTCCCGTCCCATGCACTCGCATTTTCTGCGCAAACTGCAGCGGCGATCACCCCGCTTCCTCACCCTCCTGCCCGCAATACCAAGCACAAAAAAATCTTCTACAGATCAAAACGACAAAAAAATGCAGCTTCCGAGAAGCTCGCATTATCTTTAAACAACAACAAAGCACGACAACCAACTCCACGCTGACCTACTCGGTCGTCGCAAACCCGAACACAACAGCCGCTTGCGACAAAATTCCCGAATCCCACCAGACCACCAATACCGACTTACCAAGCTGTTCAAAAGCTCAAACATCTCTCTTATCATCTACGCATGCAAACTCTTTGTTTCCCAAAGAGAAATTACAAACCACACTCAACAACTCTTCCAAAACTGAATTCTCTAACTCAAACAACGAAAGTACACTACAAAAACACTTAGCAAAATCTCGCGCTCTCAGATCACAAGTACAAAAATTCATACAACAAACCGAACAAGACGACAATAATTTCTCACTGGCCTCAAGATCAAAATCAAACGAAAATATCTCTTCACACACCCCAAACAGCCATACACACTCTGATGTAACAATGGACGATTCCGACTGTTAGTCCCGATCCGCTCCTTTTTTTACATCCCTACACTTAAATACATAATATATAATCTAGCAAGAATAAAATCCTTAAAACCTTATCATGTCAATTGCTATAATACAATGGAATATCCATGGTATTTTTAACAACTACAACGAACTTACACTCCTTATAAAAGACCATTCACCCGATATATTATTTTTGCAAGAAACCCATCTGCCATACAATTTCAATAATTTCATTTCCCCTAAAGGATATACTAGTTATTTCCACAACTTCCCGCAAAACACCGTAGCCAAGCAAGGGATTGGCGTCCTTATTAAAAGAAACATTCCTCACACGTACCATAGTATAAACTCCAACATTCTATGCTCAGTACTGCAGCTTAGTATTGACCAAACCATAAACTTCATTAATGCCTATATCCCCCCCAACCAAAGCTTTACATCCTCTGACGTATCAAATACCCTTGATAACCTTAATGGGTCATCTATACTTCTCGGTGACCTTAACTCGTGGAGTTCTTTATGGGGCTCCCCGCACACAAACACAAGAGGTAAAAAAATCGAACGAGCTATTCAAGAAAACAATCTAATAGTCCTTAACGACGGCTCTCCCACACACCTTTCAACCCACAACACCTTCACTCACATAGATGTCTCCTTGATATCTCCTGAGATAGCTCATAGATGTAGCTGGTCTATATCAGATAACCTCCATGGCAGTGATCACTTTCCGATAACCATCCACATTTCTGCACCAACCCACACCGATAATACTCTCCCGCTACCCAAATTCAAGACTGACCTAGCTAACTGGAAACGCTTCAATGAAAACTGCGAAAAATCAGCTCTTAACTGGACAGCCGGTTGCCTAAATCAGCAAGTCGCTCAAATGACCAAAGCCATTCGAGCAGCTGCAAACTGCAGCATTCCCCAAACAAAACGAGTGATCCATAAAGCTAAAGTGCCATGGTGGAACTCTGAGCTCCAACAGCTCAGGGACCGGAAGCAACTTTTATTCTCCTATTATAAAGCAAATATGTCTGACACAAACCTTTTCAGTTACAAAAAAGCAAACGCTCTCTTTAAAAAAACAGTTCTCTCAGCCAAGCGCAACTGCCTTGAAAAATTCACTTCCCAGATTTCCCCGTTATCCACCCCAAAAAAAGTCTGGTCAGATGTAAAACGCTTAGCTGGCATTCCACCCACACCTTTCAAATACATAAAATCGGACTCAGGTACTCTATCTGGATCCTTTAACATCGCCGAAGAGTTTGGCCACGCCTGGTCTAAATACTCTTCTGACAAAAACTTTTCAGCAGAATACATACTTGAAAAAAATCAGTATCTATCAGAACCTTATCTCCCAGATGCACTATCAACATCCGCAACATGCTTAGATTCCAATTTCACCCTTCTGGAAATAGAGACCTCAATAGCAAGCGCAAAAGGAAAAAGTCCTGGGTCCGATAGGGTGTCATACCCTATGCTCAAAAACTTACCATATCTTCTGAAAGCCAAACTCTTGGATATCTTTAATGTAACGCTACAATCCGGAACATACCCACATACATGGAGCTCAGCCACCATTATCCCCATTCCTAAACCTAACAAACCCCCTTCTGATATTAACAGCTACCGTCCTATTTCCCTTTTGTCCTGTCTAAGTAAAACTCTTGAAAAAATAATTGCCCAGAGACTTCTCTGGTTTATTAACCACCATAATCTCATCTCACATAACCAAGTTGCATTTAAAAGAAAACATAGCACTATGGACGCTTTGCTGCGTCTTCAACACTTCGCGTCGAACGCTCTTTCGACCAAAAATCACGTCTCTATCCTGGCGACTGATTTTGAAAGAGCCTTCGATCGCATGGGGATTCATGCCGTACTTTGTAGATTCGGGCGCTGGGGCATTGGTCCAAGGATTTGCAACCTTGTCAAGGCCTTCATGACCAATCGCTCTTTCAGGGTTCGAATAAACAATGTCACCTCGAACTCCCACATTTTGCACAACGGAATTCCTCAGGGTTCTCCGCTTTCTGTAGTTTTATTTATGATAGCATTTGAAGAAATCAACAGCATTTTATCTCGACATAAATAGATCCATATATATCCATATAAAAAATATCAACACTGTTAAAACAAAATTTTTGGAAATACTGTACGAAATTAACTTATGGGGAGCAACCTCTGGTGCCTCTCTTGCTATTGATAAATGCCAGCTACTACATATTTGCCGTAAACACCGATGTAACCCTCCCGACTTAGACTTTAACAACCACAAAATAAAATATGTCAACTTCTTAAAAATTTTGGGAATAACCTTCGACTCGAAACTTCTGTTCCATCAACACTGTAAAATTCTCAGACAACAGCTTGAAACTAGATTCAATATTATTAAATTCCTATCATCTAAATACACCTGCATACACACTAAGACTCTTTTAGACATTACGCGCGCTCTAATGCTCTCAAAAATAGACTATGGCCTGCCTATCTTCGGTTGGTGTGCCAAATCGCACCTACAAAAAATTCAAGCGCCCTACCACTGGGCAGTGCGCCGCGCCATTCATGCATTCCCCACATCTCCAATACTATGCACATTGGCAGAGTCCGGTCTACCGGGTATTCAATCCCGCATAGAAGAAACTACGATGATGCTCATCCCAAAGCTATACACCTCATCAAACCGCCTACTCACCAAGGACTTCGCAACCATTTTCAAGCAAAAACGGAATTACAAATGTATATCCACACTTAGACGTTGCGCCAGCTACATCAAACAGCTCGACCTACCCATACCTAAACCCAGGAAGTCTTTTAAATCGCCAGCATTTTGGAGCTCCAAAAAGCCTAACATAAACACTCAAATCTACAACGGTGCTAAACAAGATACATGTCCTCAAGAATTCCAAAAACGGTTTTTAAGTGTACAATCAGATCTGGGGAACAAAACCTGGATTTTTACCGATGGTTCTAGACTCTCCGACTCGACCACCTTTGCTGTGGTTGACTGCAACCAAAAAATTATTGCAGGAGGAATGCTTCCGTCCTACAACTCCATTTTCACCGCAGAAGCTTTTGCCGTATTAAAAGCATGCCATTTCGCCTCTAAAAACGCTGGACAATTTGTTATCTGCACAGATAGCCTCTCATCTATATCCGCCCTACGCAACGTGGAACACAACGATCCCACAATACAGGAAATAAGGCACATTCTAAGTTCACATCCAACAAAAATCACTACACTTTGGGTTCCCAGTCACCAAGGAATCAGTGGAAACGAACTAGCCGACAAGGCCGCCCAAGAAATAAGACATGCACCCTGCTTTCTCTTTACCCCGTTTAATGCCAAGGACATACAAAACCAAATTAGGCTACACCTTGAAGAAAAGAAAATCTCCGAATGGGCACTTTTTGTGCACAGATATCAAACAATAAACCCAACTTGTAGCAAGTTCAACCCTCCGCCCAATACCGGAAGAAGGTCTTGCGGGACATTCATCCGCCTACGCATAGGACACACTCAATCCACTCACCAACACATACTGATGGGAACATCGCGGACAACATGCCAACTGTGCGGTAATGATCTTACCGTGGATCACCTCCTGGACACCTGCAGCCGATTACAGAGCATCAGATTTTCCATATTTGGCACACAACGAGTATCAGAGCTTTTAAAAACCCCCTCTCAAGAGAATATATTAAACATTAACAAATTTGTTAAACAAGCTAAATTAATCATATAAGGTAAAAATACACACGTTTCGAGTCGAAGGCCCCGTTAGCTAGTACTCATATAAATTCATTAGATTTAGTATTGTATACTTAATTTAATTTTGTTAAAATAAAAAAAAATAAAAAAAATACTTGCGCTGCATTTGGTGCCGATCAGATAAGTTTCGAGAGACCGTACGCTTGCAGTCGATTTTCGTGCCGGATCGCGATGCAAACTGGGAACTGCAGCAGAACGCCTATCGAGAGCTTCACGAGCGCAAAGTGAGCTGCGACTTGATACAATGCATTTGCCCCAAGGGCAGGGCTTACAATAAAAGCAGCTGGCTAACTTTGGCCTGTAAGCTGTGCGCCTCCACGGGCGCACATGCCAAGTGCTTGGCGGGTACGCTGCGCCTGAACAGGCGAACCGAGCCCACAGAATTTAAGTGCGTTGGGTGCCTGGAAGTGGAGCGAAGGCTTTCCGAGGGCCCGGCCCGTAATCTCGATGCATCAATAACAGGAACAGAGGGCCACGTGGATGCCTCATTTTATGTTCTAAAAACGGGGCCCCAGATGCCAGCTCTTGGCGGGAACATGTCTCCCGTGTTCTCCGAAGACTATGACACGGACTCTATTAATAGTACCAATTGTAGCAACACAACTGTGATCCCCAGCCAGCCGACAGCTAGGTCGACGTCCGTCTCACCATTACCAAACATCGCAGTACTCGAAATTCCCGTCTCACCGCCACCGGAGCCAATAATAGAGATTCCCGAATCACCGCCACAGCCTGTGCTTGCTGATGAAAACCCCTACATAAGTACCAATAACTTGATGGTGATTCCCAGCCAGCCGGATGTGAAGTCCGCGAGCGTCTCATCAGGACCAAGCATCACTTCGCCGCCACAAGAGACAGTAATCGCGATGCCCGACTTACCACCCCGGTTAATGCTAAAGAGAAGCTTTCGCTGCGCTGGTGAACCTTTCTTCTACTTAGTTATGTTCGAGTTTGAGCACATCACGTGCTTGAGTAGCTGCGCTGGTTCCTGCACTTTCCGATTTCACGAGGACGATCCCCGCATCCAGGATATTTCCCAGGAAGCATTACAAAGAGTAAAAGTAACACCAGCCGACATATGGTTTCGTGACAAGGATCAAGGGATTTTTGCGCAGATTGATCGAGTCAAGCGTGCTTGCATGTGTAGCATGTGTAAAGTGGATGTTCTTAGAAGTACTTAAACACAGTAAACTTATTAATGCAAATTAGTTTTATCAACACAAATGAATTTCAGTCTCAAAATTTTATTTAATAACGAGCCAAAAATATTAATAAAACATTTTACATATGTCAGTGCACGATTTATTACCTTACTCTGGAATATTTATATTTTACTTGATACTGTTTTAAGACAGATTCGTTGTAAATGGAAACATTTTCGGACCTTTATGAGTCGTTGTCATTTCCAACCCTCCCTATGAATATTTGGATCTCAAGAAGTGTGTAGTGGCAAGGGACTTTTTGCCAATTTATATTTGTACTTAATTACTAGACAATTGTTTATTTCTCCATGGAAACCATATCCCGGCAAATAAAGAAGGCGCCCACTAGGGCTGCCGTTTGCGCAACTTCTGTACATCCTTTGGCCAATCTTTCTTCGATTTGTGCTAGCTTGATAATAAGTTTGTTCATCACTGACATCGGTAGTTCAACTGTTGGAATACATAATTAACTAGACGTCAAAATAATCTAGTTGAGCACTTACGCCTCATAACAAATAAATGCAGTTCTGTTATTATGTCTTCTAACGGAAGGCCTCTTTCGTACTTCGCACTTTCGACAGCTATTAAAAAAGAAGAAACTTTAGTTACGGTCTTTGCCATTCGGAATATAATCTTACTTTTGAACGATGCCTCGAAGCTATTGCCAGATAGCAACCCCTTTAAAATCTGTTCGATATCCTGCCTCAGCGGATAGCCTACGCACATGTAGACATTATCCTCGTTGACCTTATCAAATGCCATCACGGTACTTTGCAGAACGTTCAAAACCTTTCTCATATCGCCTTTGGCTAGCGTAAGTAGAGCCCGCTTTCCATCTTCGGTTATTTGAACACTGAAAATATGGATTAATGGTGAAATGGATTTATTGGCGTTACAAGAACTCACGCTTCGGTATCAATGATTTTTTCCAGTCGAGGCATCATCTGATCCTGGGATAAAGGAGCGAATCGAAAGCGGGTACAACGCGACTGCAGCGCCGGAATGATTTTACTCAAATAATTGCAAATCACACAAAATCGAACGTTATCCGTATATTTCTCAATGATGCGCCGCAAAGCATTCTGGGCATCGTTGGTCATGGCATCGGCCTCGTCCAAAATAATCAGTTTGAAAGTGTCGCAAAATATGGTTCGCGTGGACGCAAAATTAAGGATTTGGCCTCGCACAATTCCAATTCCTCGGTCATCCGATGCGTTAAGCTCCAAAACCATAGACTTAAACTGCTGTGGAGAGTAAAGTTGACGGGCGCACGCCAATATTGTGCTCGTTTTTCCCGTGCCAGGTGGACCATAAAATAGTAAATGCGGCAGTTGCTTTCGGCTTATAAAGCGGGTTACTTCATATTAATTTAAAAAAAAAACGTTTAGTTGGTTCATAAGCTATAATGCTCAAGCTTACTTGTTGATATTATTTCCTCGTGAGATATCAAATCATCTAAGGCATTCGGACGATATTTCTCCACCCTTAATATATAAATATGTTACTGGCGGAATCACAAAATTAAACAACATATTACCATGTCCCTGCAGCTCGTAAATAATGCGACGTTTGCCACCGACATCCCAAACTATTACGGACTGATCGCAGGCGCCGCTAAATAAAAGCTGGGGCCCTTCAACCCATCTCATGCATCGTATTTCCGCTAAAATGTTTCAAAATTGTAAACATTATTGTTAAAACTTTTCGATTGTATTTTATCTGTATGTCCTTTAAACGTGGTAATCAGTTGAACTCCCTGAACTTCACACCGCAGCATTGTTATTTGCCCAGCGTGATCGCCAACGAAGGCATACTTGGCTAATGCATCAAACCTAAACATAGATTACAATTAGAATAGCCGCAGTAAAGATGTTATCTTGAAATCTATGAAATTACCTTCGAAAACAAAATTATGATATGCGTGCTAGATCTGTTTGAAAGGAATTAGCCCTACCAAAAAAAAAAATAACTAAACTCATTGAAAAAGCTCAGCTCATCCTTAAAATATTAAATTATTCTTTTACTCATAAAATAAATTAATACTGTCATCCTAGACAAACGAAAGACTTTAGTTGCTAGTGGTATTAGTAAGTAGTTAGCTTCTAGTGTTAAGCCTTAAGCTAGCTTTATATTTATAAATACATAAATTAATCAAATACGATTAAGTGGAAAATTATGAATTTAAGACTTGTTTGTATCTTGATTGTATGTCCATTTCAAAGTTAATTGAACTTTCAGAACTATAGTTTTTTGAATATCCAAATTTAAAATTTACGTTATTCTTTAAATTTCGTAGCAGAAAGGGCATTAAAAAGTTTACATATGCATATTTGGGAAGATTAAGAAATTCAAATTTTGTACTGAATGAAGGCATGTAGTTTTGTATATGACCCCAACGGATCTCAGTTTAGACCCGTGTTATGGAGGGCAGCTTAATTAAATTAAATGTCCCGCTTATCTTATATCCAATGTTACAGCCCCCTATTTATCATACTTACTGGAGTGCAGTGCATGGAGTCTCAAAGTTGTATCCGCCCACTCTTTTGCCGCTCTCCGTGCAATGATAGGCGAACTGCTTATCTTTGCCTGCGGAAAGGACCCATTTGTGGGTTTTAGAGAAAACAACGGCCACAACTCTGGCTTGATGTGATAAGTAATCCCGCAAGAATGACAGGCGGTTGCAGTCTTCGGAGAGAGCATACTGGGTGACCGTTCCGTTCTCCTGGCCAACGTACAAGTGTCGGGATTCCGGGACGTACTCGATCGCCGTGCAGCCGGAAGGCATGTACTGGCAAATACTGGGCCAATACTGACCGGAGTCGCGTTTCAACCAAACACGAACGGTTCTGAGGAAAAACAGGCAAATGTAAACACATTGGGGTATACATACATAAATGTGGCACAATTACGCACTTGTCATCTGAAACGCTAATTACGCCGTTCTCTCCAGGAATTAGGATGGCCGCGTTCACATCATCGCTACTGCCCTCTAGCTTACTCAGCAATTCCGGCTTCTTGGACGTGTTAAAGCGATCATTGTTGGTCCGCTGCGCTGGCTTTATTTCGGCAGCCATATTATTCAAGGAGGAACCAGCCTGCTACGCCCAATTTAAAGAACTTGAGCTACTGTTGACACAAACAAGATCTGTTGCGCTTACAGATATGAATTAGGATACGTGATTCACAATCAATTAACGAAACAGTGATATTTTGTTTAATATAAAATATACTATACTTCTATTTGTTTTTGTAAAGCTCGTCTAGATAGCGCCGCCAATTTAGTGCTTTCTAAGGAACGATGGAAAAGAAAAAATGGGGAAAAAATTGGTTTATGGCTAGATGTCTACTTTCTTTGTTAAAGCCATAAGAATTCTGACATTGTAAAAACCGGAAAAAATGTTATGCCGCCCTTACGCCAAGCTCGCGAATACAGTATTCTCGATGGACAGGGGTTTCTTAAAAATTTACTGCTTGCTTTTTGAAAAACAAAATCCGAATCACACCAGATTGCATTCATTATTCTAGCAGTGTTGGATTTGCATAATTTCGAAAACCTTTTCTCATGGGGCACTATCCACCATTCATTTGCGGGGTGGTATATTAAATTTTGCCGGTCTAACAATCTTTCTTTTGTCCTAGATGGTGGATTTACGTTGCTCACGCCACTGTTGACTGTTTTTTTATGGTGACTCTGTGGGACCAGGAGTTTTACGAGAATTGAGTGTACTTAAATCTAAAAACGCTGGATGCGTCAATTTATGGTGAAAAAGTAGTTTAAAGTGGAGTTTCAGACGATTTTGCCGCATTTTGTAGGAAATAATCGAAAAACGTAGGAAATTTTTGGCCTATTGGTCGGCTAAATTCTAATTCAATAACAACAGCTGTTATAACCGAAATTCAAAATGGTGGGCAAAATATGCGTAACGGACAATAACAACTATTTACCCAGCAAAATCAAGACAAAGAACAGCTGTTCACAAGTAGAGTTATGGAGTTAGCACAATGTGGACGGGATAATCGAGTTAAGCAACCGATAGCTGCCTCGATAGGAAACTAGAGTCAGTGTGGAGAGCACATAAGCAAGCTAGGACTGCCTTTTCTAATTACAGAAAATATGAATGGCAATATCCTGGTCACTCTGATCTCTTTAAGATCACCGCTTAGAAAGCTGTCACTAAAATGGAGGAACAAAATAAACTTAAGTGCGACATTTGCGACTTTTCCAGTGGCCACACGGAGGAGGAAACGTTGCTCTATGGAGACTGGATGGTCCGCAAGGATCTGCGGGTGCATTACTTTTGCCTGGTAGGTGTCTGCATTCAAATTGAGATCGCCTAGTAATGTACATATATTTCTCGATCGGCCAGCTTCTTTCCTCGAATTTACCGCAATCCGGCGGCGATGCAAGCGGCATCCTAGGATTCCTTTTGCGGGATATTCGCCAAACGGTGGCTATCGCAAAAAAGACGAAGTGCTCCTTCTGCAATCAGGTGGGGGCCACTATCCGGTGCCACGGTTGCCAGGTTATTTTTCACATGAAGTGCGGCATAATAAATCGCTGCACTTTTCAGTTTTGTGGCGCGTTTCATAGCTACTGTTCCGAATGCATGCCGATGGATGACTACCAGCGGCAAATTGCGGCAAATCGCCCAAAGCTAAGCCCCTGTGACATCTGCCTGGCCCCCATCCTCAACTTCTCCCCGCACAACATTGTCTATGGAGACTGCTGCCACAAGGGATTCGCCCATAAGACCTGCATGCGAAAATACGCCCTAAGCGCGGGATATTACTTGCGCTGCATTTGGTGCCGATCAGATAAGTTTCGAGAGACCGTACGCTTGCAGTCGATTTTCGTGCCGGATCGCGATGCAAACTGGGAACTGCAGCAGAACGCCTATCGAGAGCTTCACGAGCGCAAAGTGAGCTGCGACTTGATACAATGCATTTGCCCCAAGGGCAGGGCTTACAATAAAAGCAGCTGGCTAACTTTGGCCTGTAAGCTGTGCGCCTCCACGGGCGCACATGCCAAGTGCTTGGCGGGTACGCTGCGCCTGAACAGGCGAACCGAGCCCACAGAATTTAAGTGCGTTGGGTGCCTGGAAGTGGAGCGAAGGCTTTCCGAGGGCCCGGCCCGTAATCTCGATGCATCAATAACAGGAACAGAGGGCCACGTGGATGCCTCATTTTATGTTCTAAAAACGGGGCCCCAGATGCCAGCTCTTGGCGGGAACATGTCTCCCGTGTTCTCCGAAGACTATGACACGGACTCTATTAATAGTACCAATTGTAGCAACACAACTGTGATCCCCAGCCAGCCGACAGCTAGGTCGACGTCCGTCTCACCATTACCAAACATCGCAGTACTCGAAATTCCCGTCTCACCGCCACCGGAGCCAATAATAGAGATTCCCGAATCACCGCCACAGCCTGTGCTTGCTGATGAAAACCCCTACATAAGTACCAATAACTTGATGGTGATTCCCAGCCAGCCGGATGTGAAGTCCGCGAGCGTCTCATCAGGACCAAGCATCACTTCGCCGCCACAAGAGGCAGTAATCGCTATGCCCGACTTACCACCCCGGTTAATGCTAAAGAGAAGCTTTCGCTGCGCTGGTGAACCTTTCTTCTACTTAGTTATGTTCGAGTTTGAGCACATCACGTGCTTGAGTAGCTGCGCTGGTTCCTGCACTTTCCGATTTCACGAGGACGATCCCCGCATCCAGGATATTTCCCAGGAAGCATTACAAAGAGTAAAAGTAACACCAGCCGACATATGGTTTCGTGACAAGGATCAAGGGATTTTTGCGCAGATTGATCGAGTCAAGCGTGCTTGCATGTGTAGCATGTGTAAAGTGGATGTTCTTAGAAGTACTTAAACACAGTAAACTTATTTATGCAAATTAGTTTTATCAACACAAATGAATTTCAGTCTCAAAATTTTATTTAATAACGAGCCAAAAATATTAATAAAACATTTTACATATGTCAGTGCACGATTTATTACCTTACTCTGGAATATTTATATTTTACTTGATACTGTTTTAAGACAGATTCGTTGTAAATGGAAACATTTTCGGACCTTTATGAGTCGTCATTTCCAACCCTCCCTATGAATATTTGGATCTCAAGAAGTGTGTAGTGGCAAGGGACTTTTTGCCAATTTATATTTGTACTTAATTACTAGACAATTGTTTATTTCTCCATGGAAACCATATCCCGGCAAATAAAGAAGGCGCCCACTAGGGCTGCCGTTTGCGCAACTTCTGTACATCCTTTGGCCAATCTTTCTTCGATTTGTGCTAGCTTGATAATAAGTTTGTTCATCACTGACATCGGTAGTTCAACTGTTGGAATACATAATTAACTAGACGTCAAAATAATCTAGTTGAGCACTTACGCCTCATAACAAATAAATGCAGTTCTGTTATTATGTCTTCTAACGGAAGGCCTCTTGCGTACTTCGCACTTTCGACAGCTATTAAAAAAGAAGAAACTTTAGTTACGGTCTTTGCCATTCGGAATATAATCTTACTTTTGAACGATGCCTCGAAGCTATTGCCAGATAGCAACCCCTTTAAAATCTGTTCGATATCCTGCCTCAGCGGATAGCCTACGCACATGTAGACATTATCCTCGTTGACCTTATCAAATGCCATCACGGTACTTTGCAGAACGTTCAAAACCTTTCTCATATCGCCTTTGGCTAGCGTAAGTAGAGCCCGCTTTCCATCTTCGGTTATTTGAACACTGAAAATATGGATTAATGGTGAAATGGATTTATTGGCGTTACAAGAACTCACGCTTCGGTATCAATGATTTTTTCCAGTCGAGGCATCATCTGATCCTGGGATAAAGGAGCGAATCGAAAGCGGGTACAACGCGACTGCAGCGCCGGAATGATTTTACTCAAATAATTGCAAATCACACAAAATCGAACGTTATCCGTATATTTCTCAATGATGCGCCGCAAAGCATTCTGGGCATCGTTGGTCATGGCATCGGCCTCGTCCAAAATAATCAGTTTGAAAGTGTCGCAAAATATGGTTCGCGTGGACGCAAAATTAAGGATTTGGCCTCGCACAATTCCAATTCCTCGGTCATCCGATGCGTTAAGCTCCAAAACCATAGACTTAAACTGCTGTGGAGAGTAAAGTTGACGGGCGCACGCCAATATTGTGCTCGTTTTTCCCGTGCCAGGTGGACCATAAAATAGTAAATGCGGCAGTTGCTTTCGGCTTATAAAGCGGGTTACTTCATATTAATTAAAAAAAAAAACGTTTAGTTGGTTCATAAGCTATAATGCTCAAGCTTACTTGTTGATATTATTTCCTCGTGAGATATCAAATCATCTAAGGCATTCGGACGATATTTCTCCACCCTTAATATATAAATATGTTACTGGCGGAATCACAAAATTAAACAACATATTACCATGTCCCTGCAGCTCGTAAATAATGCGACGTTTGCCACCGACATCCCAAACTATTACGGACTGATCGCAGGCGCCGCTAAATAAAAGCTGGGGCCCTTCAACCCATCTCATGCATCGTATTTCCGCTAAAATGTTTCAAAATTGTAAACATTATTGTTAAAACTTTTCGATTGTATTTTATCTGTATGTCCTTTAAACGTGGTAATCAGTTGAACTCCCTGAACATCACACCGCAGCATTGTTATTTGCCCAGCGTGATCGCCAACGAAGGCATACTTGGCTAATGCATCAAACCTAAACATAGATTACAATTAGAATAGCCGCAGTAAAGATGTTATCTTGAAATCTATGAAATTACCTTCGAAAACAAAATTATGATATGCGTGCTAGATCTGTTTGAAAGGAATTAGCCCTACCAAAAAAAAAAATAACTAAACTCATTGAAAAAGCTCAGCTCATCCTTAAAATATTAAATTATTCTTTTACTCATAAAATAAATTAATACTGTCATCCTAGACAAACGAAAGACTTTAGTTGCTAGTGGTATTAGTAAGTAGTTAGCTTCTAGTGTTAAGCCTTAAGCTAGCTTTATATTTATAAATACATAAATTAATCAAATACGATTAAGTGGAAAATTATGAATTTAAGACTTGTTTGTATCTTGATTGTATGTCCATTTCAAAGTTAATTGAACTTTCAGAACTATAGTTTTTTGAATATCCAAATTTAAAATTTACGTTATTCTTTAAATTTCGTAGCAGAAAGGGCATTAAAAAGTTTACATATGCATATTTGGGAAGATTAAGAAATTCAAATTTTGTACTGAATGAAGGCATGTAGTTTTGTATATGACCCCAACGGATCTCAGTTTAGACCCGTGTTATGGAGGGCAGCTTAATTAAATTAAATGTCCCGCTTATCTTATATCCAATGTTACAGCCCCCTATTTATCATACTTACTGGAGTGCAGTGCATGGAGTCTCAAAGTTGTATCCGCCCACTCTTTTGCCGCTCTCCGTGCAATGATAGGCGAACTGCTTATCTTTGCCTGCGGAAAGGACCCATTTGTGGGTTTTAGAGAAAACAACGGCCACAACTCTGGCTTGATGTGATAAGTAATCCCGCAAGAATGACAGGCGGTTGCAGTCTTCGGAGAGAGCATACTGGGTGACCGTTCCGTTCTCCTGGCCAACGTACAAGTGTCGGGATTCCGGGACGTACTCGATCGCCGTGCAGCCGGAAGGCATGTACTGGCAAATACTGGGCCAATACTGACCGGAGTCGCGTTTCAACCAAACACGAACGGTTCTGAGGAAAAACAGGCAAATGTAAACACATTGGGGTATACATACATAAATGTGGCACAATTACGCACTTGTCATCTGAAACGCTAATTACGCCGTTCTCTCCAGGAATTAGGATGGCCGCGTTCACATCATCGCTACTGCCCTCTAGCTTACTCAGCAATTCCGGCTTCTTGGACGTGTTAAAGCGATCATTGTTGGTCCGCTGCGCTGGCTTTATTTCGGCAGCCATATTATTCAAGGAGGAACCAGCCTGCTACGCCCAATTTAAAGAACTTGAGCTACTGTTGACACAAACAAGATCTGTTGCGCTTACAGATATGAATTAGGATACGTGATTCACAATCAATTAACGAAACAGTGATATTTTGTTTAATATAAAATATACTATACTTCTATTTGTTTTTGTAAAGCTCGTCTAGATAGCGCCGCCAATTTAGTGCTTTCTAAGGAACGATGGAAAAGAAAAAATGGGGAAAAAATTGGTTTATGGCTAGATGTCTACTTTCTTTGTTAAAGCCATAAGAATTCTGACATTGTAAAAACCGGAAAAAATGTTATGCCGCCCTTACGCCAAGCTCGCGAATACAGTATTCTCGATGGACAGGGGTTTCTTAAAAATTTACTGCTTGCTTTTTGAAAAACAAAATCCGAATCACACCAGATTGCATTCATTATTCTAGCAGTGTTGGATTTGCATAATTTAAAAACCTTTTCTCATGGGGCACTATCCACCATTCATTTGCGGGGTGGTATATTAAATTTTGCCGGTCTAACAATTTTTCTTTTTGTCCTAGATGGTGGATTTACGTTGCTCACGCCACTGTTGACTGTTTTTTTATGGTGACTCTGTGGGACCAGGAGTTTTACGAGAATTGAGTGTACTTAAATCTAAAAACGCTGGATGCGTCAATTTATGGTGCAAAAGTAGTTTAAAGTGGAGTTTCAGACGATTTTGCCGCATTTTGTAGGAAATAATCGAAAAACGTAGGAAATTTTTGGCCTATTGGTCGGCTAAATTCTAATTCAATAACAACAGCTGTTATAACCGAAATTCAAAATGGTGGGCAAAATATGCGTAACGGACAATAACAACTATTTACCCAGCAAAATCAAGACAAAGAACAGCTGTTCACAAGTAGAGTTATGGAGTTAGCACAATGTGGACGGGATAATCGAGTTAAGCAACCGATAGCTGCCTCGATAGGAAACTAGAGTCAGTGTGGAGAGCACATAAGCAAGCTAGGACTGCCTTTTCTAATTACAGAAAATATGAATGGCAATATCCTGGTCACTCTGATCTCTTTAAGATCACCGCTTAGAAAGCTGTCACTAAAATGGAGGAACAAAATAAACTTAAGTGCGACATTTGCGACTTTTCCAGTGGCCACACGGAGGAGGAAACGTTGCTCTATGGAGACTGGATGGTCCGCAAGGATCTGCGGGTGCATTACTTTTGCCTGGTAGGTGTCTGCATTCAAATTGAGATCGCCTAGTAATGTACATATATTTCTCGATCGGCCAGCTTCTTTCCTCGAATTTACCGCAATCCGGCGGCGATGCAAGCGGCATCCTAGGATTCCTTTTGCGGGATATTCGCCAAACGGTGGCTATCGCAAAAAGACGAAGTGCTCCTTCTGCAATCAGGTGGGGGCCACTATCCGGTGCCACGGTTGCCAGGTTATTTTTCACATGAAGTGCGGCATAATAAATCGCTGCACTTTTCAGTTTTGTGGCGCGTTTCATAGCTACTGTTCCGAATGCATGCCGATGGATGACTACCAGCGGCAAATTGCGGCAAATCGCCCAAAGCTAAGCCCCTGTGACATCTGCCTGGCCCCCATCCTCAACTTCTCCCCGCACAACATTGTCTATGGAGACTGCTGCCACAAGGGATTCGCCCATAAGACCTGCATGCGAAAATACGCCCTAAGCGCGGGATATTACTTGCGCTGCATTTGGTGCCGATCAGATAAGTTTCGAGAGACTGTACGCTTGCAGTCGATTTTCGTGCCGGATCGCGATGCAAACTGGGAACTGCAGCAGAACGCCTATCGAGAGCTTCACGAGCGCAAAGTGAGCTGCGACTTGATACAATGCATTTGCCCCAAGGGCAGGGCTTACAATAAAAGCAGCTGGCTAACTTTGGCCTGTAAGCTGTGCGCCTCCACGGGCGCACATGCCAAGTGCTTGGCGGGTACGCTGCGCCTGAACAGGCGAACCGAGCCCACAGAATTTAAGTGCGTTGGGTGCCTGGAAGTGGAGCGAAGGCTTTCCGAGGGCCCGGCCCGTAATCTCGATGCATCAATAACAGGAACAGAGGGCCACGTGGATGCCTCATTTTATGTTCTAAAACGGGGCCCCAGATGCCAGCTCTTGGCGGGAACATGTCTCCCGTGTTCTCCGAAGACTATGACACGGACTCTATTAATAGTACCAATTGTAGCAACACAACTGTGATCCCCAGCCAGCCGACAGCTAGGTCGACGTCCGTCTCACCATTACCAAACATCGCAGTACTCGAAATTCCCGTCTCACCGCCACCGGAGCCAATAATAGAGATTCCCGAATCACCGCCACAGCCTGTGCTTGCTGATGAAAACCCCTACATAAGTACCAATAACTTGATGGTGATTCCCAGCCAGCCGGATGTGAAGTCCGCGAGCGTCTCATCAGGACCAAGCATCACTTCGCCGCCACAAGAGGCAGTAATCGCGATGCCCGACTTACCACCGCGGTTAATGCTAAAGAGAAGCTTTCGCTGCGCTGGTGAACCTTTCTTCTACTTAGTTATGTTCGAGTTTGAGCACATCACGTGCTTGAGTAGCTGCGCTGGTTCCTGCACTTTCCGATTTCACGAGGACGATCCCCGCATCCAGGATATTTCCCAGGAAGCATTACAAAGAGTAAAAGTAACACCAGCCGACATATGGTTTCGTGACAAGGATCAAGGGATTTTTGCGCAGATTGATCGAGTCAAGCGTGCTTGCATGTGTAGCATGTGTAAAGTGGATGTTCTTAGAAGTACTTAAACACAGTAAACTTATTTATGCAAATTAGTTTTATCAACACAAATGAATTTCAGTCTCAAAATTTTATTTAATAACGAGCCAAAAATATTAATAAAACATTTTACATATGTCAGTGCACGATTTATTACCTTACTCTGGAATATTTATATTTTACTTGATACTGTTTTAAGACAGATTCGTTGTAAATGGAAACATTTTCGGACCTTTATGAGTCGTTGTCATTTCCAACCCTCCCTATGAATATTTGGATCTCAAGAAGTGTGTAGTGGCAAGGGACTTTTTGCCAATTTATATTTGTACTTAATTACTAGACAATTGTTTATTTCTCCATGGAAACCATATCCCGGCAAATAAAGAAGGCGCCCACTAGGGCTGCCGTTTGCGCAACTTCTGTACATCCTTTGGCCAATCTTTCTTCGATTTGTGCTAGCTTGATAATAAGTTTGTTCATCACTGACATCGGTAGTTCAACTGTTGGAATACATAATTAACTAGACGTCAAAATAATCTAGTTGAGCACTTACGCCTCATAACAAATAAATGCAGTTCTGTTATTATGTCTTCTAACGCAAGGCCTCTTGCGTACTTCGCACTTTCGACAGCTATTAAAAAAGAAGAAACTTTAGTTACGGTCTTTGCCATTCGGAATATAATCTTACTTTTGAACGATGCCTCGAAGCTATTGCCAGATAGCAACCCCTTTAAAATCTGTTCGATATCCTGCCTCAGCGGATAGCCTACGCACATGTAGACATTATCCTCGTTGACCTTATCAAATGCCATCACGGTACTTTGCAGAACGTTCAAAACCTTTCTCATATCGCCTTTGGCTAGCGTAAGTAGAGCCCGCTTTCCATCTTCGGTTATTTGAACACTGAAAATATGGATTAATGGTGAAATGGATTTATTGGCGTTACAAGAACTCACGCTTCGGTATCAATGATTTTTTCCAGTCGAGGCATCATCTGATCCTGGGATAAAGGAGCGAATCGAAAGCGGGTACAACGCGACTGCAGCGCCGGAATGATTTTACTCAAATAATTGCAAATCACACAAAATCGAACGTTATCCGTATATTTCTCAATGATGCGCCGCAAAGCATTCTGGGCATCGTTGGTCATGGCATCGGCCTCGTCCAAAATAATCAGTTTGAAAGTGTCGCAAAATATGGTTCGCGTGGACGCAAAATTAAGGATTTGGCCTCGCACAATTCCAATTCCTCGGTCATCCGATGCGTTAAGCTCCAAAACCATAGACTTAAACTGCTGTGGAGAGTAAAGTTGACGGGCGCACGCCAATATTGTGCTTGTTTTTCCCGTGCCAGGTGGACCATAAAATAGTAAATGCGGCAGTTGCTTTCGGCTTATAAAGCGGGTTACTTCATATTAATTAAAAAAAAAAAACGTTTAGTTGGTTCATAAGCTATAATGCTCAAGCTTACTTGTTGATATTATTTCCTCGTGAGATATCAAATCATCTAAGGCATTCGGACGATATTTCTCCACCCTTAATATATAAATATGTTACTGGCGGAATCACAAAATTAAACAACATATTACCATGTCCCTGCAGCTCGTAAATAATGCGACGTTTGCCACCAACATCCCAAACTATTACGGACTGATCGCAGGCGCCGCTAAATAAAAGCTGGGGCCCTTCAACCCATCTCATGCATCGTATTTCCGCTAAAATGTTTCAAAATTGTAAACATTATTGTTAAAACTTTTCGATTGTATTTTATCTGTATGTCCTTTAAACGTGGTAATCAGTTGAACTCCCTGAACATCACACCGCAGCATTGTTATTTGCCCAGCGTGATCGCCAACGAAGGCATACTTGGCTAATGCATCAAACCTAAACATAGATTACAATTAGAATAGCCGCAGTAAAGATGTTATCTTGAAATCTATGAAATTACCTTCGAAAACAAAATTATGATATGCGTGCTAGATCTGTTTGAAAGGAATTAGCCCTACCAAAAAAAAAAATAACTAAACTCATTGAAAAAGCTCAGCTCATCCTTAAAATATTAAATTATTCTTTTACTCATAAAATAAATTAATACTGTCATCCTAGACAAACGAAAGACTTTAGTTGCTAGTGGTATTAGTAAGTAGTTAGCTTCTAGTGTTAAGCCTTAAGCTAGCTTTATATTTATAAATACATAAATTAATCAAATACGATTAAGTGGAAAATTATGAATTTAAGACTTGTTTGTATCTTGATTGTATGTCCATTTCAAAGTTAATTGAACTTTCAGAACTATAGTTTTTTGAATATCCAAATTTAAAATTTACGTTATTCTTTAAATTTCGTAGCAGAAAGGGCATTAAAAAGTTTACATATGCATATTTGGGAAGATTAAGAAATTCAAATTTTGTACTGAATGAAGGCATGTAGTTTTGTATATGACCCCAACGGATCTCAGTTTAGACCCGTGTTATGGAGGGCAGCTTAATTAAATTAAATGTCCCGCTTATCTTATATCCAATGTTACAGCCCCCTATTTATCATACTTACTGGAGTGCAGTGCATGGAGTCTCAAAGTTGTATCCGCCCACTCTTTTGCCGCTCTCCGTGCAATGATAGGCGAACTGCTTATCTTTGCCTGCGGAAAGGACCCATTTGTGGGTTTTAGAGAAAACAACGGCCACAACTCTGGCTTGATGTGATAAGTAATCCCGCAAGAATGACAGGCGGTTGCAGTCTTCGGAGAGAGCATACTGGGTGACCGTTCCGTTCTCCTGGCCAACGTACAAGTGTCGGGATTCCGGGACGTACTCGATCGCCGTGCAGCCGGAAGGCATGTACTGGCAAATACTGGGCCAATACTGACCGGAGTCGCGTTTCAACCAAACACGAACGGTTCTGAGGAAAAACAGGCAAATGTAAACACATTGGGGTATACATACATAAATGTGGCACAATTACGCACTTGTCATCTGAAACGCTAATTACGCCGTTCTCTCCAGGAATTAGGATGGCCGCGTTCACATCATCGCTACTGCCCTCTAGCTTACTCAGCAATTCCGGCTTCTTGGACGTGTTAAAGCGATCATTGTTGGTCCGCTGCGCTGGCTTTATTTCGGCAGCCATATTATTCAAGGAGGAACCAGCCTGCTACGCCCAATTTAAAGAACTTGAGCTACTGTTGACACAAACAAGATCTGTTGCGCTTACAGATATGAATTAGGATACGTGATTCACAATCAATTAACGAAACAGTGATATTTTGTTTAATATAAAATATACTATACTTCTCTTTGTTTTTGTAAAGCTCGTCTAGATAGCGCCGCCAATTTAGTGCTTTCTAAAAAACGATGGAAAAGAAAAAATGGGGAAAAAATTGGTTTATGGCTAGATGTCTACTGTCTTTGTTAAAGCCATAAGAATTCTGACATTGTAAAAACCGGAAAAAATGTTATGCCGCCCTTACGCCAAGCTCGCGAATACAGTATTCTCGATGGACAGGGGTTTCTTAAAAATTTACTGCTTGCTTTTTGAAAAACAAAATCCGAATCACACCAGATTGCATTCATTATTCTAGCAGTGTTGGATTTGCATAATTTAAAAACCTTTTCTCATGGGGCACTATCCACCATTCATTTGCGGGGTGGTATATTAAATTTTGCCGGTCTAACAATTTTTCTTTTTGTCCTAGATGGTGGATTTACGTTGCTCACGCCACTGTTGACTGTTTTTTTATGGTGACTCTGTGGGACCAGGAGTTTTACGAGAATTGAGTGTACTTAAATCTAAAAACGCTGGATGCGTCAATTTATGGTGCAAAAGTAGTTTAAAGTGGAGTTTCAGACGATTTTGCCGCATTTTGTAGGAAATAATCGAAAAACGTAGGAAATTTTTGGCCTATTGGTCGGCTAAATTCTAATTCAATAACAACAGCTGTTATAACCGAAATTCAAAATGGTGGGCAAAATATGCGTAACGGACAATAACAACTATTTACCCAGCAAAATCAAGACAAAGAACAGCTGTTCACAAGTAGAGTTATGGAGTTAGCACAATGTGGACGGGATAATCGAGTTAAGCAACCGATAGCTGCCTCGATAGGAAACTAGAGTCAGTGTGGAGAGCACATAAGCAAGCTAGGACTGCCTTTTCTAATTACAGAAAATATGAATGGCAATATCCTGGTCACTCTGATCTCTTTAAGATCACCGCTTAGAAAGCTGTCACTAAAATGGAGGAACAAAATAAACTTAAGTGCGACATTTGCGACTTTTCCAGTGGCCACACGGAGGAGGAAACGTTGCTCTATGGAGACTGGATGGTCCGCAAGGATCTGCGGGTGCATTACTTTTGCCTGGTAGGTGTCTGCATTCAAATTGAGATCGCCTAGTAATGTACATATATTTCTCGATCGGCCAGCTTCTTTCCTCGAATTTACCGCAATCCGGCGGCGATGCAAGCGGCATCCTAGGATTCCTTTTGCGGGATATTCGCCAAACGGTGGCTATCGCAAAAAAGACGAAGTGCTCCTTCTGCAATCAGGTGGGGGCCACTATCCGGTGCCACGGTTGCCAGGTTATTTTTCACATGAAGTGCGGCATAATCAATCGCTGCACTTTTCAGTTTTGTGGCCCGTTTCATAGCTACTGTTCCGAATGCATGCCGATGGATGACTACCAGCGGCAAATTGCGGCAAATCGCCCAAAGCTAAGCCCCTGTGACATCTGCCTGGCCCCCATCCTCAACTTCTCCCCGCACAACATTGTCTATGGAGACTGCTGCCACAAGGGATTCGCCCATAAGACCTGCATGCGAAAATACGCCCTAAGCGCGGGATATTACTTGCGCTGCATTTGGTGCCGATCAGATAAGTTTCGAGAGACTGTACGCTTGCAGTCGATTTTCGTGCCGGATCGCGATGCAAACTGGGAACTGCAGCAGAACGCCTATCGAGAGCTTCACGAGCGCAAAGTGAGCTGCGACTTGATACAATGCATTTGCCCCAAGGGCAGGGCTTACAATAAAAGCAGCTGGCTAACTTTGGCCTGTAAGCTGTGCGCCTCCACGGGCGCACATGCCAAGTGCTTGGCGGGTACGCTGCGCCTGAACAGGCGAACCGAGCCCACAGAATTTAAGTGCGTTGGGTGCCTGGAAGTGGAGCGAAGGCTTTCCGAGGGCCCGGCCCGTAATCTCGATGCATCAATAACAGGAACAGAGGGCCACGTGGATGCCTCATTTTATGTTCTAAAAACGGGGCCCCAGATGCCAGCTCTTGGCGGGAACATGTCTCCCGTGTTCTCCGAAGACTATGACACGGACTCTATTAATAGTACCAATTGTAGCAACACAACTGTGATCCCCAGCCAGCCGACAGCTAGGTCGACGTCCGTCTCACCATTACCAAACATCGCAGTACTCGAAATTCCCGTCTCACCGCCACCGGAGCCAATAATAGAGATTCCCGAATCACCGCCACAGCCTGTGCTTGCTGATGAAAACCCCTACATAAGTACCAATAACTTGATGGTGATTCCCAGCCAGCCGGATGTGAAGTCCGCGAGCGTCTCATCAGGACCAAGCATCACTTCGCCGCCACAAGAGGCAGTAATCGCGATGCCCGACTTACCACCCCGGTTAATGCTAAAGAGAAGCTTTCGCTGCGCTGGTGAACCTTTCTTCTACTTAGTTATGTTCGAGTTTGAGCACATCACGTGCTTGAGTAGCTGCGCTGGTTCCTGCACTTTCCGATTTCACGAGGACGATCCCCGCATCCAGGATATTTCCCAGGAAGCATTACAAAGAGTAAAAGTAACACCAGCCGACATATGGTTTCGTGACAAGGAGAGCCAAAAATATTAATAAAACATTTTACATATGTCAGTGCACGATTTATTACCTTACTCTGGAATATTTATATTTTACTTGATACTGTTTTAAGACAGATTCGTTGTAAATGGAAACATTTTCGGACCTTTATGAGTCGTTGTCATTTCCAACCCTCCCTATGAATATTTGGATCTCAAGAAGTGTGTAGTGGCAAGGGACTTTTTGCCAATTTATATTTGTACTTAATTACTAGACAATTGTTTATTTCTCCATGGAAACCATATCCCGGCAAATAAAGAAGGCGCCCACTAGGGCTGCCGTTTGCGCAACTTCTGTACATCCTTTGGCCAATCTTTCTTCGATTTGTGCTAGCTTGATAATAAGTTTGTTCATCACTGACATCGGTAGTTCAACTGTTGGAATACATAATTAACTAGACGTCAAAATAATCTAGTTGAGCACTTACGCCTCATAACAAATAAATGCAGTTCTGTTATTATGTCTTCTAACGCAAGGCCTCTTGCGTACTTCGCACTTTCGACAGCTATTAAAAAAGAAGAAACTTTAGTTACGGTCTTTGCCATTCGGAATATAATCTTACTTTTGAACGATGCCTCGAAGCTATTGCCAGATAGCAACCCCTTTAAAATCTGTTCGATATCCTGCCTCAGCGGATAGCCTACGCACATGTAGACATTATCCTCGTTGACCTTATCAAATGCCATCACGGTACTTTGCAGAACGTTCAAAACCTTTCTCATATCGCCTTTGGCTAGCGTAAGTAGAGCCCGCTTTCCATCTTCGGTTATTTGAACACTGAAAATATGGATTAATGGTGAAATGGATTTATTGGCGTTACAAGAACTCACGCTTCGGTATCAATGATTTTTTCCAGTCGAGGCATCATCTGATCCTGGGATAAAGGAGCGAATCGAAAGCGGGTACAACGCGACTGCAGCGCCGGAATGATTTTACTCAAATAATTGCAAATCACACAAAATCGAACGTTATCCGTATATTTCTCAATGATGCGCCGCAAAGCATTCTGGGCATCGTTGGTCATGGCATCGGCCTCGTCCAAAATAATCAGTTTGAAAGTGTCGCAAAATATGGTTCGCGTGGACGCAAAATTAAGGATTTGGCCTCGCACAATTCCAATTCCTCGGTCATCCGATGCGTTAAGCTCCAAAACCATAGACTTAAACTGCTGTGGAGAGTAAAGTTGACGGGCGCACGCCAATATTGTGCTCGTTTTTCCCGTGCCAGGTGGACCATAAAATAGTAAATGCGGCAGTTGCTTTCGGCTTATAAAGCGGGTTACTTCATATTAATTTAAAAAAAAAAACGTTTAGTTGGTTCATAAGCTATAATGCTCAAGCTTACTTGTTGATATTATTTCCTCGTGAGATATCAAATCATCTAAGGCATTCGGACGATATTTCTCCACCCTTAATATATGAATATGTTACTGGCGGAATCACAACATTAAACAACATATTACCATGGCATGCGCACGGCGGGTCCATTAGTGTCCGTCATTACTTAAAGCTGTGATTTCGGTACAAGCAAAAATATAATTAAATCGGGGGATACAAGCCAAACGTTAATCCAGAAATGCCGGTAAAAAACGATAGTTCGATTAATGTCAAGATAGCGATAAGTTCCGAACCTTTACGGAATTTATCAGGAGCATTAGCGATAGCTTTTTAGGCCCCGTTTACACTGGGGTTAAATTATAGAATTATGGAATAACTTTTTTTTAACCTATGTTTAGCCAACGGTGTTTGACCGAAAATTACGTTTAGTGGAATTTCGTTAAAGTTTACTGAATCTTATAGAGTATAATCGAATGGTAATGTCAGAATTAGACAACAACAAAAAACAGCTGTTCTAATATAAACAAAAGATTAGGAAGATGTTTGGCTGAAGAGAAGTGCATACATATGCATAAAGATTATATTTTTATGAACTCTTATTACAAGATAAGAGATATCCATAGTGTCCAGTAGCCATACAGACTGTGCTGAACGTGTGGGAGGAGGGGTGTAGGAAAAAACTCAGAGATGCCAGGAATTGGTGAATGCTTCACCGCAGATAATAAAATTAAATCATTTTCTTTAATTTTTTAGTTTTGTGTTTTATTAAGCTTTCAACAATTTTTTACCATCGTTAAACAGCAGATGCAAAAATCGGATTAGGCCCAGTGTGGACGAAACGCTGTACAAAATACGATTTGCGTTTTTAACAAGCAATACAAAAATTAATATTTTAATATTTAATATTAAAATTAATATTTAAACATAGCATAAATCAAAACCAAGAGTTAGTTTCTTAAGTTTTCACAATAAATAAATAAAATACGTGTTTTCTAATTTAATTTTTTTATTGTTTTGCTGTCACAATTTTTGTTTACTAATTTAGAGGATTTAAAATATAAACAGCGTTTTACTATAAGACATAAGCCCGATAAATTAAGAACACGCGATTACATTCTTCACTAAAACATTTTAATTCTCTTCCAAAGTGTTTTCTGATTGTTGCTAAAATCTGAAAACGATTGGTCATTTTTTAAAATTAATTTTTCCTATCGATCGCATGGAAACAATATAGTATATTGTATTTTTTATAAAGCATAGTATTTATCTAAAGTAAAAAAAATTTGTATTTTTGGATTATTGTATTTTTTATTTCCTATTTGAGTGGCTGGGAAGACACCAATTGCACTAGCTATAAACTTAATCTTCTGGAAATCTTGCCAAACTCACGCATCCTTAATTTTCTTTATTAATAGTTATTTTGATTTAAAAGCCTGTACAAACGGCACTACTAGTAAACAGTTATTTATAAATAAAAATACAATAATAACTTAGTTTAGGTTATCTTATACAAAAAGAAACCTGTCTTTTGATTATTTGTTCGCTAAAGACTTTGATTTAATATATCAATTCCATATGCGGCTTGCGCTTTATGACCTCATCTTCGATTGCATGATCACGTCATTTTATTAATAGTCTGGTGGATGAAATCATAATTAGCTTAAAGTGGTAAAATGTTTTTTTTTTAATGTATCATTTACCTGTTCTGGGAGCTCCATGTCGCCAAAAAGAAGATCTGTTCGCTTGGCAGTACGTCTACGAACTTTGGGGCTCTTATCAAACCTAATAGACAGAACAAAAAAATAGATTAATTACCAAATCTGATTTCTATAAGATTTTAATTTTATCAATGTTTGGTAATTTTATAATTATTCTTACGGGTCTGCATTTCCAAACGGTGAAGGACTTCTACTCGTTGTCCTGCGCATTTCCACATGGGTTGAATCTGAAAATTTATCATCTTGCGGTATGTCATATGTGGCATTGCTTATAAGTGACTTTTGAGAACCCGGATTAACACTATTTGAGAGGTTACTGCCCTTGAGATTTAAGGAATCGAATATGTCAGATATATGAACATTACTATTTTGCGATAGGAAATGTTGTAATATTTGCTGTTGAATGGCGCTTTCTTGCTTTACTTCCTTCAGCAGCGATTCATGCTCCTGTAAATGAGATTCGGCAATGGCCAAATTGCATGACATTACGATGGAACTGTCGGAAAACTTCTGAAGAATGAATTTAGCTTCTGCCACGGTTGAAACCTCGTCCAATAGAGCCTGAATCTTATTTACATCATTCTGTACGGTGTCTTTCGAGTCTTCGAACTCCATTATAGCCTGCTGGACATGCTCTATATTCTCCTGAATATAACTAATGTTTGTTTTTAAATTGTCCACCTCGTTAAAATCATCCGTTCGCCTCTCGGTACCTAAACAATTTTCCATTACGTTTAGATCACGGGAGAGATCTTCGCGCTCCAATATTAAGCGTTCCAGCTCTTTTTCCAATTGCGTTATCAACTGTCTGTTTCTGGCCGCGTGCAATATTGTCCGGTATAGATTTTCCCATCGATGCCGTGCAGACCTTGAAGTGAATCCGTCCAGAGTGGAAATTTTTGAAGTTAATTGAGGAGCTCCCCTTTGACCGGGCTTTCCCCTTTGACTCTTGCGAAGGGCAATAACTTCCTCGGTTTTTCGCTTCAAAATAAGCTCTTTCGCACTCATTTTGGCCTCCAAAGATAATACGGCATTTATTTGGCGGCGCTGATCCTTCAGTAACTGAGCTATTTCCTTTGATTTTCGACTGTCTTCTTCTTTATGTCGAGTTGATTGTTCCGACATTTTTTTCATTAATTTAACCTGGTAAAAAAAGAATTTGTTGAAAAATTTCGCAAACAGAAAATTTATTTACTTACTTTTGTGAATTTTAACTCATGCAATTCACTGCGTAGCATGCTGATTTTGACTTCATGGGACTTCAGTTTTTGCTGTTGTCGAAGATGCTCTCTCTGCGCGTTCTGCAACTTCTTAAGCTCATGTTGCATGTTGCTTATCTTGCCTTCATAATCCGATTTTACTTTTTTTAAACTATCCTTGGATGCGACTGATACAGACGAACCTACAACACACAAATTGCTAGAAAATATATCGGCTAGACTGTTTAAGATATATACCCATGTTTGACAAAACATCGTCTCGTTCTTTTTGGGTGTTGACGATTTTGCAATTTAAAACAGATAGTTTTTCTTCGTAGTGCATTCGCATTAGTTCCATTCTTTCATGGGTCAACTCCAACTGTTCAATAAGTTTGGTTTTCATGACAATATTGTTGTCGATTACCTCCAAGTCCTTTATGACTCCCTCGGCTGTGAATGTTTTAATGAATTTATAACTTTTGTTGAATTATTAAGAGTATTATTCAGGCGTGATTGGCGTTCTCATCAATTTACTTTGCTAAACGAAAAATGTGCTTATGTTTATTTGAAATGCAAAGTTCTCTTACTGATTCAATAATTTTTATTTGAGACCACTACAAAAGCACTTTCTGAAATACATTTTTAACACCACACCTCAAATTTAGAGACTAAATATTTTCTACAGCCAACAACAATTGGTTTTTATAGGACAAAATAGGTTTTGAGCCCCTAGGAGCACACAGTTAACTTGCACATTTTACGAATACCGGAGGACAAAAAATGGAAAACGCAGAGTTTTGCTAAAAACTCAAAAGTAAATTGAAAACCTGAGCCTGAAACCGCATGATTACCTTCTGAATCGCTACTGCCAACATCTGCTTCTTCCGACCCAACATTTTGATTTTGAATTCCAGGCAAAGAACGTGACATTAATAACTCTCTTTCCTTTTCCAAACCCTTTTTGGCCTTGCTTATAATGTCGCCTTTTTTGGGATAAACAAATGCAAAAATATTAAAGGAGTAGGGTTAGAGGATAACGACCTTGAAACCTACCATCGTATACAGGCTTGGTGCTTTTGGGTGAATTTGCGGCTGACGTTTCCATTTGTTTGCGGAGTTCTTCAGACTCTATTAATTTAGCCTGGAGTTGTTCGATTTCCAACATATAGTTTTCGACCATTTTCGTTATTTCGAAATCGGAACCTTCGGTCCTAGACCACTTATTTGAATCCAATTCTAATTTAAGTCTAGCATTTCTCTCGGTTAAAGCACCAACGGTGTTTTGTAATGATTTAAGGCGTTGCTGCAGTCGTTTGGATTCCGAAAGAAGCAACATGTTCTCATTAAATGTATCCGAAATAGTTGTGTTTCCTTCGCAATCTACCACAAGCTTACCCTAAAACAAGATTTTCAATTAAAAAACTAACCCCTAATAAAATAAGTATTTTACCTGTTTGTATTCTAACAACTCCATCTGCAACGCTGCAATTTCTCTACGTAGCTGGGAAATCGTTCGAGAACTTTGATCTTGGTTTATCTTAACTTTGTTTTTAATATTCCGGGCTCGGTTTGCGTACTTCAATGTGTTTAATGTTTCCATAAAGTCTCGATCGCTTGGCGACACGCACGCGATCATTAAGGTCTGACTGTTTCCGCCCAAAGAGTCCTGAAGAAGGCGGGTCAGCTTGGAGTCTCGATAGGGTACGTGCAAAGCTCTCTTTGAAGTATCACCAAGCGCCGAAATACAATTGCCCAGGGCGAGCAGCCCGCAGTTTATGGATATGCCCTCGCGAGCTCGCTCTCCTGTGGCCTGAGTCCTTTTCAGCCGTTCCGAACCTGCTAAATCAACGAAGTGGAACTTAGAAGTTAGGGTTTCCAAATCGTTACCCGATACGTTGTCATTCGGGGTAAGTAATCGCTGTCTGCGCACGAAAATTGTGAACAAAGCGTGTGATCGAGAGGACTGATCGTTCATTTTTGTTGAAGCAGTGGTGCGTGCTAAAGCTCCTTGCTGAAGGTACCTTCAAAATAATTAAATAAATTAATATTAAACGCTTAAACACGTATCAGGATTTAAGTATTATTTAATTTTTACTAATTAAACTTACTTTAAGGCATCTTGCGGGTGGGAAATTGGCTTTATTGACGCGCCAGAAATTGTTATTTGGCCGCTGCCATCTTCGTGTATCTTAAAGTTGCTGTTTTTGTTGAATGGGTCTAATAGATCGAAAATGTCCTCGTTATACAATTCGATATATTGAACAGCCAGACTGAACTGCGGACTTTCAGCAGTGGCTGAGAATTCTGAAGAGCTAGAAGCTTCCAGCTGTTGGATGCCACTGAATATATGACGAACCGCTCGGGGAATAATTCCAAGCAGAACGGACTCTGTAGTTTCGGATTCATGGTCGAAGCCAGTGCCCATCGTATACGTCTTGCCTGACCCTGTTTGTCCGTAAGCCAGTACAGTGGCATTATAACCATGCAGCGTACTATCCACTAATCGCTCAACGCATTCCGAGTATATATCACACTAATTTAAATTTAAAATGATCATAAATGAAAGAAATTTTAAGTGTGCAGTAAATTTTACCTGGTTGGAATTAGTATCAAAGACGTAATCGAAAGTAAAGGCTTTGTCTGACCCCAGAAAAATCTGAGGCTCACCAAAAGTTACTGTCGTGCAAACACGACACATATCAATTTGCTCTCTTGAGTTTTGAGGTCGGATTCTAAAATACCAAAATAAATTATTAATATTTATCGATAAGGCAAATTACAATTTTTCATTATTAATGTATTTAAATATTTATAGCGTGGCTAAAAATAAAAGGTTGCTTACCTGACAGCAACTCGAACTGTACTGTCTTTATTTGTGAGGTCTACTTCGGAAATCATAGTGCAGTTGGATCAAAAAACCTGCATACGGAACATTAATAGAAAATGTAAAGTTTAAATACTTCATTTATGATCCCGTATTTTAAAAAACTTTTTCGTGTAGCAGGCTTGAGAAACATTTTGAAATACATATGTATGTACATATATATGTACCACAAAAATATTTTTGTACAAGGTCTTTTTTAACCAAAATTGTTAATTTGGCAAACAAAAATGGGTGCTGTAAAAAATACTTAAGAAAACCGCGCATGTGTTTTGTAAATTGATCTTACATATGTACATACATGCAAATAATGTGTAAATATTTCAGCTTATTTTAGAGTATTATAATAAAAACACAAGCCAGTTAAGTTAACACATTCAAATGCACACAATGTTTGTTTATGTATTCAAACATATGTACGTATGACCAAGAAAAATATACATATGAAAATTTAAAGTAGTAAAAGTCCGATTCATCTACGTAATTGCTGTGTCAGAAAAAAAACAAAGGTACATACCAATTAAATAAAGTGATTCCTCGTGTCTTACAAATATAATGTAATATTTAAATCAGCTTTTTCTGATTTAATTCATGGAGTACGGACAATTTTGCTTGTGTTTATATTTCGCCAGAACATATGGTCTTCCAGAGGTGAGCTGTTCACAGGTCGATTTATTTTGAGTCTGTTTGCTGTTCACACCTGACATTATGATTATTATTATGCAGAGGGTATTCCTGGAGATTTAATGAAATATTTTCGATAAGTCTGCAAAAGTATTTGCGTACATTTCCTAAAGCTGATATGCCTTCTACGTTTTTAAGATATAATGGATAGTAAACAGTTATTTACAATTACAACTCCACCTTGCACAGTATATCCAAGTTTCATTTTATTAAAAATTAATTTGGACTAGGATATGTCAAATTTATGCCAACTAAATAATGTTTCTTAACAATTTCATATTTTTTAATTTATATCCATAATATATTGTAATTTTTTTTGTAATTCATGATTATTGAGTTAAAATTTGTAAAAAAAAATTGCCCTCAGCAGCTTGGGACCATTAGTGTAAGGTAAGAAAATATTACTGATTGAATATTTATTCGTCAGAGCATAACTGTTAAAAATTTTAAAATGTTAAAAATTTTAATATATTGTATTATTAATTAAATGTAAGTTCTGGTCATTTTAAAATATATATATTATTGTCAGGCTAAATCGGACTCCGATAGTAACTAAAGTTAAAAGAGTGCCCCTGTTGCTTATCGAAACTGTCGAAAATTAGATTTCCATTTCTGCATTGATAATTTTGCAAATGCATACCATTTTTCGAGGTCCATTGCTATTTCGCCGATTTTGCCAAGTAATCGTACCCAAAGTACTGCCCGGAAATAATATTCATCAAGAGTGGCCTTTGTCTAGTGAGTAAATGTTTCGTTTTTTTAGGCAGAAGAAGAAGAATTATTATATATGTGTATATAATTCCTAAGGTACCAGAGCCATGTCAAGCACTTTGTCCAAAAAGCTCATCGAGTATCCAGTTGCTCGAAAAGATGAAACTGTTAAGGAGGACTTCCATGGCACGCAGATAAAGGATGTGTACCGCTGGCTAGAAGATCCAGACTCTGGGGAAACAGAGGAATTCGTCAATGCCCAAAATAACATAAGCCGGCCATTCCTTGAAAACGGTGACGAGTGGCAGAAACTCAATTCCAAACTGACCAAGCTGTGGAACTATCCGAAATACGGATGCCCCATGAGATACGGAAATTATTACTATTATTTTATGAACACCGGCCTGCAGAACCAAAGTGTTATGTATCAGCAAAAGTCGTTGGCCGATAAAAATGAAAGTCAAGTGTTTCTTGATCCAAACACTTTGTCTGAGGACGGTACGGTTGCCTTAACCCAAAAGGCCTTTTCCGAAGATGGCAAATATATGGCCTACGGACTAAGTGAAAGTGGTTCCGATTGGATTAAGATCCTCATTCGAGACGCGGATACCGGTAAAGATTTAAGCGAAGTCCTAGAAAAGGTCAAGTTTTCCGAGATATCGTGGACAAAAGACAATAAGGGATTCTTCTACGGTGTAAGTAATAGATTTTCTTTCGCAGCTCGAAATAAAATGTATTTATACAGAGATATCCCGATCAAGACGGAAAAACTGATGGATCTGAAACTAAACAAAATGAAAATCAAAAATTGTACTATCATCGGGTGGGAGAAAGTCAGGATAAGGATACACTTGTGGTCGAGTTTCCCGAAGAACCTTCATGGCGCATGTAAGATATCTGCCAAATTAAAATTATATTCATTGACTTTATTTGTTATATAGCCAATCTACTGTTTCTGATTGCGGGAAATATTTGATTCTGGCTATTGTTAAGGATTGCCGAGACAACATTGTTTTCTATGCAGACCTTAAGCCAGGCCAGGAAATTAACTCTAAACTGAATGTCAATAAAATTGTTGAGAAGTTCGAGGCGGACTATGATGTAAGTAATTGCTATCAATTTCTTTGGAACACATTTATATATTCTTTATTATTACAGTACATTACCAACGAAGGCTCAAAAGTATTCTTCCGTACAAATAAAAATGCACCAAATTATCAAGTTATTGCCATAGACTTCGAAAACCCAGAGGAGGACAAATGGGAAACCCTTATAGCTGTAATTTTAGATTGTTTTTCCCATATATATTTATTAAGAACTAATTTTCCCCCCATAGGAGCACAAGTCGGACGTGTTGGATTGGGTCAAGTGCGTTGATACTGATAAATTGCTCGTTTGTTACATAAGGGATGTAAAGGTAAATAATTTTCACAAGACAAATTATTTTTTATAAACTTCATGGTTTTTTGTTCTTTTTTTCAGAGCGTTTTACAGGTCAATTCCTTGAATGATGGAAAACTACTGCGGGAATTCGATATTGATATCGGTACCATTGTGGGAACCTCCGGGGAGAAGAAATATTCTGAAATATTCTACAACTTCTCATCCTTTTTAAACCCTGGGTCTATTTACCAATATGACTTCAAGACACCAGACCAGGCGCCTTCGCTGTTTCGCGAAATTAAACTAAACTTAGAGGGCTTTCGCCGGGAAGACTACGCCGTTGAACAAATATTCTACAACAGCAAGGATGGCACCAAGGTACCGATGTTTATAATTCGTAAAAAACGGGATGCCATTGAGCCGCGACCATGTCTCCTTTACGGATACGGAGGCTTCAACATCAGTATGCTTCCGTCCTTCGGACTCTCAGGGTGCGTACTTTTCTGTTGCAATTTGATTTCTCTTTGCTATATCTGGGAACCTTTGCAGGCTTATGTTTATAGACACTTTTGATGGTGTGCTCGCCTATCCGAATCTGCGAGGGGGTGGCGAATACGGCGAGAAGTGGCACAACGGCGGTCGCCTGTTGAACAAACAAAACGTGTTCGACGACTTCCAAGCGGCTGCCGAGTATTTGATTGACAATAAGTATACGACTAAGGACCGTTTGGCAATCCAAGGTGGCTCCAATGGAGGACTTCTGGTCGGCTCTTGTATCAACCAACGTCCTGATTTGTTTGGCGCTGCTGTTGCACAAGTCGGGTTCGTAATTAATATTTTTTCTGAAAACTAAAAGAATAATAATCTTAACATAAATTTATTTTTCCGACAGAGTAATGGATATGTTGCGCTTCCACAAATTCACGATTGGACATGCTTGGTGCTCTGATTACGGAAACCCTTCGGAGAAGGAACACTTTGAGAATCTGTACAAGTTTTCGCCGTTGCATAATGTACATACTCCAAAGGGTGCCGAAACGGAATACCCTTCTACATTGATTCTGACGGCCGACCACGACGACCGCGTCAGTCCCTTGCATTCGCTGAAGTTTGTGGCCGCTTTACAGGAAGCTGTTCGCGATTCCGAATTCCAAAACAATCCGGTTCTGTTGCGTGTTTATCAGAAGGCGGGTCACGGTGCTGGCAAGCCCACCTCAAAGAGAATCGAGGAAGCTACTGATATCCTGACATTCTTGTCGAAGAGCCTTAACGTCGACACCGTCATCGTTTAAACCATAAACCATAAATAAATTGCATTTCTCAAGGTTGAATTAAAATTGCTGCTTTTACAAATTAAAAAATTTCACAATAAATTATACACCTGAAAGAATATATTGTCTACTATTTGAATTTTTTGTAATAAAAAAAATGTAAGTAAACGCGAGTAAGTATTAAATATTTAGCTTTCACAACTTAACATATAGTAGTTGGGTATTTGACCGGATCGAGTCGATATCTACCTTCAACGAGGGATATTATGATTTAGTCCAAGAACAACATTACGATATATAATTTTACGTATTTCAGCATTTTCATTGATTACTATACCGTTTCTGCCAAATAAGAATAGCGGCTAATAAACTTTTTTAAGTCAACTAACTTTTTTTTCAATAGTTTATTTCTATTAACAGTGTTCACGACCAATAAAAAGCAATGCAAGTTTCTGTGATTGAATTTATTATTCAATTACTACCTTTATTTGATTTCTGGAAACGTACATGTTATGTAGCAGATTTACTTTTCCTCTGGTTTGCTGAAGACAAAGGTCAGGTTGCACTTGCCGCAGTAATGACGATCTTCGTGGGCAGCCATGAAGACGCCGGCGCCGCAGTTCTCACCGGGGCACTCGCGACGGAGACGGTGGATCTTGCCGTTCTCGTCAACCTGCGAAAAAATTGACGAGGTTAATTGTTAAAATCATAAATGGTTGGTCAAAAAGTGAAGATAGGGCACTGGTGAAGTCACTCTGAGATCCAAATCTTAAGCGCAAGACCAAGACTCAAGAATTCCAAGAACAGATCAGAATGTTATCGGATGTTGGTAGATTGTTGTGTGTACCTTGTAGTATTTCAGGACAGCTAGCTTGACCTTCTTCCTCTTGTGCTTGATTTTCTTGGGGGTGGAGTAGTTCTTCTTCTTGCGCTTCTTCGCACCACCACGCAGACGCAGCACCAAGTGCAAAGTGGACTCCTTCTGAATGTTATAGTCAGAGAGGGTACGGCCATCTTCCAGCTGCTTGCCAGCGAAGATCAGACGCTGCTGATCTGGAGGAATTCCTTCTTTGTCCTGAATCTTGGCTTTGACATTTTCGATAGTGTCCGACGGTTCGACCTCAAGAGTGATGGTCTTGCCCGTGAGGGTCTTAACGAAGATCTGCATCTTGTATTCCAGTCACCAAACTGAAAGAAATAAGAAAATTGAGGTAAATAAACAGAAGTCGTAAGTAAGGCGGCTTATACTATAAGAGATCTAAGGAAATCAAAACAATTTTTAATGTTATTTGTATATGGATTTTTATTAAGCAAACTCTTAAAGTAGGGAGCAACATTTGTTGGTTAGACAAGCAGTACTGCATTGATAACGCCGTCGTTTTCTGGATTGTTTGTGACCTGTGCGTACTTGCCCCAGACAACTTTTCCTGTTTGCGTTACCAATCCAAGTTCAGAGATGTTGACTTCGATTACTGTGCCCTTTGTAATGACACCCAATGAAGTGAACATGGGCGAGCTAGGGTTCTTTTTCACTCCGATAATGGGCAGATTGAAGGTGGCTTTCAGTTCTGGATGCGTAACATGGGCCTTCTTCATGCGGAGGCCCATGGGTCGAATAAAACGTTCGAACTTCGGTGGCTTGCGGGTGAAATTCTCGCCGACGAAAGTGACTTTTGTGACCATGCGCTTCCACGCCTTCCTCTTTGTCTTGCCAGTCTTCAGCACCTTGAAGACCTCTGCATCTGACTGAGCTCGTACTTTGGGAATAGGCACGTCCCACTTGCCAGCCTTTTCCTTTCTCTTCTGCTTGATCATATTGGACAGGACCTTTGCGCTGGACTGGATGCCTCTGTCGAGCAGGTAATGTGGCAGGGCTCCATCCTCAACCTTCTCCTCCTGCTTCTTGACCTTCTTCTCCTCGTGGGCCTGGATCTTCTTTTTGATCTGAATCTTTTCATTGCGCCGCTCCTTATTGAAGAGTTTGGCCTTGATGCCTCGCAACTTGCGAGCCTTGCGTGCTCGGTCCTTGGGAAGACGTGCTTCCTTCTTGCGCTTCCGCTCTTCATAATCCAATCGCCGGCCATACAGCTTGCGATGGCGCTCCATATACTCATTCTGCGGCATGGTTACTTGTTAATTCTGGAGACCAGTTCTGAAATATATGCACATGGTTAATACTATATAGAAAGCGGGAGATTGCGAAATATGTTCCCTGGGGAAGCCATTTCTAGCCATCCACAGATAACTAATCACGCGGAACTTCACTTACCTTAATATATAAATTTAAATTTCACAATATTTATCTCTTCACAAGTATAATTTATCAATGTGAACTACTGCCGTTTCAATGTTACATGTGCACTGCAATTATTTTCATTTTCCAATAAAATAAAAAGAGTCACAATTTGCACTTGTAACCAGTTACAAGTGTAAATGACTTTAACTTTGTATTTTTCCGTTTATTTTCACTTAAACTACAATTAAAAATACCAACCCCAAAAACTTACCTTGCTTCGGCAACAGAATCAAAGGAAAGAAAGAATCAAACATACAGCGTGACAGGAAGTTGAAAAATTGTACGCAGGGTTGCATTCGGAGTTTACATTTCTTACTTTTTTGAATTAGTAAAGCAATGGAAACATGTGGAATTAAAACATATTCATGTGTTTCATAGTGAAACATTAAATTATTAAGTCGCCTGAATGTTTAGGTATATAATATATTTGATTTGTGAAACTATTTATATATGTGGTAAATAAAAAATCTAGAAACCCCGCCACTCGCACATAGATTTAAATACAATTTCTCCATACACAAAAGTATCAGGGAAATTATATATCCACCTGTAAAATAAACAAAACAATTAATATTTAAGGTTCAAGAATTAAAATGCTTACAGAATAAAGTTATGAATGCGGGTAACACTCCTGATAGGCTCACAGGATAAACAGTGTATAGTGACAGACAGGTAGGCTTTTTGATTTGCCGCCGCCGAAGTATGCGCTCCACAAAACCTTTCTCCTGGGCGTTACACATACTAAAATAATTTAAAGCAATGTAAAAGCAACAATAAATAGGATTTCAGAAATCGATTGCTTAATATTTTCAATATTAGTTGTTCGCAAGCAAGTTCCATTCTTTTAGGAACGGTTGAAAATTTAAAAAAATGTACACCCACGGTCCATACCTATTATCCGCCATTTAATTACATTTGATACTCAGATGTTAACGGAATAAGTTTTATTTTATCAAGTTAAGTTATTATTGCTCCTCAAATATCTCTTTGGAAAGGTTATTGTGGTGCAGAATACTCAAAGAGGAAGTGAGTGAGAAGTCTAAAAATGTTTAAGTGTAACTAGGCTTTCTCCTCCACATTGTAATTTACTAAATAGTTTTGAGTAAGATTAGTGGTATTATTGCATTTATCACATTCCCAATATATATTAAAATATTTGGTCGTCCTGCAAATAATTTGAAAAAAAGCAATCAGTTTCCGAAACCCAATTATAATCTGGGCACGCTTTCTTACGCCGTTCGAAATATTTCAGTATACTGGCTGTTTTTATGTAAGATCCAATTCATTATTTCAACCTCCATTAGACCAGAGACTTCACGCAGATCGCAGATCTCATTTGCATCAAAAAATTCTGCAATTACCGGGTAAGCGTCAACTACTTCACAGTGAAACGCAAAACCGCCGGCCTTAAGATATGGAACAGCTTCCTCTATATGGCTGAAAATCGCCAATTCTTTTGAACTTCTCGTCGAAGATAGTTTCTTCTCTATTAGTCTTGTAATGGATTGATTTTTGCTTTCCTTTTGAACAAATAAGCTAAATATATATTATTTAATTTGAAGATTTAATTTACTTACTCGAAATAAAACTTTGTAGTAACCAATATCCTCAAAAGAAATTTTTAAAGGACTAGAAGTTATCTCATCAACAGTAGCTGGTCCTTGATCTGAAGAGCTTAACAAGCCACCAACCACAGAAGATGTATAATAGTTGTACATTACAAGAGAGAACAAGAATAAGGTCATTACAAGAAAGCGTACAGAACGATCTTTCGGATTGGGGTCCAATCCCTGTTGACAACAAGCTCCAAATGTCTGAAGAACTCGTTCGATGCATGTAGTTTTTGTTTGGTCTTGGGAATAATCTCCTCTATGCAAAAACTTGCAGTCTATAATTTCAAATAGCACCCAAATTATGCTAAATGAACCTAGGGTTAATAATGAAAAAAACCATACGCTGCCGCTAAATGGTGATAGAAAGTTTCCTGCCCACGCAGTACCGTCCGTTCCAGGCGTAAATAAATCTGGAGTATATCGGTATAGAAACGCAGTTTCGAATTTCCAGCTTTGATGTATTATATCAAACTCTGCGAAGCGGTTAATGCGATTGAATGCTCCAGATGCGGCAATATCTGCCTCATTTCGCATAATTATTCCTAAGAGACCAAGCCGAAAAGTAGTATTTCCCAACCGGCCAGCCCATCCCCTAGAATTTCGAAAGTTAACGGTGAAGTTAAAACGGTCGCGTAATAGTCCCAATAGTTCGTAGTGATATTTTATAAATGCTGCTACTCCAGAGTCCTTCGTGGGCCGTGAAAGAATAGATTCAATTTGCTCATTTGAAATAATATCCTCCTTATCGATCTGAAATGATTAAATAAAGCTTCAAGTGGTTAATATTACTCATTTAAGAACTTACCACGCTCGCTCCTCTAAGTGACATTCCGTTAAATTGACCGCGAAAATCAATGCTTTGCAAATGAAAAATATCACAAACTATATTAACTGTGCCATTTATCAAAGTGGCTATCAAATTAATTTCCAACTGCGATTTCAAATGTCGTCCTTTCGAATGAACATCCCAATATGCGTAGCCCTCCTTGGTTTTATTTACATAGGTTATCTGAGCGTTTGGACCGACATAATTCAGATTTAACGGAAATAAGGATTGTACGTCAAGATCTACACCCCAGAAAAACCATTGGTAGGTTTTGTTCAAGTATCTGTTTTCGGAGGCTTCAAAAAGTAGCTCAGATGTTCCACTACATCTGGCATTCACTAGGATAGAAGTTCGAGCAGGACTTTCTCTTGTCAATATAGATGGAAGGTTATAAGTTTGGTTTAGATGTACGACACTCACAAATTGGTTTCTTTCCATTAATGCAAGAGTCGTTTCTTTAAAATCTAATTATTCAGTTAATATTACATTTTTAAAGTCAAATACAAATTAAAAACATTTCGGTTTTACTTCTTACCTTGAAGCAAACATGAAAACACTATTGTATGCCTGGTTTTAACCAAGCTTACAACGAAATTCGTTAAGACCGATACGTCCATATCCAGACTCATTTCACCTGCAGCGAGTACAAGAATAAACAAGAAAATTGAGACTTTCATTTTCAATGTTTCAAATCCGGTAAGCATTATATACACTTTTAAGGTAAGTGATTTCATTTGATTGACAGCGTGAATTGCATGTGGTAATTACCGACTTCAAACTCTGTGGACGGCCGTCAGGGTAGTGACGATGGCTTATATTGAATAGAGCCGCAGAATTACAAATCTAAACTTAATCAATATATGGCCAAAATAAACTATACTTTCAAAGGAACCGTCTTTAACGATTTTACTCTGCATTGACTGTTATTCTCTAAGTAAAACGGTTTGCAAGTATAGCGGTTGAAATAAAGTTTCAAATGTTTAAGTAGTTTTAATAAGATGATAACCACACCTTTTTTTTTAAATAAGTGAAGAAACATTATTAAGCAGACCTTTAACCGAAAACTTTTTGATAAAATTTTTTTTAATAAATCTAACTAATTAAAAAATAAAAAAAATTTGTGTGTTTGAGTAATGGAGCTTTTTAACCGTACCAGCTCCATTTTGCTTTTACGTTACATACAAAATTAATTTCCATTACCATCTCGCTCGGTGTGGGCATTCAAAATGTTGGCCCATATAAATTTATAACGTATAAACAACTTTAAATAAATTGTATCTTAAGAAATCTATTTGCATATTCTTTGTTCAATTTAGGTTAAAATTATATTTGTAGGATATTTAAGAGAAATCGCAATGAAGACACACATTGTTGCTTTTGTTTTAGAAAATATTTTCTCTAATTTCTAAAAGTCATATAAAGCATATTTGCAAAAACTTTGATTTCGACTTTGAATATCAAACATGAAATTCAATATTCTTAGCTATAGGATTACTTATTTTCGTCACGAAATTCGGCTTCAGATATTTTATATGTCGCAGGTGCAACCATAATATCTTAAGCACGTCAACGATTATAATTCAATGGGTATTCACCAGAATTAAGCCACTTAAAGTAAAATAATAAAAGGAAAGGTAGTAAGTGTAGCCGTGATTGACAAGTAAAATTAGTGTATGAAATTTTAATGAACCAATAAAGTGTCCCATTACTTAGAATAACATATCGCCCTTTATGGCTTGAGTAAACGAAATGGAAATGGTTCATAGACACCTTTTTAAAAGATATGTTCAACGCATTATTTTTTTATTTACGATTTTATTTATATCCGAACTAAAGATGGTTTTAAAATTTTTCTATGCTAAAAGCGAATAATATAATATAATATTTTTTTATAATCTTTTTCTCTTCATTCCATTTTTAAGACGATGATTATCGTATGGCTGATATCAACATTTTCTCATCTCTAGTTTGTTTATGTCTTAACGAAGTAAAAAAAACAATGAATTTACACCATGTCGTCTTCTTTTAGATACAATCTTCTAAGAAGTGTTAAGCCATACACTCCCTTCACGTCGCAACTGACTAAATCTATGTTACGCGTTCTTATTCAAGTTTCTGTGCATTTTATTGAGACAAAAAAGTCGTCTTCTGAAGTGCTTTCACTAGCACTAAACAAACTAACAAATGCAGGCCATAAAATTCCGCCAAACTTTTGTGAACTCTTTACAATGGTGTTTTTGATGCTGCAAATCTTTCTGAAATACCCAAAGGGAGTTGTGAAACATAATGAGTTGCGAAACTGTTTAATGGATGATTTAAAGTAGGTACATATGTTCATAATTATAGTTTCTAATAATAATACATAATATCTTGTCATTAGTTTTACAGAAGAATACGCTGACGACATTTGCAAAGTTTTGTTAAACCATCGAGATATACTCAGCAAAAACTTTTCAGAAACTAAAATTGACCGAGTTAAAATGACAAAATTGCAGTGGAGAATTAATATTTCCTTATCTTTAAAGTAAATACTTTCATTCATAATATATACATATTAACATTATTTTATTTTCAGCACTGTGCATATAGATAAACCTACGATAGTCATCCACTTCAAACTTCAGAATAGAGAATTTCGAACTCTTGAATTACCATTATCTATGTTTCAACAAGTGCGATATAACATCGCCCTTTTACTTAATGAGCTACAGTCACTGCAAAGACGATCTGCTTTAAAATAATTTAAATGGCACTAGCTATATGGTTATATATTTTAAAGATTCGATTTTGTTACAAATTAAATAAAAGTAATATTAATCTTGTTCCTGTACACAAAAGAAAAGTTTTATTTATAAGATAAAATTATTATGATTGCAAAACTATTTAATTATTTTCTAATATGTATCTTTTGCTCGAAAAAAATGTTATATTTTGACATTGATCAGCAGACGAACGCATAAAGTATCGAAGTGCAATACATCAATAAATATGATGATACTTTATATTACATCACAAAACAGAGATCAAAACCGAAACGTTGTAAAGAAATATTTCCGAGAAATTAATTGAACTATTAATAACACTGGGAATTAGAAAGAGCAGATTGTGAAATTGAGAACAGCCCTTTTCGTTTCCTGTTCTGCTTTCATTTCATTTCAACAATGCGATAGTTTCTCGCCCATCTCTTTCGATTTCAAATTATCGCTGTGTAAATCGATTATTTCAACAAAATGGTAAGCAATATTATTTTATGGTAAATATAATTTATTAATTTTCAATGGGTTTTAGCTACCACTGTCTCTACTAAAAACAGCTCAGAGCCATCCTATGGTAAGACAAATGTGCACTATAAATATTTATTTATTTTAAGCAATATCATACACGATATTTTTTATTTAGTTGGTGGAGCTTAAAAATGGAGAAACATACAATGGTCACCTGGTTAGTTGCGACTCTTGGATGAATATCAATCTCCGCGATGTAATTTGCACCTCAAAGGTAATATTTAATTTAGAATAAAAGCAAAGCTAGTATACACAATATGGTTAACGCACATATTTTGTTTACCCACAATGTTGCAGGACGGCGACCGTTTCTGGCGAATGCCCGAATGCTATATCCGCGGAAGTACCATTAAATATCTACGTATTCCTGATGAAGTTATCGACATGGTAAAGGAGGATGCGCAAGCGAAGTCGAGAAACCGCACAGAGATGAACAAAAACCGTGGAGGCAACTCATCGCAAAATCAACGCGGCGGACGTCCTGGCGGCAACCGAAATAATGTAGGCAATCGTCCTGGCCAGGGATACGGTGGTCCTGGAAACAATGCGATGCGCCTGGGTGGAACTGCTGGTCAAGGAAATCGTCTGCCTCACGCCGCCAAGAATAGAAAGTAGTTGTTTGCACCGTAGTAATAAATTCTTTTCAACTATTCAGTCAAGTATTTATTGATAAAAAGTTGACATTTTTATACAGTCTCGATAATTTTAATCACGAGGATTTCTTTGCTACTTATTGCCATGGTATCTGTCTATTATCCAGCAACCAATTAGAATGGGTTGGCTTAAAATTTAAAAAAAATCACTGGGAGACGCTTTATACTACCAAGCAAACTAAACCCAGCCTAGGGTTCCAGGATTTACAGCTTTATTTGTGGGGATGTCGGGCACGGAATGTGGGAATTCAAGTCTTTCTTGCTCCAAATGCTTTAATATGTAAAATTTGACTGGACCGTCTGTTGGATCGTATAGTTTCATTATATTCGAATTTTATTTTGCCTATATTTACTTTAAGAAATATTTAATAAAGAGTACAGGTAAACAAATGTAATATTTATATGTATTGTAGCTAAACGAATTGTTGACGGCTTTTTAAAAACTCAAGCATGCCCTGAACATTGGCGTTCACCTGTGGCGGCTGTTGTTGTCCGTTTAGCAAATTATTGGGCATCGCCGCCATAGGAAGCAGTTGCTGTGGCTGATTAGTGAAACCTGGAAAGACAAGCACAAAATAAGTAAATATATAATCGCCTGTGGAGACACGAATCCTCAGATGAACACATACCACTCTGGGAATTTTGCTGTTGAGCCAAATGCTGCAAAAACATATCCTGTTGTTGTTGAGGATGTGGGGGAATTTGGTTTTGTGGGAAAGACGAATACTGTCTGAACGAAAGTATAGCCGGATCCATTGAAGTCCAATCACTGTTGTTGTAAACTGTTAAGGAAAATATATCATTAGTTATTTCATTTAGAGTAACAGGATTTTTTATATTTTACATCAAGGCACCCGCTTTTTTTTAGATTGTTATCGAATACAATATGTCATATACTTGCGGGAGACAAAAATTATAATTTAAAAAAAAAGGAAAATATATAAAAACAAAAATTAGTCACTACATTTTTTTAAGGATTAAAAAGCTATTTACTTTTCTCCAATTTTTTGCTGTCATTCCTATGAAAGTGAACTAAGATCTTGCTAATCTCTTATATAATAATAATCAATTTATATTAAGCTTTTCTGCCAGGAAACTCCATAAAATTGGAAACATGTTTAGGCTAGCCTCTCCGTTTTCTATGACCACTAGTTCAATTCAAAGACATAACTTACCCTTGTTGTGAGCCATCTGGTGCAATTGTGAGTCGCCCACGGGCTGTCCTGGGTTTTGGTGCATGGCCAAATGAGCATTCCAGTTGGCAGCCATCGGCACCTGGTGCTGGCCTTGGGGCCCATTGTTTCCCACCCCGTTAACCGGCATGTTCATGAAGGGCATCATTTTGCTCGTGTGCTGCAGTCTGGATGCTCCGCCCAGTCCCAATGTGTTCATGTGATTGAAACCCGGCGGCGGCATACGAGCGCGCTGCATGTTGTCCACCAGCTGCTGATGGGGGGGAACTTGGGGCTGTGGTGGCAGCTTCGGCCCGGGGTTTTCATTGTTAATACTCTGTTGTTGAACAACTTCATTTTCCATAAGTTCAGCAAGTCCCTTTTGGGTCTCAATAAAGGGGTCGAAACCTTAAGACAGGACCAATAATTAATAAAAAAAAAACTTCTAAAGTGCAATATTAACATCGGATTACCTAAGTCATCGTCGACTATCGAGTTTTGGGTGAACCGACTCTGCTGAGATTGCGTGTTTGAAGGCTGGATAATAAAAAAATAAAAAGTTTGATTAGTTTTAAAGAACATTTGCCTTAAAAATTCTAAATATTATGAAAATAACTTACCAAATTTTCAAACATTCCCATCATCCTCTGCTTTTGAGGTTGCTGTTGTGAATTAATAAGTCCTGGGATAATGACGCGAATCATTACTGACGGTTAGCAGATATTTAAACGGAATATGGAACCTACCATTTTCGACAAAAGGCGAATTCAGTCGATTGTTTTCCAAGAAGGCCGCAACTCGCTGTGGCTCGGGCACAGCACTATTTCCATTCATTTGAGGCGGGTGTCCATTAAGATACTGATGATGTGACTGCTGCTGACTTTTATGAAAATCGAAAAACTTTGACATGTTTCCGCCAAACAGATTTTCCCCTGTCTGTTGTTGTAATAGTTGTTGTTGCAGAAGTGCATGTGCTTGTACTCTATTTAAATCGAGTGAATTAGCCTGGAAATGGCTAAGGAAATCTGAAAAAATATAAAAAATGTAAATTGGTGTAAATATTAAAGATTTTGGGTGTCTCAAAAATATCAAAAAAATTATGGTATTAATATATTGTTTATGTTGGTTAATTTATATTTCAGTTTTAATACAATAACAAAAAGAAATACAATGAATAACAGTAAGCTCGATAAACGTATCCAAAATCAAATAAATCTTACCATTTGCAGGACCGTTAATTTGTGAAAGATTAGTCGCAAAGTTGTTGCGTTTTTGTAGTTCGTGCATGCGAAGGAACTCCTCTTGTTGGTGCAAAACTTGCTGGTGGTGGTGCTGCTGCTGCTGTTGCAAATGTTGCTGTTGAAGCAGTTGCTCCTCCACATGCCTTGTGTTGCGTATCATCACATTTTTGAAAGCTTCCTCCCACTCTGTTTTTAAAAATATATAGATAATGGTTTGTGAAAAAAATTATTAAAATGTATCCTCAATTTTTTGGGGGTTACTACAACAACACTTAATTATAATTATACGATTTTCTTATACCCTTGCAGAGGGTATTATAATTTCAGTCAAAAGTTTGCAACGAAGATAAGGAGCATTTGGTATATATATTCTTGATCGACATCACCAGGAGAGTCGATCCAGCTATGTCCGTCCCTCCGTTTCTACGCAAACTAGTCCCTCAGTTTTCAAGCTATCTGCCTGAAACTTTCGCAAAAGTTGTCTTTCTATTGCAGGTATTAAGTATATAAGTCGGAACGAGCCGGATCATGAGCTCTCATAGGAACAATCGGAAAATCAAATTAAAAAAAGTATAACTTTTTTTTTTTATCAAAATCGGACAAAATGCCATAGAAACGATGACAAAATGCAGAGCATATAAATCGAAATGTAGTCGTTTTGTAATAACTGCAAGGGTATAAACGCTTCGGCTTGCCGAAGTTTGCTTTCTTTCTTGTTTATATTGTTATTACTAGTATTATTATGAACAAATAAATGTTTTAAAACACTACATTAAACAAATGTTTACCGTTTGTATTTGATGCCTTTTGGATTCCATCAATATCTGTGTATCCCCGTCGATATTTTATAGTTAGTGGTTTACGATGTTTAGCAGTACCGAAAAATAAGAGAAATCGACATTAATTGAGGTGGAAAATAAAAGTTATCGAGATTTCTGTGCACCCCTTAAGCAAAATTTAAGTAATAATGACAAAGTTTAAAAACTATTTTTTGATCTGGCTGAAGACTTAAAAAAAGCTTTCTGCATTTCCATATTTTCCATTGATACAACACTTACCGTTGACCAAGTCTGGTAAATGAGACTGTCGCATTTCCAAATCTAGCTTATTCTTTATTAAGGGGGCTTGCTGGAATGATGACGATGTAAAGAAGCTTGGCGGGTCATCAAAAATGTTGAGCTTAGACAGCGCATCTGCAACAATAATTGTGAGTAAAATACTAGAGTTGGATTAGTTCCCATACCATTCACTCGGCTTCCACTCTCTGGCAGACTCGAGGATTCGGCTGAATCTTCGGGCAAGCAACCTGCATCTGTGCTATTACTAGGCGCCATTGCAGCGTCCTTGCTGATGTCCTCCGAGGATTTAGATCCTGTTAGACTATGTTCAGCCTCGGCAATAGCCTCAATGATGTTTTCGGTATCGTCCTGAGTCTTTACACTTTCTTGGTGGCTTTCAGAAATCACACTATTGCACTTCTCTTCAGTATAATCACCCGTTAAACTCTTTTCACTTAAGCTACTCTCCGAGATATGACCTTCGCTATTTTCGCTACAGGAGCTCTCAGATCTTTGAACGTTTGTTCCCGCTAATCTCTTTTGTGGTAAATTGTCTTCACAGCTTTCGGTTACTTCCGTCTTTTTTTGTGTTATTGTACTTTCGCTCGGCTCAATTCGCTCCACCTGTTTGTTTGCCACGGGTGCCGAGACAGGTTCCTTGCCTTTCTTCGGCTCCTTTGCACTAGTCGAGGGTCGATCTTTTCCGCGATCTGCCCTCGATCGATTGCTAGAACTCTGCTGCGGTTCAGCCTTTGTGGAGGTTGGCGCATCCGCTGTTGCCTCGGCGAATGTCTCAGTACTTGTGCTGCATCGGGATTCGGGAACAAAGTTCTCCTTGTTTGAGACGTTGGAGTTCGAGTTGCCGCTGTTCTTATTTTTCGATTTGTTCTTTTCGTGTCTCTTTTCGTTGCGCAGCTTTTCCCGTTTGCTCTTCCCATTGGAATTGTTCGAACTGGAAGTCGCCTCCCTGCCGTTGATTGGCGAGACCGATAAACTGGGCCAAGCTTCTTTTTGTTGGCCATTGGCTGCGCTCGAAGCATTCGTGCCCGATCCAGAAGACGAGGATGACGCTGACGAGGACGATGGAATCGCGGCTGATTAGGGATAGACATTATTAAGTCATTAAGTGGCTGTTTAGAAGGAAATTACCATTTGCTTTAGAAGCTCCGTTACCATTTATAATACCTGCTGTATTCGGTCCGAACGAGGCAATAAGAGTATCGTGTAGGCGCTTCTCGTACTCCTGGTGTTTTCCCTGGTGCATTTCCTTTAAAAACAGATACAGAACATTAGTATGTGGGCACTTAGGGAAATCACGGCATTTACCTCCTTTGTAAAACTGGCCTCGGGATCACCCAATTCATGTAAGTACATACAGTCGCCCTTGGGACACTGCTGGTTTTTCATGAAATGGCTGCAGTATTTGGTTGTCCCCAAACTAGTCTTTATGAGTCGCCCGTCTATCATAATGTTGTTGACGCTTTGAATGGCCCGCAAAGCATCAGAGTTGTTAACATACGTGACATAGGCAGAGGCAGATGGACCCTTTAAATCGAAAGACCAGAATAAGCAAACAAAGCTGAAGAAGGAGAGGCTTCGGCAGGCCGAAAACTCAGATACCCTCGCAGTTTAAAAGGAAGCAAGTTGAGCAATGTTAAATTTAAAGAAACACCTGTGATTTTTTTAAAATAACATTCAGTGTTATCCTCAATTCCACGCTTGTAACCACTCCTTAAGAGTTGCATTTTAGCATAAGTAAGCACAGGAATAGAACAATAGTTCTGAGCCAATAAATAAATATATAACAAAAATTCGTTGCTTTTTGCATAAAATTTTGCCTAAAATAATAAAAAAAAAACATGTTAATATAAAGCTAATAAAATTAATTTCTAAATTTTTTGCTTAAAAAAATATTTCTACAGGGTTCGCTTACCAGAGCAGCTAATAACAAAAAGCTAAAATTCATTTTAATTGAAAATAAATTTTGGTACTTGTAAATATGTTTATTTCATTGAAAACGTGCCGTTTTTAATGTTTTCATAGAAACCACCTAAAAATGACTAAGCAACTCGGGTATGGGCACTAGGCCATATCAATGTATAGAGGTAATAAATAATTGAATCTTACAACTCTTACCTGGACCCCGGCATACGTGGTACTTGGATTTATAACGACTTTATGAATTTTCCCATATTTACCAAAATACTCGTGTTTTTTTAGTATCTGAAAGGGGAAACGTCAGTATGTCTTTGTCAAATTCTGATGAGTAGTCAACATACGTCTGCATCAGCAAGTCGAGGTGGCAGGCCCACAACAAACACCAAGTTCTTTTGGACCACACGAACGTTGGCCAAATGTTTTCGGTTCTCGGTGATCTTTTGCTTTCGTTGCTGGTCCCTTTGGCGTTTTTGGGACTTGAAGGCAATCATCTGGGATAAGGTAAATTGGAGAAGAAACCGGATTAATAAAAGAGAGAAAGATGAATAGACATATCTTACTTCTTCCTGTGTTAACGGCTTAAAGTCCGCTGGATTTTCTGGATATTCCTTTCGACATGCTGGACACAGCTTGTTCTCATCCGTGCGGATCCTGTGCCAACAAAACCTGCAAATCTTCAATCAAAAACACCGGAATTATATGGTGATCAAATGAGTTATTATTGGGCTAGGTACCTGGTATCCGCAAGTGCAGGGAAAGAAGGTCAGATCGTCCACCTCCAACGGCTCCATACACAACGGGCACTCGACTGCGTCATCATTACTGCTCATGCCATTCATTTTCAGGTAATTTTTGGTGGTGAAGGACTCGCAGTTTTAAATTTTTAATAAACTGTTGATAATGATGGGAACCAAGCTGTAGAAAGTAAAAAATAATATTTATTAAACTAATTTGTCAGTGACGTTTGGTATCTTTGTTTTAAATGTCAAGGATAACTTTTCTTCTCCAGTCCTTTTCTAAATTCAATTAACCAAACTTATCAGCACACTACCTATATATCCCCTAGTATATCAATATCCATATCATATTTACCCCGAAAATGTAGCCAAAACTAAACCCTACGTCGTAACAATATGTTCTTTGGATGAATCACCCAAACATCGCTATTATTTTGCACACTATAAAAACAAGTTTGCGGAATTTATCACCTGTGGCTAGACTTTCGATCATATTAATTTTGGGGCTATAAGCTATACTTGGGGTTTATTAAATTTGTGTACATATAGGTCATTATAATCGTGGCATTGTTGACTTTATGCAACCTTTGAAAACTGTCAAATTTAAGCTACCTGAAGAAGATGTTTACTGTCAGGTAAGTTTTTGTATATATACAATGACACTCACACATGCACGAAAGTCTACGCGCAGACAAACAAAACGTATTTTTAAATATGGATACCTTTTCATAACAGATATCAAACACACTTGTGAATGTACATACAAGCATACATTAACAAGTTTTAAAAAATTTCAATTTTAAGCTTTTATAACAACAAAGAAAGAAAGTATTTTTTAAGAGTTTAATAACCGTTTATCTGTGTGAATATGGCGACACATCAATACGGGAAATCTCACGCAAGATTAGAATTGACAGCGATATTCGCATATGCATTGGAAAATCACTTATTAGTTGTACATCAGTAATTTGTTAAACCACTATATATGCACACATATACAAGCACTTATGTACTTGTGCGTACATTGTTCACGCTACAATTTTTAGGGAACACAAACATGTAGTATTGGGAACAATAATTGTTTTTCAATAATACTAAATCACCAAAACGTAAAAAAAATTTCGGAAGAAAGAAAGTTTAAAGGGATAACAATAAGGAAAAGGGAAATAAAAACGATAAATGTACATAAGCAGGAGTATATATACATACACATATGTATGTACACGTAACACGTATGATTGTAGGTGTGATGTAGGTTTTTCTTTATTCACTCTGGATAGTTGATGACTCGGAATTGCAATGTGCAAATTGAATTTTTGAATGCCTTTTAACTTTTATAAATACTTGGTAGCAAACGTATCAAACGAAAGTACTAAGGCTAAAAATAAACGCAAAGTAAACGAATGAATTCGCCAAATTAAAGACTTCAATTTTGTTCCACACGAAACATTCGATATAAATTCCCAACTCGAACTATCGATAACGCTGTACGCGAAAATATCATTTCCCACGACTGCGTTGTTTTTTAAATATTTTTTTTGTATATATTAGAACGTAAAAAGATTTAAAGGTTAAGATATTGTAGTTAAATTCAAAATTGTTTTGTCTAGCCAAAAATTTTTCAATCTTTGATGACGGCTTAACGTTCGCAATCGCACGTTTCTATGAGTTACTTATCCGGTGGTTTTTAATTTCTCAAAACATAAAGTGAAGTAAAATTAATTATGAGGGCGTGGAATAATAAGTTTTCAATATAAATGAAAGCAATGAAAAGTAATTTTAAGACTCGTTAATTGATGATCAGTGGGATTCGCTGTTTCGTTTCTGTCAAAAATCTCAACCGTTCCCCTATGTCGTGCTCTGTGGGTTGTTATAGGTTGTTAAGTTATGATCCGGGTTTTTTTAAGAACGAAGAAAATATCTATTGATGGAACAAGGGTTTTACATTTTTGAATCTTCATTATTTTAGAAATAAAAAAGACAGAAAAAATCTGTTGGGAATTATAAATTTTATACTTCGTTTCATAAATAAGTTTATACCAGTCACCAGTTTTTTCTTCATATTGATAACCAAGTCGACTAGATAACTCCGAATATGACATTTGGCAACTAGGTCGTGGGAAAAGTCGACTTTGCAAAACAGCTGTTTGTTGCTTTGATTTAAAATTTAAATATTTAGAAACGGAAGTCGTTCGATTAACACCATTATATTCGAGCTTTTATTTTAAGCCCATGCATTAATTGTATATTAATATTTGTATTCAAATAAGGCGAGTGTATAAATGTTTTAACATTTAATTAAAAACATACAACGTGTATAATCTATAAAAATAATCAAATGCGGTGTGCAAAACAAGATGCACTGTTCGTACTGCGACACGGTCACGGCTACTTTTATTCGGGAAATGGTGATTTGAAAATAATTGTGAGAAGTAACAGGTTAATAACTGGCGATCCCTATTTACGTTTTTACTTGAAGTTTGTTCGTGGAGCGTTGCACCTGTGAAAAATATAAAATGGTAAGGTTACCGGCATTGATTTTGAGAGATATAGTATAGCAAATAAAAATAATAAGAAAATGTTTAAAAATTTAAATATATTGAATGTGAAGAAAAGTATACGTATGCATGCTAACAACCATATACTATAATATGTAGTTATGAAGGTATGTGTAGATGGTCGCAAAATTGTTTCTGGAGATTTAACATTCATTCGACCTCTCCATGCTAATCTTTGAAACCCACTGTGACGTAAATGCGTTTTGCACACAATAGACGGTTTCCAGAAGACCCAAAGAGTATAAAATGAAACTGTGTGCTAGCTAATTGGCAATTGACAGCGATAAAAAATTGTTTTTTATGTTTTAGCTTTTCCCGGAGCACCTACAACTTATATAAACTTAATTGTAACTGTAAAGCAAAGTCAATGAATTCAAATCGTTCATATCTTATCAAAAATGTTCAAATAAAAGGTCATGCTTCTAATAAATTGCAATTTTCCAGTGAGGCATTAATAGATATATTTACATATGTATGTAAACAGATAATATCTCGTACAAAGTAACGTTATATCGTTTATGTCAAAGTTTCTTTGCTTTTGTATAAAGGAAAACATGAAAAGGGGTCAATATCAACCAGTGCCCTACATTTGCTTGCGCCTTAGAAAAGGATTAACTGAGATTGCGTAACAAAAATGAGTGAGAAATGTTTCGAACAAGCAAAGAAAATCCGACACCTCATAATATAATTATTTCCATGAATTAAATTATCAATCTAGGCCCAAGATTATCTGTATAGCCAACTTTAGTTCTCGTTTAATAAACAATTATGTTAAGCTTGGCCCTTTATCTCAGGATGCAAGCTAATAATCAATTCATTATTATATATGATTGGCGAACTGGATATGAAAACATTGTTCCAAGCGTCTAAAAATAAAATATAAACCAAATGCAAAGGCCGAATGAAAAATGCACCCCTTATTACAGTATAATTAGCTCAGCTGTATCTATACTTAGCATAATTTAATTACAAAAATTTCAGAAAACCAAAAAAAATGTTATTTTTTTAGAAACCAGCTCTTTATATTAATATAATAATACAATGATAATACTTAATCTTAATAAAATATATAAGTCTATGTGTGGTTACCATTCTTACGTGAAGATATGTAGTATTTATCTTGATTTAGCATTGTTTATATAACAAATTGATATATGTATGTATATTTTTCTTTAGATCTGTGCATTTATATTTAATATGTACTGTGAAAACACTGCTTGTGTGCGAGTTTACTTAGTATTAAAGTAAAATCGTTGATCAAATAGACGCCACAAATAACTAATATACAATTTAAATCCAACTTTTTTTTTAGGCTGAACCAATTCGAGTTGTGGTGACGGGGGCTGCTGGCCAAATCGCCTACTCCCTGCTGTACATGATCGCGCGCGGCGAGGTGTTCGGCAAGGACCAGCCCATCGTATTGCACCTGCTCGACATCCCGCCCATGGTCGGTGTCCTCGAGGGCGTGGTCATGGAGCTGGCCGACTGTGCATTGCCTCTGCTAGTCGAGGTGAAGCCCACCACAGACCCAGCTGTTGGATTCAAGGATGTCTCGGCCGCCTTCCTCGTGGGTGCCATGCCCCGTAAAGAGGGAATGGAGCGCAAGGACCTGCTGTCCGCCAACGTAAAGATCTTCAGGACCCAAGGCCAGGCTCTGGATAAGTTTGCCAAGAAGGACGTGAAGGTGCTGGTTGTGGGCAACCCGGCCAACACCAATGCTTTGGTCTGCTCCTCCTATGCGCCTTCTATTCCGCGCGAGAACTTCTCGGCCATGACCCGTCTGGATCAGAATCGCGCCACCTCTCAGATCGCCGCCAAGTTGGGTGTACCCATTTCTGCTGTAAGTAACATCATCATCTGGGGCAACCACTCCTCGACCCAGTATCCCGATGCTGGCCAAGGAAAGGCGACTGTCAATGGTGCAGTGAAGTCCGTGGTGGAGGCGGTGAACGACACCTCATATCTGCAGGGATCCTTCGTCGAGACCGTTCAGAAGCGCGGAGCAGCGGTTATCGCGGCTCGCAAAATGTCGTCGGCCATGTCGGCAGCCAAGGCCGCCTGCGATCACATGCACGACTGGTGGAACGGCACTGCCCCCGGCCAGTTCGTCTCGATGGGCGTTTTCTCCGACGGTAGCTACGACTCGCCCAAGGACGTCATCTTTTCGTTCCCCGTCGAAATCAAGAACAAGCAATGGAAAATCGTCTCCGGCCTGACCCTCAGTGATTTTGCCAAGACTAAGTTAAGCGTTACTGGCAAGGAGCTCCAGGAGGAAAAGGACGAGGCTCTGTCCGTGCTGGATTCGAATGTGTCAAACTTGTAATGCGACATTAAAAATAAATTACTAACTTCATAGTTGTGCATTTAGGAACCAAGTTCATGGCAATAAAAAAAATTTGTAAATAACGCAATGGTTTACTTATGGGAAAATTTAAATTAAAAAGTTGACCAAAAGGAAGTTAGCTTTTGCCAATCGAAGATCATATTTCCTTGAAACTATAACAAATATATAATATTCTCTTAAACGACTATATATCGATTTATATGCGTTTATGATAAAAACTAAGAAAGTTATCTCGGTCTAACGATACATTCTCCTAACGTTCCTATGGTAGTCGTTCATTTAAAAAAAAATGTTAAGTGTTCTTTTAAATTCGCAAAAAATTTGATTTCTTTAATTATTTGAAAAACGTCTAAGTTATGTAGATTTACTATTATTTCTAACTCATTTTTTCTATGACAACTATATAATATAACATTTGTAGATATAGAAGTATGTTTGCACATGTTTAAAAACAACGAAATATTAAAGTTTCATCTAAATAGTTTTAAAGATATTTGGCTTAGAAACGGAAGGACAGCGGACACGGATAGATCTCCTGGACTTCTGATGGTGATCAAGAATATTTATGCTACTTACACAAGTACATTTGTTGGTCCGAAAAAATCCACTTTATTGCATTGCTAACTTTTGTCTAAAATTAGTATATCTTCAGCATGGGTATTAAAGAAAAGGCACCAAACTTCTATTCATTAGTAATTGTAATTTCATACTAGGTGGACTTTTTGAACACTCGGCCATTGACTATGCATATTTAAGTTTCTTAAACTACACCTAATACTAATAAATTATTTCTCAACCCCATATACAAATTCGCAGCTGGGTAAAGTTATGAAATATCTGTTAAAGCTGATCAAGATTGAAAATACTTTCTAAAATTGCAGATGTCATTTTAATAATACCTGATAATCAGTTCATTGGATTTCTTTATGAAATTTTTAGTAAAGTACAAAGAGTTAAGATCACACGTTCAGAAAATTAACTTTTAATTTAATAATTAAATTATTGTGTGTGTAAGGGATATCCATATATAGGCGCGGCACGTCCAAACTTTGTTGTAGTGTTCCCGATGCACTGACTTCTCCCTCGTTCTTAAAATAATATTGAAAACGATTTTAATTTTCTCATTTGCCTTTTAAGACATATAAACAAATATTTTAGAGTAATTCTGCAGTATTTTTAAAGGATTGTCAAAAAGTTGCAAATATGGTAAAAAAAAAATGCTCTACAAAGTTAAATAGCTTGATATTAATAATATTTACTGTTAGAATTACAAAAATTTGTCTCCTGGATTTATATTAAAATTTTAGAAAGGGTGCCACCAGATTGAAGTAACATTTCAAACGTGAATAAAGTAGACATACAAAATTTGCCATTACCTAAGTCCAGTTGAAATTGTCGCGATAGTTTATTTATCAAATTAAAGTACGTACGAGAAATTCGGAATCAGTTCTCTTAAATTAACGAGAAAGTAATTAAAAAAGTAACATAATTTAAGCCAATAACCTTTGTAAATGGCTAATTTCTTGAAGCTGCACGAGGTATGACGTGTTTGATTGAAAACGTTAATTTAAGAAAAAACCCGTTTAGTGTTACGAATATCCTTTAACGCACAATAACCGGGAACCATACCTCAAATGGATTACGAATCAAAAATTAAATTTTCTTTCTCAAATTGAGATACACGTAAATGTATTATTTTCTAAGCCAGGAGAACCATTAACTGAGTAGGAAATAAATAAGATATTTTAAAAAGTTAAAAAACAAATTTATGATTTTAAAATGTGTTAAAGATTAAATATTAACTGTGCTGTTGAGAAGTGCATTCCCCTACCTTTCCATCAGTGTCTAATTCTTTTTGTTCGGACTATTTTAATCAAAGCTGCAGACGTAATTATATGTGGCAGATGGTCCCAGAAATCTATCCAGAATTCGCAACATTTTATGCCAGATTGAAGCCTTAGTCAATAACCAATAAATCGACATCTCAACCATATATTATCAGGTATAAACATTAATTATACCATTTATTCATAACGAAATCATGAAGTCAAGAAGTCTAAAAATTGTACAGATAGTTCATGAAATATGTAAGCGGTGTAAAATATACGAAAGCTAAAAAATAATCGGGCAAAGATAGTCTGAAAAACGTTATATATACGAATTCAGTGCCTTAAAGAGTCTGTTGTTGAGTTTTAGCGTTGTCGCTGTAAAACAAAATACACATCCATTTTAAACAATTGGGGAATTACATTGGCTTCACTCTTCAATTTCCGTTAAGATTATAATGGCATCATTTTTTAAATTTCGGTTGCCCTACCCTAGCGAAAATTTAATTAATTAAATTATACAACACGTGAACGTGTCTCTTTGAAGCCTTAAGATACTACAACAATTACCAGCTAATCTTAGATAACGATTAATTCCGTGGTTACCGTTATGTGCAAATTTTCTCTGTAATCACACAAGAAGAACATTGTAACGCAATATAAAATATTAATATGGACATATTTATTCCTTAGCTCTCGGGAATATATAGAAGTAAGTCTATGTGTTGTGTTTTTTTTATTATAAAACTATTTTCACTTAATTATGTCGTTATGTATGCATGTATTTGTATATAAAAAATATGGCTACGGTGATATCGCACAAAATAAAACAAGTAATTATTAAATCAAACATTCTAAAAAACGAAAAAGATCTTCCCAGGTTAAACGTAATGGAACAGCTATATACAATCGTTTAAAAAAGAGCAATTTTGTGTGTGTGTGTGAATTGGCAATCATTTGGGCGTTTGTTTTCGTTTTTCTCATTTACTTTTCTTGTGTGTTAAAAGTGTTGTACATTTTGTAGGGGTTGTGGTTGCAATTTGGGAGGACGACAACGCCATAACATATTGCTTAAAACCTGATTCTCCAGTTCCAAGTGATCTGAGTACTTGGCCGCGGAGCCTTCAATACATTCGGTTTTTATGGAAGAGAGGGACGACGACGATTTCCAGAAGGGGTTCCTGGGTGGTGCATGCTATTGCGGAAGCTGGGCGTGTCCGAGCTGTGGTTGTTGCTGCTGCTGCTGCAAGTGGGGTGGCAGGCCGCTGTTGGCCTGGTTGACGGGTAGGGATATAGTCATGGTGCTGATGGTCTGCGACGACGGTGGCACTAGTTGCGCTGGCTGGCTGTGGTAACTGCCTCCGGGCGTGCCGCCGACCTGCTGCGGCTGCGGTATCATGTGATGCTGGGCACTTAACTTGGGGCCATCCTCGGCCTTTTCCTCCTCGCGCCGCTTCAGGCACGCGGCCTTAGGATTCAGGTTGCGCTCGCGCACCTGCTGCTCCAGGGTCATGATCACCTCAACGGCCATATTCAGGATGCCCAACTTCGTCTGTGGCTTGTCGGACTTCAGATGGGTCATGCACATGCGACCCAGCTCTTTTAGTGCCTCGTTGATATCTCGAATGCGAATCCGTTCACGGGCGTTGTTCGCCTGCCGCCGCTCCTTCTCGCGAATTGCTTTCACCGCTGGCTCGGCGTCGTCATCCTCATCCGCCGATGAACAGTAGCGCCGTGGTCTTTTCGATCCTTTCGAACCTTGCGAGAGCTGCTGCATACCGGAATTTGACGACTCAATGGAGCTAGTGGGCTTCGTGTCCGAAATGTCAAGGCTGGTCAAACTCGACGTAGTGGACACTCCCGCCGGAACTGAATTGCTGATGGCCGTGTGCTCTTTCCGCTTTTTTGTCTGCTTGGTCAAGGACGTGGACGCACTGCGATCGAGTTTCAGGCTGGTCAGGCTTCCTGCCCCGCCCACCGATTGGCCGGATGTGCCTGCGGCGGCAGCGCCCAAGGCCAACACCTCGTGCACCAGAGCCGCATTTGCAGAGCCTGCGTTTCCGCTGCTTCCTAGATGCGATGGCGAGTTGGGCACAAACGAGGACAATGCATCAATGTTGTCTATCGAGGCCAATGATTGATTCACGCCGGCCAGCATCTCGGGCTCGCAGTGGTTCCTCAGTACGTTCAGGGCGTCGTCCAGTCGCTCCTCCATGCGCACACCCTGAAATACCGAGGCCATGGTGTGCAGACTGGACACAGGACCCATTTCGCTGGAATAGCTTGAACTGGGTCCGCCATTTAGCACTGAGTGGCCCCAACCAGCGGCGCCGGAAACGGACGGCTCTCCGCCACCAACCACAGACTGGGTCAGCGGCGGCGGCGAGTTGACGGGTGTGGAGGGGTTCGAGCCGAAACTACTAATACTTTGATCCGCCGGCATGTACATCTGTTGCCGCAGGGCCGCTGCCGAAGAATTTCCAGCTCCGGCCACTTTTACACTGGCCCCGGCACCACTGAACGCATCCGAACTCTGCACGGCAGGACTGTTCTGCTGACTGTGGTGGGGGTGTGGATGAGGGTGGCCATGAGGCAGGGCGTGCGGGAGCGGGAGTGTGTGGGAATGTGCGTGCGGCGTGTGGTTGAGCGAGTGATGGCCAAGCGGTCCAGCCGTGGACAGTGCACCGTGCTGTGCTTGTACTGTGTGGTTGTGGCCCTGCGGCGAGTTGAACACGGCTGGGGGATTGACATTAACGTTTACTGGTGCCTGCTGCCCAGTGCCAGGTCCTCCGATGCCGCCGGAGGTGGCACGAAAAGAGCTCATAGGCGGCAGGGCTGTGGACACCGGGCAGTGCATGCCGTCGGCGCTGACGCCGCCACCCATGCCGAGTCCGTCCGCCTGGTGCACCTGCTGCTGATCCATGGAGTGCCCCGAGAGCGGACCGCTGTTCTGGTACGGCGTCTGACCCATGTAGCTATTGGCGCTGCCCATCTGCGTCTGACACCATGCCCCTCCGCTGCCGGCGGCGGCGGAATCAAAATACTGATCGACGGTCGAGGCGTTGGCATATCGGTTATTCCCGCCGTTGGCGGCATCGTGCATCGAGTTAAAGTCACTGGGGTACATGCCGTTCTCCACACCCAGGCTGCCGTACGGCGAGTGGTAGCCCCCGCCACCGCCGCGATCCGCTCCGACCGTCCCCGTGGGCTGTTTGTTTGCTATTTTGTTGAAGCAGTTCTGGAACACTTCATACAAGTGCATCGGCTCGTCGTCACTGGTCGCCATTTCAGCAATAGATCTGCAAAGCAACAAAGGATCATTAGTTTATAAAGCACTGTGTCTTGGTTATTTCCTAGCATAGAGTCAAAATATAAGTCGATGCTTAGTAACTTAGTTAATTACCTTTCCGAAATAGATTTCTAAAGGACTATCGCCAATTTTAATAATTAATTTAGCCCAGCACTATTAAAAAATCCAATCCATCACAGCAAAGTGGTTAAAGCTAATAGAGATTAGATGCAAAATGAATGATTTTTTAAAATGTATTCCCGTTAAACATATTTGAATTGATTCGACAACTTTTACGTTGAAATGAATGACTTCAATTGGTCTCTTGGATATTTAGAGTGACAGAAACATTTAATTAACTAAAAAAACGGTTTTATTTTACTATCGAAAAAGATAAAAATAATTGCCTCCTGAAATATCAAAATAAAAGAGCTTTTTCTATAATAATAATAATAATAATAAAACCTATAGATTTATATTAAAATAAATAAATAAATGATAAATGGTTTGAAACGATCAAATTATACCAGAACAGGCATTCCATTTTATAGTATATACAGTACTATATACCCAACCGACTTGAAAACCCATATAATATCCAACCGATTTCTGGAAGATCCCGGATTGAAATACTTTAGCAATACTATTTACCCTTAAAATAGAGAAATTTTAACTCAAAAAAAAATAGGCTGCTTTTTGTAACATTTTTTTTCAAGACAAAGACCCACTATTGACAAATCTGACTCTCAACTATTTAATATTATTTTAATGCAACAGGTAAAATGCAAGCTAGGCGAAATCCGTACTAGACGCAGAACTATTTCGAAATAACAAAATTATGAATATCATTCTTCACGGTGTCGAAAAATATACGGATATTTCCAAAGGGTCTGGTTTACCCTATTACCCTACAGCCTGCAATAAATTGATGACCCATAATTAACTAATCTAGAAGGTATGAAAATGCCTATTTTATATTCGTACAGTAGAATAACATGAGTTTAAACAATGCAATCCGGCAATAGTTCCTTGATAACTTCTGCCATGAAAACTCAATACAAAATGTTCCCAAGATAAGTAAATTATTTTGGTAGACTAGTTCGTTATTATCTGATAAAGATGTATTTAATCAACTTAACGACTCTTAATATAACATAATAAAAGAATATTCCTAAAAGTAGCGTAAATTTAAATACAGACCAAATAGTGGGCGTGGCAAAAATGATGGAACAAGCCCTACCTGCAAACTATGTAGATTGGGTAAACTAGAAACATGTAATAATTTCTAGTTCGTTAAGCATCGGTAGAAATAAAAATGGGTAAGAAATAAATCCACTTCTCGCTAAATTTATTTGAAAAACATGTATTACCTTTATGGTTTTAAAGAAGTTAAACTCGAACCTGACCTTACTTTACTTGCCTAAGACTAAGATTGATTCTAAATTGAACCCAACACAAACCATTATTTTACATGGTTAAACGAAACTATTTAGATACCCATAATTACTTGCTTACAAAACTCACAAACAAAATTAAACTTAAAAAACATACACATTTACATATTATTAAAATTGTTATACACCTGATTCACAACATTTTTTTTTATGAACACATGTACACGATACTTACATGAAATATACACGTACATGATATTTTAAAAGAGTGAATTGATTGCATCAATATAAAATGTAAAAAAATCTTCACAAACGAAATGCACACACTTGAAGAGTGAAGTTAATTCATACGATTTTACACCTATTTACTTATTTATACATAAGTCGTTACTTTGTTTACGAGCATTTGACCATATACATACATACATGTGTATGTATGCAGAATCATGAAAATGGTATCCACATACATTAAAGTGGAAATAATTCGTACATAGCTTTGTATATTTATTGGTATATATACACATTCAACAAATAAACGTATGCAAATACAAAAAGGGCAAGCCAAAGCTATAAAACATACCCTAGACCTATTTAAAATACATTTTGTAAAAAGTACTCACCCTAATATCCACTGTTAATTCTATGTATGCAATTCCTTTTGTTGCAACGAGTGTTGACGTCGAGCCACAGCCTATGTATTACATATACATATCTTTTTTGTATTAATACCAAGAATCTTTATATATTCTGTAGCGATTGGTAAATTTACCCAAGTTTTTTTTATAATGTCGTCCAGTCAACTTCAACTAGTAAGATTATGCGTTTTATATTAAAATGCACAGTTAAAATAAACCGTTTTGTGATAAACTTTTATTTTACACATTGTAAGTATGCATGACACTTTTATTAATTATTTTATTTCACTGCGTTTTTGCGAATTTAAACTATAAGTAAAAAATTCTTTATTTATCATTCAGCTCGTTTTAATTTTCGTGTGCTCGGGATCGCCATCTTTGTTCTCTTCGTGCGTCATCTGTAGCGTTGCCATTCGATAAGAATCGATAAGCCTTTCGATATATGATTTTCCACCTTACTCTAAAAATGCAAAGTGCCGTTTCCACTGTGGACGGGATTTTAGACTCGCTTATGGTCATACATAAATGATATAATTTTGTATATCTATTTATTATATTGATATTAAGATCTGCTTTGTTAATCTTTGAAACTCATTTTTATGCTTTGGGGTCGAAATAAACATACAGGTTACCACACCAATTGATTTATTAAAGTTTTTGGTGCATTGATTAGTATACTTTGATACCTTTTTGATCATACTCCAATTAACAAAAAAATTTCTCTACTTTAACTTAGAATTGGTAATTGTCAAAAGGAATAAAATTGTGATTTACGGTGAATTGTGAACATACATATATTATATGTAATAAATATTTTTGTCTCAATTAACTCAAACTGAGCAGTTAAATCTGTTTTAACGAAAACGCGTGTAATGTAAGCTTTATGATAATTCAGTTTGATTTTAAAGTTTCGATTTTTAAATGTAAAGACATGTTGGCCCTTGTTTAGACCTTGCATTTTGACTAAGCCGACATGACTAATAATCTAAATATTGCTTATATATTAAAGGTAAAAACATTTCTTTGAACAAATAAAAAATACTTTGAAAGGTACAGAGCTAATTTTGATTACAATCAGCTGTTCTTCGTTTTGATTTTTTTTGCTGTTGTACGTCAGCCATTAATAGGCCTCCATTTCGAATTCTGCTTTGTGCCTGGAATTATTGTATCATATTTAAAATAAATCTCTGTTATTTTGCACACTTTAATAACCTTGAACCATTTTAATACAAACACCACTAGCACAGCTGTTTTAAGTGAACACAACACAAAGAACAGCTGTTCACTACTTCAGTTTAGAAAGCTAGCCTAATGTTGACGGAATAATCGAGTTAAGCAGTCGATAGGAAAAGTAGAGTTTGTGTGGAGAGCACGTTACTGAAGTATAAAAGATGTATCGATGTTTTTAATGGCGCCACCTATTGGAAGGCAGATGCATTGACTAGGTATATATTTCACTGACACCATATAGAAGTGATAGTACTTTTCGAAGAATCGTGTAAAATGTATCTCGAGCAAACAATCAATAAGTTCGATTTTAAACTTGGTACACATTAGCCGAATCAATGATGAAACCAGCTTATGGTGACAGTTGTCTATCGCCCAGCAATGTCCACAAGTTGAACATTTTTTTAAATATCAGAAAGCGTTTAACTGGAATTCTCAAGGGCATTGCGAGAAGGGGTCTACATAACTAAACGATTATATACCTTGCAAAACGCTGTATCGAAGCACAAGAAAACTATTTGGAATATAAAAAATAACTTGTTAAATATTACGTTTTTGGGGTTTTTTCAGTTAAAACCCGATCTTAAATATGTATATATTAAGCTTTTAAGAGCAGATGTGAAAATGTTAACACAAATTTGAAAAATTTATTGCCCTATTAATAGTTTATTGCAAATTTAGCTCCATCGATAATGTGCGTAGGCGCGGTTGCTTTCGCACTGCCTGTGCAAATCGTCTTTCCGCTTGACGACTCTTCCTTGTCCGTGGGCAGCGTCCAGAATCTCCCAGGCCAGTTTCTCCGGCAGGGACACTTTGCGCTCCTTTTCGCGGGCTGCATCCAAGAGCCACTTCATGGCCAGGAAATAAGATCGTCTTGTGGTAATGGGAACAGGAACTTGGTAGGTAACTCCACCTCTTTTTATGGCAGTTACTTGAAGTAGGGGTCTGCAATTTTCAACCGCCTGTTTCAAAAGCGTTTCGGCATTGGTATTGATTGCATTCTTCTCCCCTTTAGCTAGATTCATGTGCTCCGTCTGCGTGCGCTTGATTAATTCGAACGTCTTTGACAGAAGTGTTCTGGCCAGGGCACTATTCCCTTTCTTCGTTATATAATTGATCATTTTTTCTTTTGTATCATCATGAAAGACTGTATCAGAAGATTTGTTGACTGCCGCCTTGATTGGAACATGGTAGAGCTTTGATAATTCGGTCTTTTGTTCATTCTGTTTATCTTTTTGTACAATAGGTTCAACGTATTGTGTAGGATAGACTGACATCAGTCGAAGGGAACTAATATAAACAAAAGACGGGTTTGATTAATTCTTGTTTGTACAGACACTGAAGAATAGCAGAAATTACCTGTACTTTGATGTTTTCCCTGCAATTATACTCAGAAACGACATCTTTGCATTTTTTTTATCACCAAAAGGTATAAATTTTATTAAAATTTGCTATGTATATTTGAGACAGCATGTAAGTACATCAATATAGCGTCACAGGCATGATTATTTTTGAAACGAATGAAAATTGAAACGATTAACTGCTAAAAAATATTCCACAGAATATCGATTTATTAACCGATTTTATTCTGACTACTGATATTATTATTCTGAGTCCGCTGGAATTCTTTTTATTCGTATGGGTAAACAAAAATAAATAGCTGCAACGCGTTAAAGGAGTATTACTTTGTTGTCAAAAAAACTGCCACTCTTTTTCTATTTCCGGCTTTTGGGAGCAGCTGTCCTGCATTTGAACCAACAAGATTTTGCTGCGGGTCTTGGGGTTAAAAGAATTTTATAAAATAATTTCAATATTTGAAGTTTTACTAAAATCTGCTTAAATCAAACTCAGTTGGAATGATCTATTTAATAATTTTAACTAAATATTCAAATGTTTTTCTTATTAAATCTCACTTGATACGCTGGTGTCCTTTCTTCGGATAAAAATTAAGCTTAAATAAATTTTCGAAAATTAAAATATGAAAAACAAAAGTTTAAATTGCTGCGTTCTTAACTCAGGTTTCAGTATATTTTATAAATTAAAATTTTTAAACAAAATTTAAATGTAATTATTAACAGGCCACACGGGCCTAGTTTTTTTCTCACGTTCCAAATGATAAAAAAAATGACAACTTAGCTCCCCCTGCTATTCCACATTGTACAGTCTGGCAATATTATAACATATACGTCAAAAACGCGCTAATTTAAAAGTCTGTGGCTTGCAAATAGTTTTACAAATAATGGAGGATTTTGAAAAAATTGAAAAGATTGGCGAGGGCACATATGGCGTCGTGTACAAAGGTCGCAATCGCCTTACGGGCCAAATTGTGGCAATGAAGAAAATTCGCTTGGAGTCGGACGACGAAGGCGTTCCTTCGACAGCAATAAGGTAAATGGACCCGGCTTAGATGCCAAAGCCTCACATTGCATTAGACACATCCTACAATTTATTTAAAGTTAATATTAGAAACTAGTTATCAACATAAAACATATGGCTAATATCGCCGCTGGTTCTTCAACCTAGTATGGGTTTCCATACACCCCGCTCATAATTGTACTATGTAAACTCTAGCATAACTACCGGACAAGCATATGTACATAAGATGAGCGTACATCATACATATGTCTGGATGTGTGTTCATTATACTTTCTATGCGGACATGTTACATATGTGTGTATATTATTTCATATACACAGCCTTTTTGCCTTTATTACATTAAACTTTAAAAAGTGTTTATTTTATGTAAGAGCTTAAAGTTTTTTTTTTCAAGATTTTCGCATATTAAGATCTTTTTGATAAATAAATCGATTCTCATATTTATATATCCTATACTTTTCCTATAGGGAAATTTCGTTGCTCAAGGAGTTGAAACATAAAAACATTGTCTGTTTGGAAGATGTTTTAATGGAGGAGAATCGCATATACTTGATCTTTGAATTCCTATCGATGGATCTCAAAAAATACATGGACTCGCTGCCAGTTGATAAGCATATGGAGAGTGAATTGGTTCGAAGCTATTTGTACCAAATAACCAGCGCCATTCTATTCTGCCATCGTCGCAGAGTTCTTCACCGCGATCTGAAGCCCCAGAATTTGCTGATCGACAAGAATGGCCTTATTAAAGTTGCAGACTTTGGTCTTGGCCGATCCTTTGGCATTCCAGTGCGAATTTATACCCACGAGATTGTGACTTTGTGGTACAGGGCTCCGGAGGTGCTTTTGGGGTCACCCCGATATTCCTGTCCCGTCGATATCTGGTCTATTGGGTGTATATTTGCAGAAATGGCAACGAGAAAGCCTCTATTTCAGGGAGACTCGGAAATCGATCAGTTATTCAGAATGTTCAGGTAACTACAAGCGATATCTTTTACTTTTTAGTTGATAAAAACACTATTTGGTGGCAGAATTCTCAAAACACCCACCGAGGATATTTGGCCAGGGGTTACATCGCTTCCCGACTACAAGAACACTTTTCCATGCTGGTCCACCAACCAGTTGACCAACCAGTTGAAGAATCTCGATGCCAACGGCGTTAATCTCATTCAAAGTATGTTAATCTATGATCCGGTTCATCGCATTTCCGCCAAGGATATTTTGGAACACCCATATTTCCATGGCTTTCAATCGGGCTTAGTTCGAAATTAACGTTTGACTCTATTTACATTTATAAACAAGAAAACTGGAAATTTTAACTAAAGCAAAGTAGCTGTAAAATAAAAATAAGGGTGTAAAACAAACTGAGTTTGGTTAATTTATGAACTTGGGTTCCAGTTGTCTACAATTTTTGGTGGTTTGGCATTCTGATTTATCTCAACAAAGATGACTATAGATGGTAAGTTACTTTTATTTTTATAAGTGCTTTAATTTTTCAACCTCTACTATTTAAACAATTTTATGCTTTGGTATTATTTCCTATAATAAATCATTTAATTTAGTTTTATTTTCGTTATAATATCACTCGGTACAGGCGTAGTCCCATAATTTTTTGGAGGAATTTTAATTCCATTTTCGATCCTTGGTTCTATAAAATAATATGCTCAGTACTTTACGTGATTTTAATTTATTAAAAGTTTTGTGTGACACAAGAAGGCTGCAGTTTTTTTTGTATACTAATTTATATTTTTTGTGTACTTATTTTGAAACGGTTACATTTGAGTTAGATTCGTTGATTCAGACAGAAGGAAAAATAAGTCGATCGAGGGACAGAATGTTATATTGAATGATTGTTTTTGACGCAAGCTTAGCAAGCTCCTGTCAGGCTTAATTATACCCGTTACTCGTAGAGTTCGTGCAAAAGTATGTAACAGGTAGAAGGAAGCGTTTCCGACCCTATAAAGTATATATATTCTTGTTCAGGATCACTAGCCGAGTTGATCTAGCCATGTCCGTCTGTCCGTCTGTCTGTCTGTCCGTATGAACGCTGAGATCTCGGAAACTATAAAAGCTAGAAGATTGGCATTTTGCATGTATTTGTTTCAAAATAGTGCCACGCCCCCTCTGACGCCCACAAGTCACAAGCTGTGGACACAGTTTTGATGCTATTATGAAAATTTTAATTGATATGTATTTGTTTCGTCAATACCTTTCGATTGGCCCAATAAAAGTTTGCCACGCCCACTCTAACGCCCAAAAACCCATTAACGCTTAAGCCTGGCTAGCGCCTACATTTCCGCCTTTTCAATAGCGCCATCTAACGGATGACTTTGGAACAGCTGGCCAAGGTGCTAATTCGAGCGGCGAAAAACATACAAGAAGGCATATTTATATTAAGTTGTTAAGCTGAGTAACGGGTATCTAATAGTCGAGGCACTCGACTATAGCGTTCTCTCTTGTTTTTTAATAGGGATGAGAGTGGAGTCAGCTCATTCTTTATTGTTTTTAATTATAACATAATTTTCAAACGAAATTAAATTATGAACCTCCTCATCGAAACTAGAATAAAAACCACGGTCAGGTACACTAACTTAGCAAGGGCCTATCAGGTGTGGAGTCAGCTTATCCCTTTTTGTTTTTAATGATAACTTTAATACCAACTCAAAACTAAAATTAAATATGGAAGTCTTCATTGAAACTTGTCCTATTATAGAGAGCACGGACAGCTACGCTGTCATGGCGTCTAAAGACTCCGAAGCAGCCGCGTCTTTTCATCACGTAGGCGCCGAGGATAGTTGGCACTGCAATTAGCAAAACGACCAGTAGTCCAACCCATATTAGACTTCCGCTTGAACTTTCTACCAAGTGTTCATTTGCCACTCTTAATACTTCCACGCCCTTCAACCTGTCTGGACTTGCGCACTGTACATTTTTAGCCAGAACCTGTGTGGTTTTGTTGACATGATCTATCAAAACGTTGATCAAGTAATCGTTAGAAGCGTCACAAGTCCACGGATTGAATCTAAGGTCAAGCGCTTTGAGTTTATCCCACCGCACAAGTAGAGGTTTTGGCAGAGTCGTCATGTTGCAATTATTCAAGTATACCTACAAATTATATATTTAATACAGCTTAATTGTTGATGCTTTTTCTTAAGTACCTTTTCCAGGGGCGGATAGTCCAAGTATTGGCCTCCAGTTACGTTTTTTGACAAAGCCTCCTCATCAATTTCGTTTAGAAATTTGTTATCAGACAATATCAGTTCGGTCAGACCTAGTAAAAAAGAAATAGTTTCGTTTTCGAAAGTATTAAGAGAATTAAAAGTGAATCTTAACTTTAATACAATTTTTTCTTTAAAGTTAATTTTCTTATGTTCTATTTTAATTTTAAAGATGTATTGTTGATTTAATTACCTAACCATTTTACTTACTTTGTAATTCACTAAATGCTCCAGGTCCTATTTTGTACAACTTTGTCATGAAGGTCATACTCAGATGGTTCAATTTGGTCAAGGGTGGAAATACGCTATTTGAACAAGTTTTTCAATTATAATTTGATCAAAACGTAATGATAAAATCCTTCTTACTTATCTCCAACTAGACTTTCAATGGGGTTTTCATTCAAAACAAGGCTTGTCAAGTTTGTGGCACGTTCCAAGGCCTTTGGCAAATGCTTAAAAAGATTTCCAGCTGCTATCAGGGTATCAAGATCTCGGGGTCCATGAAGAATTGTGCCCGGCAAGTCTTCAATTTCCATATACGAAACATCTAAGGTCTATAAAAAATTAAAAAAATTATACCATTTTTTTTTTTAGAAATATAATAAAGATTTTGCATACCTTCAATGATAATAATCCGGAAATGGCTGTTTCTGAAAGTTGATCAATAAGGTGAAAACTGTTTTTGCAGAGAACTAGCTCCTCAAGATAGCGAATGTGTTCAAACAAATCTGCATCCAAGCTATGCAGATCATTGTAACCCAAATTAAGCGTTTTCAATTTTCCTAGCGGCTCAAAATCATTGACACTATAAGGTCCTTTAAAAACATCCGGTATTAGAACTTTCGAGGTCAATCGGTTATGGGACAAATCGAGGACGGTTAGCTCAGTCAAATTCTGAAAGGCCCCCACAGCAATCGAATCTATTTGGTTGTTTGCCAAGTACAAGTTTTCTACATCGTACTTTGGTAGAATCGAAATGCTAGTTAAGTTGTTGTGCTCTAGGTTGATGGTTTTGAACACAAAATTTCCGTTGGTTAGAACTTCCCATTCCTCGGTAGACAGCCATTCCTGAAGTTTCTCGGAGCAATCGAGTAAACTGTTTTTGAAATCGCAAATGCATTTTTTACAAAGTTTGCTCTGCTTTACATTAGTTTTCTCCTGCAAATAAGGATAGAATTAATAAATATCTTTGTTTTATTTTATTATTAAACTTATACCTTTTTAACATAAAACAAGAAAGGAAAGCTAACTTCGGGCGGAGCCGAAGTTGAAATACCCTTGCAGAATATTCTGCAAATTATGTTCTCCAAAATAATTCATATGATGCATTCTTAATACTCATAAAAAATCCCAACTTCCTAACTTTAAAAACACCAAAGTTATGGCATTTCCGATCAATCAGTTATATGGCAGCTATAAGATATAGTCGTCCGATCCTTATGAAATTTGGTAGGTCGGATTAATTGGCCAAATATATAACCCATAGAAAATCCCAACTTCCTAACTTAACAAACACCAAAGTTATGGCATTTCCGATCAATCAGTTATATAGCAGCTATAAGATATAGTCGGCCGATCCTTATGAAATTTGGTACGTCGGATTGATTGGCCAAATATAATACCCATAGAGAGTCCCAACTTCCTAACTTAACAAACAGCAGAGTTATGGCATTTCCGATCAATCAGTTATATGGCAGCTATAGGATATAGTCGGCCGATCCCGGCCGTTCCGACTTATATACTGCGTGCAAAGGAAAGAAGGGTGGGTGCAAAGTTTCAATTCGATATCTTCAAAACTGAGAGACTAGTTCGCGTAGAAACAGACAGACGGACAGACAGACGGACAGACGGACATGGCTATATCAACTCAGGAGGTGATCCTGATCAAGAATATATATACTTTATAGGGTCGGAGATGTCTCCTTCACTGCGTTGCACACTTTTGACCAAAATTATAATACCCTCTGCAAGGGTATAAAAACGCTTGCTGCCTATAATGCCAAATATAAAAGTTTATCATTAAATTGCACAAACTGGAATTCATTGTGTCGGTTATTTATGGGTTTAATTAGTCTACTCTTTATAATTAATAAAATATTTTAGTTGGTTTTTTGAAAAAACCGATCTTGTTGCCACTGTGCGGTCACCAGACACATACCAAACTTTGCATGGGTCAGAATCTTTCAACAAACGGTTTGCTCTTGAAGTGCTCCATGTAAGCAAAACTCCCACAAATACTAGACTAAACTTCAGTCATTACAAACTCTAAACTTGCATTCACAAAAAAGAAAAGCGTTAAAAATTACACGTTCCCAAATAAATCAACAAAATCTTTGAATACCATTTTAAAAAATTATTTTTATAAGTTAATATGGGCTATCTTTGGACTTTAAAACTTTACCAAACGAGGAATACTTTGATACACGTTACTCGTAGAGTAGAAGCGCGTATATTGTATTCGTTGGAAAGTATGTACCAGGTAGAAGAAAGCGTTTCCGACCCTATAAGGAATCTATGTATATATTCTATTCTTAAGCAATGTGCGTCTGACTTAGTAATCAGTTTGTCGGTTATTTGGCGGAATATGTCAAAACAGCACTACAAATTTATTTGTACGATTACTTTAGATAAATATGACGTCACTGCACATTTGAAAATGTGGTTCCGCTTGTGTGTTTGCACTTCCGGTTCGGCAGATGTCACATCATAACATTTTTGAAATGCCCCAAAAGGCTGAATTTTTTATTTTGTTTTATATTTGTTTATATTTAATTCTTGTTTATATACATTACCTTTGGCGATTCTGGTTTTGCGCTACTAGTTTCGTTTTTCGCCTGACAATTAACGTGGCCCACAACGATGCAAATAATTGTCGCAGCTAAAATAGCTGATCTTGTTAAATTCATATTTAGTAAAATTCTTCCGAAAACGACCAATTTTATGGATTGTTCACCAGCCGATTAAGTGTACATGACTGCCAAGCGCAGAAATCCCTATTCTGGAATTCATCAAGATTATAATAATATATGTATGTATTGTAGATGGGGCATGTGGGCCGAACATTTTTTTTTTACGATTGCCAAGGCGGGGGGAGAGAAAAAACGGAATTCGTTTAAAGGCTTATCGCAACACATACATACAACATAGTTACAACATGGTTTTTAGAAAATTTATTTACAATTTTGAAACAGGGTTTGATTTAAGTTAGGTTTGTATGTTCAGACAGAAGTAAAAATATAAGTTAATTTGTATTATTGTTTTAGGCACTAGCTTAGCACGGGCCTATCAGGTGTGAGGTCAGCTTATCCCTTTTTGTTTTTAATGATAACTTTAATACCAACTCAAAACTAAAATTAAATATGGAAATCTTCATTGAAACTTGTCCTATTATAGAGAGCACGGTCAGCTACGCTGTCATGGCGTCTAAAGACTCCGAAGCAGCCGCGTCTCTTCATCACGTAGGCGCCGAGGATAGTTGGCACGGCAATTAGCAAAACGACCAGTAGTCCAACCCAGATTAGACTTCCGCTTGAACTTTCTACCAAGTGTTCATTTGCCACTCTTAATACTTCCACGCCCTTCAACGTATCTGGATTTGCGCACTGGACATTTTTAGCCAGAACCTGTGTGGTTTTGTTGACTTGATCTATTAAAACGTTGATCAAGTAATCGTTAGAAGCGTCACAAGTCCACGGATTGAATCTAAGGTCAAGCGCTTTGAGTTTATCCCACCGCACAAGTAGAGGTCTTGGCAGAGTCGTCATGTTGCAATTATTCAAGTATACCTACAAATTATATATTTAATACAGCTTAATTGTTGATGCTTTTTCTTAAGTACCTTTTCCAGGGGCGGATAGTCCAAGTATTGGCCTCCAGTTACGTTTTTTGACAAAGCCTCCTCATCAATTTCGTTTAGAAATTTGTTATCAGACAATATCAGTTCGGTCAGACCTTGTAAAAAGGAAATAGTTTGGTTTTCGAAAGAATTAAGAGAATTAAAAGTGAATCTTATCTTCAATACAATTTTTTCTTTAAAGTTAACTTTTCTTATGTTCTGATTTAATTTTAAAGATGTATTGTTGATTTATTTACCTAACCATTTTACTTACTTTGTAATTCACTAAATGCTCCAGGTCCTATTTTGTACAACTTTGTCATGAAGGTCATACTCAGATGGTTCAATTTGGTCAAGGGTGGAAATACGCTGTTTAAATAAGTTTTTCAATTATAATTTGATCAAAACGCAATGATAAAATCTTACTTATCTCCAACTAGACTTTCAATGGGGTTTTCATTCAAAACAAGGCTTGTCAAGTTTGTGGCACGTTCCAAGGCCTTTGGCAAATGCTTAAATAGATTTCCAGCTGCTATCAGGGTATCAAGATCTCGGGGTCCATGAAGAATTGTGTCCGGCAAGTCATCAATTTCCATATACGAAACATCTAAAGTCTAGTATAAAAAATTTAAAAAATTAGACCAAGTTTTTTTTAGAAATATAATAAAGATTTTGCATACCTTCAATGATAATAATCCGGAAATGGCTGTTTCTGAAAGTTGATCAATAAGGTGAAAACTGTTTTTGCAGAGAACTAGCTCCTCAAGATAGCGAATGTGTTCAAACAAATCTGCATCCAAGCTATGCAGATCATTGTAACCCAAATTAAGCGTTTTCAATTTTCCTAGCGGCTCAAAATCATTGACACTATAAGGTCCTTTAAAAACATCCGGTATTAGAACTTTCGAGGTCAATCGGTTATGGGACAAATCGAGGACGGTTAGCTCAGTCAAATTCTGAAAGGCCCCCACAGCAATCGAATCTATTTGGTTATTTGCCAAGTACAAGTTTTCTACATCGTACTTTGGTAGAATCGAAATGCTAGTTAAGTTGTTGTGCTCTAGGTTGATGGTTTTGAACACAAAATCTCCGTTGGTTAGAACTTCCCATTCCTCGGTAGACAGCCATTCCTGAAGTTTCTCGGAGCAATCGAGTAAACTGTTTTCGAAATCGCAAATGCATTTTTTACAAAGTTTGCTCTGCTTTACATCAGTTTTCTGCTGAATAAATAAAAGTACAATTAATAATTTTTTTCCTTAATTCCTAAGGGTATACCCTATTAACATAACAAAACACTTGGACTCAAATACGTTATTTTCGGGCTATTTATTGTCATTATTATATTATTAAACTAGAAATAATGCTAGTTTCGTAAATCATTAAGTCAAGAACTTAAGCAGTTTAATTTAAAATTAATAAATCAAGTCATCAGGCTTTGTCCATATACTTAGACGGTCATCAAAGTTTGGTGATTTTTGACTCCTCCTGGTGTAATAACTTCTTTTAACAACAAAAATGCAAGAAGTCAAGAGTAGAAATTATCTCTATACCAAAGAAAATCTATATTCAAAAATGTGGTTATTTCCTTTCAACGTTTTTTTTTGCGTATAATACCAAGCTTTACGGAAAAGGCTTGTACTTTTGTTTTAGTCATCCTTATCATTTCACCTTTGCAATACCTTTTTCTTATCGCGTTTTGATAGTCTTTTTATACACTCTTAGAAGGTATAATAATTTAGGTCAAAACTTTGCAACGCAGTGAAAGAGAAATCCCCGACTCTGTAAATTATATTCTTGAACATCACTTGTACCAAAATATAAAGAGTTAAACGATTTAAGAAAGGTTTGTATAGTTTTATAAAATCGGACAATTTTTAAATGACAACAGCTTTAAAGCGTAAAGCGTATAAAAACTTCTGCTTCCGATTTTTCATTCCTACCGGGATCTTATCTCGATGATAGCGTCATTATAAACTTTTAACTTGCATTCACAAAAATGAAAAAAAAGGTAATAATTACACATTCCTCTTTATATATGCGATTAATATGGGCTAGCTTAGGACTTCAAAACTTTTCCCAATGAATAATATATATTATATACATATACCTTTGGCGATTCAGGGCTTGTGGTTGTAGATTCGTCTTTCGTTTGGCAAGTAACTTGGCCCACAACGATCCAAAGAATCGTCACAGCTAAAATAGCTGATTTTGTTAAATTCATATTTAGTAAAATTCTACGGATAAACGACAAAATTTTTGACTTGTTCACCGACCGATTAAATGTACATGACTAACAAGCGCTCAAAGCCCAACATATAATATTCACCTAATATGTTCAGAGTTTTTATCTTATCTCTTCCAAAGCAATAATAGCACTAACCAACAAAAGCGTATTTTGTTCGGTTTTTTGTTGAAGATTTAATAGCACTTTTTTTGTGTAAGTTGTTAAGGTGTGATCGACCACAAAAAAATTTTTATTGTGTTAAAAAAAGTCCTGTCTTTAAAATTATTTTAACGCTAAGTAACTTTAAAACTTATTTACAATTTTTATTTTCATAGTGTAAGCACATTGATTAAATCAATGATAAGATAACAATAAAGCGTTATATATTGGATGTGACTAAGTTAAGGCCAAAAAATATGAATGTATGCATAACCCGATTATTGACAAAAACAAAATAGGAACAGTTTTGTTAAATTTCTTTAACCTAATTTGTATTTTTTTCTTTGAAGTTTTTACAGTATATGTACTTTACAAGCTAACTGAACTTGCAGGTAAATTGTTGATAATTGCCCCACAAAAAAAATAACAAAAAGTGTCCACAACTTAAAACAGAAACAATTAAAGGCCAAAGATCAGGATACCGCGATGGCGCTGGGATTGTTAAAACAGCTCCTACAATGCAAATCATCAGAATGCTTGATATATTTGAAAGGTACTTCAATGAATTTTCGTTATCAAGCTTTGCATTTGAGTTAAAACATTTGAATATTAAGTGAAAAGTCACAGTAGATACTAACGCAGGCACCAGCAATTCATCTTTCGTCAGAAGAGGCAACATGCTAAATACGGAAACTTCAAGGAAAATAACCATTTCGTTGGGCCACCATTTCAGTAAGAACAGGGAAGGTAAAGCAGCCAGTAAAATTGTCTTTTCGTGGACCTTAAAATTGGATAGTTGTACATAAAGTTTCAATTTTAACTTGAAGTTACTTACTTGAAAGGAAAACAGAAAGAAAGCCAAAGCTGTGTTAAAAAGAGCTAATAAAAATCCGGTTTTAGTTCTTTGTCGAAAGAGCAGAACATTCGTGGGAAGCGCAGCAATTAAAGTGCATCCAATGCACACGAGCGCCATTTGATCGTTGAGTAAATGTTTTCTGTAATTTATGATATTAATAACTATGGGGAGGTCAGTTTTATGTGAGTCCGCCTACTTCAATTTCCAAACTACGTTTACGGCACACCAAACGTTGGCCACCTTGTCTTCAAAAACTCCTCGAGCCACAGGAAAAAGACGATGTAACACCTGAAGCGCCGCTTGAAGGGATCCCAGCCAGGGGAGCCATAAAACAGCAAAAGTTATTAAAACAATGGCTGCTATTTTTGAAATTCGAGCGGCAAACGAAGTAAAGCTAAAAATAAAATAAAATTAAAATGATATTTTTGACGGTTTATGGTTTAAACAAGAAAGGAAAGCTAACTTCGGGCGGAGCCGAAGTTGGTATACCCTTGCAGAATACTTTGTAAATTATATTCTTCAAAATTATCATAAAAAATCCCAACTTCCTAACTTTAAAAACACCAAAGTTATGGCATTTTTAATCGTCCAGTTATATGGCAGCTATAGGATATAGTCGGCCGATCCTTATGAAATTTGGTAAGTCGGATTAATTGGCCAAAAATACAATCCATAGAAAATCTTAACTTCCTAACTTTACAAACACCAAAGTTATGGCATTTCCGATCAACCAGTTGTATGACAGCTATAGGATATAGTCGGCCGATCCCGGGCGTTCCGACTTATATACTGCGTGCAAAGGAAAGAAGTGTGTGTGCAAAGTTTCAATTCGATATCTTTAAAACTGAGAGACTAGTTTGCGTAGAAACAGACAGACGGACAGACGGACATGGCTATATCAACTCAGGAGGTGATCCTGATCAAGAATATATATACTTTATAGGGTCGGAGATGTCTCCTTCACTGCGTTGCACACTTTTGACCAAAATTATAATACCCTCTGCAAGGGTATAAAAAGCAATGTCTAAAAGAATCTTGAAATAGTTAAACCAAGCTCCCCTTAAATAAATTTTTTTAAAAGTGGTTAGGTCGGCCTATGAAATGTCCTCATTTAATGAATCAATTCGGTATAGAAATACGGTGAAAGGATCAACTAGATATATATTTCAATGGAAACTTTAAATCAACTTAAGCAGGACTCCAGTTTGTTTTTTTCTTCGGATGTTTTGAAGCTATTATTTTTTAATACGAGTCAAACTTACTATTATTATTTAATGGAGTTTCTTCTAAAATTATATATTTTAGCAATCTCTAACTAAATACCCACCTTTTTTGCCCCACACATTCTCCCAAAAGAAATGCAAAGAACGGCAGGCTGTGATACAACTCCATTTGCTTGTAGTTTAGGGCCAACGTGAAGAAAAACGAGGCAGTGTACCATCTTTTACGCAAAATAGCTGCAACTGCCACGGCAGCAAGGCCAAGTGATATGTTATTGTATTGAAAGTGTCCATTGTCAATCAGTATTTGGCCAGGATACGCTGCAGTTAGCATGAATAGAAACAGCTTCTCATTGCTTTGGAAGGCTTTATCTATGGAAAAGACCAAGTACACTAATGCCGGCAAGTAGATGAGCACGTCAGCAGCCACAACTGTTGCGCGCATGAAGCGTTTGTGCTCCCCCGATTGGAATCCCCTGCTCTCGTGCAACTCCACAAAGCGGGGATCGATGGATTTGCCTACTCGGCCCAGGACATAGCTGTGATAAGCGGTCAGAGGCGGATAATCCAGGCCCCAGTACAATAAATCGTTGTTGGAGCTATTTGTGTACCATTCGCCGACTTCCAGATTCACTGTGATCTCCTGCCAATGTCGTTGGGCTTCGTAGTCCCCGTGCATGGGCGGGGAATCAAAGCCCGAGTAGGAATACAGCGAGATTATTGACCTAACCGCCAAACCCAAAAAAGCGGTTGCCAAAATTTCGGATTTCATGTTGTTTTTCTTATCATTTTACATTAAAGATGGTTATGCGAAGTATAAATATTTAAATTATCGATATATATTGCTATCGTTTTCATATATCGATGTGTCGTTATATCGATGTTTCTTATTAAGATGGAGACGATACATTTACGAGATCTAGCAAAAAAGCGTTATAATCTGATAAAATAAATAATAAACAAGAGAGAACGCTATAGTCGGGTGCCCCGACTATCAGATACCCGTTACTCAGGTAAAGGGAGTGCGAGGGAGATGGAGATAGAAACTTTGATCACGCATAACTTTTTAACGAATGGTCCGATTTGAAAAATTTCTTCTACATTTCGATAGGTATTGATAAACACAATAAAACTGCATTTTTACTTTTCCGAAATATTTAAATTTTTAAAATCGTATATAAGCGATTGTGGGCGTTAAAGGGGGCGTGGCACCTTTTTGAAACAAACTTGCGCTCGTAGGAACCTCTAAAATCGACATGCAAAATGCCAATCTTCTAGCTTTTATAGTTTCCGAGATCTCAGCGTTCATACGGACAGACAGACAGACAGACAGACGGACAGACAGACGGACAGACGGAGAGACGGACAGACGGACATGGCTAGATCGACTCGGCTAGTGATCCTGAACAAGAATATATATACTTTATAGGGTCGGAAACGCTTCCTTCTAGCTGTTACATACTTTTGCACGAATACAATATACCCTTTTACTCTACGAGTAACGGGTATAATTATAAATAGAAAAAAATATGTATAAAAAAATAAAATATTAAGTACAAGAACAAAGAACAAATTTACTAATCGCAATCTAAAAACTTGTTTAACTTCAGTATTTTGTTTTAAAACTATCGCCAGCAATTATAAAATTTGTTTTTCTCTTGTCTCAAAAATATATTAATAAAAGTTAAATAAACTAGAAACTTTTTGATTTTGAAATTGTTTTCGGCAATATTAAAAAAAAACAAACCTTAAATTAATTTTAATATATTTTTTCTAATCAGAATAATAAAAAAATATTGAAATGGATACTTTGAATAAAATAGAATTAACAGAAGCTTATCCTTGTTTCATCAAAACGGCTTTGTTCAGGCTGATGTTCCTGATAAAATAAATTAATATAATTCTTCACTGCTTTGAAAAAATCTGACTAAAGTTATAATTACATATTACGGAATAGTGTAACAAATAAAAAATTTGCGAGACAATGGGTTTAGTTTTAGTCGAATAAAATGATTGGCATTGTGTCTTAAAATTGATCAGTTTATTTAAAACGTTTTATGTCTGCAACTAAATTTTAAAGTTTTTTTATTCCGTATTTTAAGGTAAACAAAACGAAACTGGCACTTGTGCCCATTTGGATTCAAATGGAGCTTTGTAAGCGCTCACGAAAGTAATATATATTTACAGTTGTACATACAGTATATGAATTAGCATACTTCTAAAGGTGCTTACATAAATTAATCTATATACTAAATATCGAACACTGAGCAGAATAACAGTTTAAAGGTGACGATCAAATGTTTCGAGTTAATAGGTAACAAATCTGTATGGCTTTATCATTATTTTACGCTAATTCCATTGTTTGTAACATTAAAATGTCAGTACCAGTCAATAAATATGAACATCTAAGCATACATTTTATCGTACCACTTTAACCATTAAAATTTGCAGTGTTTTATCTCTTATGACTTAACATAAGGATGCATTTTATAAGTATGTGGTAACAAGTTCATGAATTCTCTTATTTCTCAATTCAATACATTGCATGTAATGGAAGTCTATTTACATTTTAATCTTAGAGTACGTAAGTGTCTTAGAATGCTTACGCATTTTTAATATGGTATGTCAATGATCTATTTACATCTTCTATTTTAAAACAAATATCAATTTTATATTTTCGAATGATTGAAGTTGCTCCATTCCAAATGCCATCAACTATAAGTTTCAGCTATGCAATAGGACTATTATAAATGCTACGAATACCTTGTGAGTTACTGCTATTGAGAATCGATCTACTACTACCGCGCCTATTAGCAGGAACATGACAGAGAAGTACAAAAGTCCTTCGGTCAGCGCTACGCTTGTGGTTCCATTCAGTCCACCCAAAGTGATTAGTCCAAAAGTTCCATTGCCGTTATTTTCAGAATCCAAAATACTCCGATTGGCGTGTTGCATTGCCGCCGGTTTCTCGCCTGTTACAAAAGGTATGAAAAATATTTTAAATAGGTGAATATAACTAGAGGACCAGCTCTTACCTCTTAACACATGAACAGTTATGCTGGCCGGACGGGCATTTGATGGAGCACAAGTATAATTACCAGCATGTCGAAAATTGACTTGTTTCACAGTGAGGACACTCACTGACGGATTAAGAAGATAAGCTGACTGGTGTTGTTGCACAAAGGGAGTTGAGGATGGCATATTGGGTGCTTTGAAGTTATCTGGACTTCCAAGAATATTGTTGAGAACACCATTGGACTCCATTGGCATGGTTACGCGCGATTTGTTCGCTGGGGAACTCCTATAAATCTGCCCACTTTGCGGGTTACTTTGCCCGATCGACGTCACAACGAATCCACCTTGTGAATCGTAATTTATCATTTTACTATCATGATACCTAAAAAGTTAAGATTTTATTATTTGTTATTGAATACCATTCCAATACTTTATAAATAAAGGCTGTTTTCTTATTCACTATTCTAACTTCTAGCACAGTTAAAAGCTTTTCATTAATGAATTGTTTTTTATTAATTGCAAAAGTAATGAATTTGTTTCATTATTAATACTGCTTTCCAAAGTTTTTCTTTATCATTACTTTTCTTAAAAGTAATCAGTTTTTTAGCATTACTTTTTTTATTTTTTGAAAACTGATTTCACTAACATTTTATTTTTAATGATAATTAAAAAGTAGTTATAATGTTTTGTGATGTTAGGCATTAATTAGACACAATAATAACAATTGTAAGCCAAAGGAAAATTTTATTTTGAATATATAACGCCATAAGCGAAATAGCTTATATATTCACTTGTCAAATGTTCTAGCAGTTAAACCAATGTTTGAACAACTGTAATATTATCTAAGAAAACGATTGGTCCAATTCAAGAACTAAACATTTTATTCAGTAACCGATTTCTAAATTTTAATCAATCTAAAAACTAAACTTTAATTGCAACACCGAAGGTCAAAAATAAAGGCTGTACAAATGGTTACAAAATAAAAATATTAGTTTTTGTAGAAGCTCCTACCAGAAAACAAATGCTGGATTTTCCGTTGCTCGCTTCAGTTTGCATTCTAGACGTAAAGTGGAAGTCTCATCAATGTGAAGTTCGGGAGCACTTGAAATTTCCGCTACCGCTTCTATTAAATTGAAAGAGTTGTTTCATTTTATTAAAGTTTTTTTTGTAAAAATCTTGTTCTTACTTACCGACAATTTTTAATTCTATAACTATTGACTGAGTTGGATAAATTGACAATTGACATTCGTAAAACCCTCGATCTTCCTCTCTAACAGCTTTAATTCTAAGAGACCAATGGCCCATGTGACGTGTATGCTCGACCAAAAAACGTTTGTCACTACTATGGGTGGACAGCCCGACGGTCAGGAGTTGAAAATCCTTCCTACGTATCCAAGAAACCTGGAATATTTCAGGCCATGTTTTTAAGATAATTACATTAAAACATTTCGTTATATTTTATTAGCATTTTACTGGATATTAAAAAAAGTATCCAACAAATTTGTTTCAAATTTTCAAAATCAACCCATTTCTGGATACTCCCCTGTATTTATCTGAAATAAAAATATATAAATAAATTACGAGATATTTCTTACCGTAGCTGGGGAGTTAACTTTAACCACACAGGGTAAAATGGCAAGTCCTCCTTTCTGTGCAATAACACGAGTATTGTTTTTGGTATTAAATTGGCTTTGTAAAGTATTTCCAAAGTGATTTTGTGAAGACGTGATTTTTCCGACATCTAAAATGGTTTTTTAATTTATTTATTTTTTATAATTTCAGAATACGACAGTATTTGAAAAAAATTATCTTTCAATATTTGTCATAAATTTACTAGAAGTTAATAGTTCCAAAACTAAAAGTTTAAAAAGCTATCAACTTAAGATATGTACGTCATAGACGTCTTCCACAAATACCGAACAATAATTCATAAAAACTTTCTTAAGTTGAGCAAACTATTTATAAAACTGTTTACTGCAAAGTACTAATAATTGCTCAGTAATATTTTATGTTTCAAAACGTAAACAAATTACATTATACTATTAGTATGGTACAATAGCTAAAAATAAAGATAAAAACAACCGAATGTTTTTACTTAATGTATGTAAGTAACACAATAGAAAACCTTGTTTTTTATAGCATACAACATTGCGCAAAAGCGATTAATATAACTAAAGGCTTCATTTAAAGCTTGTATTTTTTACTTACCAGAAAACGTTGAACTAAGGAGCAGCAAAAAACATGATAAATGCAAATGCCATCTTTTCGGTTCCATTATTCCCAAATTCGACACTCCACAATTCGTCTACTTCGCAATTAAACTTTATACTCGAAACATTTTCCTTCTGCAACAAACTTTATGTTATATGTGTGTCTTTTTACTCGTACATACATACATATATATTTCTAAAAATATTTGTAAAAATACTGATGCATACACCTACGTATATCCGTAAGTCTTTGTGTGCATTTGTATCTCTCAGATATAAAATATTTATAAACGAAAAAAACCTTATTCGTTTATCACTTTTTAAATAAATTTCATGTTTGTGCAAAACATTGATGTATTTAATTGCTTGCACTTATGTATTATAAGTTTGTATGTAAATCCACATGCACACATTTATGGATAAAAATACACATGTCACGGATACAGCTTCATGTATTTACGTGAGTTTCTAGAGGAAATGCATATACACAGAAAATGAAGGAAGAAAACTCACTTTTTTCTTTTTGCACTGACAGTTCGGCAAATCCCTTCGCGTATATACACATTTCGATTCTAATTGTTTATGCAATCATAAAGCTTACATATGAATATTTTCAGAGCTACATATTTTTGAAAATACAGATACACAGGTAAATTGATATAAATTGTATGTATTGACCATCAAAAACGCAACTTTCTCACTGCATTTTTATTATATTGGCAAATACGCAAGAGTATGTGTGGTTAGTGTGTGTATGTTCAGAGAAAGTGGCACAATTTTGATTCGAATTTACTTGATTCCCCAAGAATGAGGAGTGCAATAAGACCCCGGCGAGTACAACTTCTTTTTCGAAGTGCCAATCGTAGACTAAATTGAAGTCGGCAAAAACCGCCGTCCGTATAACTCACGCAATCGCATTATGTGGGTCTCTCAAATTGTATTGCATATGCGTGTTTAAGGAAACTCAACGGCGCTCCTCGAAATTCGAAGGGATGATGACAGGAATTATTAAATATTATTCATATTTACAGCAGGCGGCATTATGAATAACGAATAGAATGAGTTGCATTAAAGTGGGGTAAATACTTATTTGATTGGATTAAAATAGGAAGTATCTGTCGTAGATGAACGCGAATTGCGAAATATGTATTTAAACATACATATGAGTTTATTTTTAAGGGTTGACAATGAAATGAAATAAGCTGGATAACTGACTGTTAAAAAGTAGTTAGGTTAGGTTAGTTACAGAGAAACCTTTAACTTGAACTTTTTTCTATCCTCATTGCTTCTAAAAGAAAACAATAATTTACAAGTAATCAATATTTTTTATTAAGAACACTTGAATAATTTTTGTGTATTGAGAGCTTAACTCTAAAATTATTTTTAACAAAATCGAGATAAGATACAACAATAAATGGGTCAAATTTTTTTTGCTTTGAAAAACTCACATAGGTCAACTATGTGTAAATATATTTTTAAAAATGTGTGTATGAACATAATAAATAATAATTTACCCTAAACTTATTCGGGTTATTAGGAATACCCCTATTTGTGGTTTTAAATCGTTGGAATATTCTCTCACACATGCTACGGTCACACTGTGACGCTTTGCCGGTTTGAAATGTGCTAAATATTCCATACCGCATTAATATTTTTTTTAATGTACGTGTCCAAATTCGAGGCGAGCATGGGTACAAATTTGATTATTTATCTGGCCCTAAGCGCATTGCTTTGCATATCCAAAGCAAAGGCGGAGATAGTTAACACAAATGTGGAAAGATCTCTCGACCTAACTTCGCAGTTGGTGAAAACCTTAACCAAAATTTCGGCGGAAGACACAGCCGGCAAACCCATTGTCGAATACGTGTTTTTCGCTTCCGAGCCCAGCCTTGCATACATATTGGTTAAGGATAGTGCCGACAGGAATGTGCAGATCAAGAAGAACGATCCGCTGAAGGGCGAGCAGAGTTTCACGCTCACCTTCCCCAAGGCTAATGCAAAGCAAAGTTTCCTGGTCGAGACTGTGGCCTCCAAGGGCATCCTGCCTCACCCCGAGGAAATCAAGCAGAATGACAAGCAATTTGTAAAATACACGGGCAACTTGCACCTTTATTCGAAGTACAAAACCAATAGCCAGAAAACCAATGTCAAGCTCAGCTCCTCGAACATTTTGTCGCACACCCAAGTAAAGCCTTTTTCGGTGTCGTCTAACAAGATCACTTTGGGTCCCTATGAAAACGCTGAAGGTAGGTTCATAGAAAACAAAATTATTATAACTCCTTATATTAACGTTTGCCCTATATTAGCCTTCAGCCAGGACGCCCTCGTTATTCACTATGAGAACTCATCGCCTTTTGTCACCGTCAACACATTGGAGCGCACCCTGGAGATCTCTCATTGGGGCAACATTGCCGTCCAGGAATCCATTCAGATGACCCACACCGGAGCCAAGTTGAAGGGATCGTTTTCGCGATACGATTTTCAGAAGGAAGGTCGCTCCGGACTGGCTGCCCTGAAATCCTACAAAACCTACCTGCCGGCATCTGCCTCCGGCGTATATTACCGGGACACAAATGGCAACATCTCGACCTCCAACATGAATTCCGGTCGGGACTTTATTGAACTCGAGCTGCGCCCGCGGTTTCCGCTCTTTGGCGGCTGGAAAACCCAGTACACACTCGGCTACAATGTTCCCTCTTACGAGTACATGTTCAACGAAGGCAACAAATACCAGCTGAAGATGCACTTGATCGATCACATTTACGATAATATGGCCATCGATGAAGCCACCGTTAAGATTATTCTGCCCGAGGGATCTAGCGATATTCGCCTTTCGACGCCCTACTCGATAAGCAGACTGCCAAACGAACTGGTGCACACCTATCTGGACACTACAGGTCGCCCGGTGGTTTCTTTCTCCAAATCGAATTTGGTCGAAAGCCATATTTCAGACTTCACGCTTTACTATAGCTTCTCGAAGATTTCCCTGCTGCAGGAACCTCTGCTGGTTAGCGGCTTTATCTATATCATTTTTGTGTTCACCATTGTATTCCTACGTTTGGACTTTTCAATAACGTCACATGCGCATAAAGAATAAGTAAATCATAATTTGCATTGAACATAGTTATTCTCATCATAACAAAGTAAATAAAATGGAATCAAATATTTTGCAATAACAAACGAAACAAATAAAATGCTTGCTCTTAATTGCAAACAAAATTATCCTAAAATGTCTGCTTTATTCTAGTTTTTAAATTACCGGAAATGCATTTCAAGTATTTATAAACTGTTTAATGCTGAGTTTTGTTAAATTTAACATCAGTTGTAAAAGGTATCATTCGTGAATAAAAAATAAAATTTTTAAAAACATATTTTAAAATTAAAATGTACCTTCTTTAACATCCATGCCTACAAATGAGCATTAGCAGTAGGACATTTTCTGCCATCTCCAGCAAGTGAATTTCGCACATGCGCAAGAAAAGCTGAAAAATTATTCCAAGTGCTTGCACTTTTTGACGAGTGTGCTGTGTACATATGCATTAGTGGTTATAAAATTGTTCGAAAAAATGGACAAGTCAATCCGAGAATTTAGTAACTTAAGTAATAAATCTATTCAATAAAAAACACAAAGGACTGTTGGCTAAAACCGAAAACATTGCCACAATGTACTTTTGTACTTTTTGTTATGAAGGTGTATGTGGAAAATCGATAAAGCAAGTTTCGGTCAGTAAACAGGCTTAAACAAAAATAAAGATGAAGTGAAAAAACAGTATATTGCATTTAAAAAGTTAAATCCATCGAACCTGCTAACGTGAGTTTATTATGTGTGCTTTCTTCTATAGATATATTATATGTTATTAACGTTGTTTTTCCATCCTAAATATTATTATGTATGTATACTAACCTTTAAAACTCAATTTTACTGGTTGTTTTACTATATTAATACAAAATATATGTACAAAATTAATGTGTTACCCCAAAAACCTGCGTAGTTTCAAAATAAAAGACATTTTATGATGCCAGCGCCAGATTACTCATGTGCGCCCTTGGCCCTTTTTTTTATTGTTTGTATCTAAAATGGAGATGTGAAGAAATTGTTCAAATAACAATTTATAATTTGACTATTTTTTCATTTAACACAATTAGTTAAAAAAAACACTTTTTACAATACAAGATAAAACAATATATATTAAAACAATATACTAATTTTTTTTAAACTACAACATCCTCAATTATTTAAGAGATCCAAATAATTAATATGAAGTTATAAAAATGGATGGGTGCTTTCGCCTGTCCGTATGAACTAAGGTACTTAGTTTTAAGATTAGCCATTGTTGCTAATGGCATATAAATAATAATTACAAATGAATGTTCTATGGTGACATCTTTGGTCTTACTCTAAGTTATTTAGCCGGTTAAAGGTCTATAATTTATAATATTTTTAGTAACTTAAAAGATACTTTTATTCTGGTTCGTGTAATGTATTTAAAAGCCGTGTTCAGATATGGATAGCGCAGCGTCTGATCTCTCTTCCTTATAACTCAGTAGTGAATTATTATTTTGGGAACTGTTTTAATTTTGCTCTTATAAATACTTGAATTCCCTTATACTCAGTTTTAGCATAAACGATACCCAAATTATTAATTTTTTGAATTGTCTTTCCCAGATCGGAAAATAATAATTCTTCGATTATGAGTTCGAATGGAAGTGACCTGGGACACAATAATAGGCGAAATGAAAAGGGTAACTCCGACAACGTTCACGCCTCTATGCGTGGGAACGGCAGCATGAGTTCCACCCGCAGAAAGTCCATTAACTTTCAGAATCAGCTCCAACTGGCGTTGGAGTCGAACGAGTGCGATGTCATGTACTGTAGTCTGTCCTCGGGACGCTTTCGCGCTCCGAACGGCGAGAATTTCCCGCCACATGGGGGTAAGCTGAAGCTCTCGCCGCTAGAGAAGTACGATGACTCGAATAGGGGCGTCCCGCCGCCTTCCCCGGCTCCAAATAGCGATTGCTTTGCCACCTGTGTGGCCAATCAATTGCCCTCCCAGTCATGCAGTGTTGGGTCCGTCAAGCCGGATAGTTCTACAGTGCTGCAGAAACACGGAATGGGTGGCAATGGAATGGGTGGCAACGGAATGGGAAGCAATGGAATGGGTGGAAACGGAAGCTACCATCAGCGTCACGTGTCACCGAATTCCAGATACCGTTTGGAGCGATATCGCGAATCGCAGACAACTCCCCAGACAAAGATGATGGAGAACATGGGGGGAATACCCTCAGCAGTGCCCTCGGTATCCTCCACCCGTCTCCTACTGCCTTCCAATGTACCCTTGCCACTCTCGCAGTGTGAGAACTACAATGCTTATCTAGGATCCACGGTGCACACGCCGGTCAAGAGATATGTGCCCACACCGCCTCCTGCCATGGACCTCTACTCTGACCTTACCATCTCCTCCTCGCCGGCGGCCAATC